TGTGGAAGAGGACGGAGAGGAAGAAGAAAAAAGTTGGGGGGAAGGGGAGGGGCGTTGGTTGGTTGTTTGTGAGAGAACGTCCATGGTCAGAATATCTTAGTCTGCATCGCAGCGTCGCAGCAGGTGTGTCCCAGATGTACAGTTACGTGGGAAGGGGGAAGGGGGAAAAACACCTCTCGGGAGAAAGAATGAATTTCACACTCATGCCGAAGCTGCAAGCTGGGGAAGGCTTCACGTCCCGCCATTGGCCGCGACTACTTGAACCGTTCAAATGGGTTCATCTGGAGCTCCCCAAGTGTAACGAATGAACAGACGACAGAGGCACCGGCAGGAGGGATGATGGCCGCAGGCTGAAACGATTTGACGAGTTGATATACACGGTATTGTACGCAGCACCGTATGTCGGATGGTTGCTGAATGTTGTGCCAGTGAGGTTGGGTTGTGAAGAAGGAATGTGTGTGGCTACCTCGGAGTGGAGCGTGTTCCTGAATCCTCACATCTCTCTCTTTACAAAGGTCGCCACCATCTACGATCCGAAGGTTCTGGACGAGATTCGGTGCATCGTCAGCTCCGTCGCGGATGCTTGGGCGGCACCTGCGACCTTTGTGTGTTTCTTGACGCGGCCTCCAGGATCGACGTGGGAGTGAGCCGCCGTGTAATTTCTCCAGCCGAAAGAAGGTTGACTTTTGTAAATTTCCCGTCCTTGAATTGCAGTCCATGCAGGTCATATGTTGACAGAGAAATTTTCGACGTTTCCCGTCTTGGGCAGTCTTCCTTCTCGCCGGGGAAACAAAAGAAGGGCCCCGGTTCATAGGCTATTGGCAATTGCAGCGGCACTGCAGGTGCAACGTCGCACTAATAAGGTTGTATGTATCCATAGAAAGAAGGTCGCAATGAGCGCGGTCTCCCAAAATGGTACAGGTCCCAACTCGCAGGAGGTACGAAGTACATAGTAGGCAGACCGTAGACCGTAGACGGTAAAGCAATTCAAAAAAGTTCAAAGAAGGTTTTCCGAAGATGCTTCGTACTCTGTCGGGTAATGGGATGAGCCAATGAAACGCGGGAATGACTTCCCAATCCAGGGGGATCACGCTGCAGAGAGCGGGAAGCGAAATAATTAGAGCCCGCTCGGAGTGGAGGGAAAGCAGGGCAGCGGCTGCGGGACATGTGCCATGTGGTAAAAATTGGGAAAAAATAAATGATGCTGACAGGCTTGCAGCGGATATGAGAGGGGATGCTGTCGGCCGTGAGGCCATTGTCGATTCGTCATGTGCAACCTATTGGTTTCTAATTACTTTGTTGATTATTCTGGACCGTCGCCCCATGGCATGTGGCTCCGTTTTTTGGGTTGGCGACCGTTCCGTTGTTATTGATGGGGCTGCTTGCTTCACCACACAGTAAGTTGCTAACGTGCTGTTGCTCAAGCGTTCAAGTCAAAGACCCAAGGGTGCATTCCAATGTGGTTCTCTCGTTGACGAGTGATTCGCGTTTGGACGGGACCGACGATCAAGACGACACATCGCCATGTCTCGTTGATGGGGGATGCTCCGTAGCAGCTCCGTAAATCTGGAGCCCGCGTCCGTTAGCGTAAACGGTTGAACAGGGTAAGGTAGGCACTGGACCTGGAACATGGCTCGTAACCTTCCCCGTCGACAGTCGTCGCATAATAGTATTTGGACAGCAACATGGCGGGTACAGATAGTTGTTTGTGCGCAACAGTGCCCTGCCGTCTTGGGAGGAATGGTAGTAGCAAGTTGGACTGTAGTCCGAGAAACGGCGGGGGAAGAGAGACAGACAGAGAGCGCAGCCGGTCCAGATTTCTGGCGCAGCGTGTTCTAGCCTGGGTCGTCGCCCGTGTTAGCGCCGCGGCAATGTTGCTAAAGTTAGGTCTCCTAGCCATCCGCTAACAAGGAAACGGAATGACGAGAAACGCACCTCAATCTGGGGCAGCGTATCCCTACGAATACCTCGTATGGACCAAGGCGCCTGCACCTTATGATTGCTGGGTTCCTTGCGATCCACCAGTGACCAAGGCCCGGGCCCGGGCAGAGCTCCGTCAGGTCCAAGACGGGACAGCTCAGAAGAAAGTCCAGCTAGATGCCATTGCACTAGAACAGCTCTTGCTGTGATGGGTAGTGATGAGCACCACCTGAAGCCCGAGGGAAGAGGCCGTTGCGCTCCCAAGTTCCTCCCATTGCGCCCGAATTGTTGGCTGGGCTATTATGGGCGATGCTCGTTGCTGCAGGAACTGCACTCTAAACCGGAAAGAACAGGAAGGAAGCGGCAGTGGAAGCGGGACTGACCTGTGACAGCCTGGGCTGTTTTTGGAGGGTTGGAACTTGATTCCCGTTCCCAATCCAACCTTCAGATTTCCAGTTGGAGTTTTCCAGCTCCAGCTAAGGTAGCCAGGCTGGCCAAGTTCCAACAGAATAGTCACGGTAGGTGTCGATGCGAAAGGGGGCACATCTTCCGTACCTGACGTAGTTGCGGTCTTTGCCTTAGGTAGGGTAGATAGGTACCTAATGGTGCCCTTTACCGTTATGCTTGTCAAAGCAAGGCCACCTGGCGTGCTCTACGATCTACACTCACCGCATCTTACATCATGGCATCGAGCTCTCTGTCAAGTATGGATACATGAAGTTGTGAAATAAGGCACAGACAGGCAGAGCATCAGAGACGAGAAGCACGGACAAAACAACCCCCCGTGCTAGGCATCTAGAGGGCTCCCACGTTGACCTGAAGTCGCCTATGCCCTACAATGTAGACCGTGGCCGCCGACTCTTTCTTACCTTTGCGTTGGCGACCAACCCGGGCGCGTTCCGGCCGAGCATTGCAAGTCTTCCGTGCTGTGCCCTGAAAATATCCCTACCGGGCTGCTGAAAGCCAGCCGCGGGGCCTCGGGTCGCAATTCCCAAGCCACCTACACACTCGGCGTGAACATGGTCGTCGACGGTCTGGAAGGAAAACGGAGTGTGGCGCGCCACGGTTTGCTACGGACGACGCATTGGCGTTGATGAACAAGGTGACAGCGACGTTGAAGAACTGGGTCGCAGGGCCACAGGGCTTGAAGGCTTGAGTGACGGGCGTCACGGGCGGAGGAGGAGGAGGACGACGAGACCTTGCACCTTGCACCTTGCAGGGCAGGGATCAAACGGGGACGAGCAACAAGACAACTGGAAGGGGGGAAAAAAAAAGGGGAAATTTGGGTCTTGCTGTTAGTGCATCGTGTTGCTATGCGATGCCATCCAATGACTGCTGCTGGTCGGGCTCTGGCCGTTTACGATGTACCTGCACCCCAGACAACGCCATCGGCAAAAGGACAAGCCATGATTTACAACTGCAGACACTAAGGGGTTTCAATAGGTGTTGCTGCAATTATCTGTAAGGTATACATCCGTACCTGAGTTGCTGACATGTGTTTAAATGCAATGTTGACTGCTGAGGGGCGTACGCTTTCTTTCATCGATTGTTCCTGCTGTGTTTCGTGGGCGTCCGCCTGTGATGCCCTCCCCTGTCATTACCCCTGCTTCCGTGCCTCGCATGGGGGGCCCTGACGCCGTCGTGGCTGCGGAAACCTTGGGTACTAACTTATCCCTTGGAGGTAAGGTGCTTAGCCCCGCCCTTTTCGAAGCCCGTGCTGTCTTCCCACTGGAAGTCACCTCAGTAAGGTGTCCGGAGCAGGAACGTTCCTACCGTCTCTGGTGAGCGGCGCCTTGCGTACCTTACCTTTACGGTGTTGAGGTCCCTCTATTAGCGTCGCGGTAGGTGCTAGGCCCAACTCGGCCTGCTCTTTGCGTCCCCACGATTGGCCCAGAAGCATACTGTCCCAGCTGACAAGTGGAAAGTCACTTCTACGGTAAGGTAGTAAGTCCCGTCCGGTCCCCCCCCCCCTCTGGAAATCCAATCCAATCCATATCCATCCAGACCAACCCACCGCCGGTGCAGACTCGTAGCACTGCACACCACTGCACCACTGCATCATTGCACCACTGCATCATTGCACCACAACCAGTTCCAGCCCGAGGAGACAAGTACATTTGCTTCTCTCCCTCTTTCGTCCCCCGTTCGTCCTCTTTTGCGCCTTGCCTGCTTCCCCCGGCCGTTTTGGCTCCTGCTCATCACCTCCCTCGTATCCGATTCTGGGGGAAACAGAGATCGCTTCCATTCTTTCTTTCCCACTTCTCGTCTCGCTTCTTCTCGACCTTTTCTCTTTTTTCTCCCTTCCCCTCCCCTCCCCTCTCCTCTTCACGTCCGTGTTCCATCATCTGCTCCTCGCGTCAGATCGGTACTCAGCACAGGCATCGACGATAACCCTTTTTAGCTGCTCTCGGCCTGAGACTACTTGCTACTCAGCACCACGCACCGGCCGCCCAGTTTGACTTAACCTCAGGTCGCCTCAGCTTGTCTCTTGATACCCTCGAATCTTCCTCTCCCAACACTTCTTCATCTCTGTTGGCTACTGCACCTTCTTTGTTACCCGCCAGAATGCAAAGCCTAAAACGGACACCCGCCTCTCACTAGTGTCCTGCATCCAAGAAAGAACACTTTACTCGAACCTGTTTACTCATTTGCAATAGCGACTGAAAGGAAGGTCCACGACGACAACCGTTACCGAAATCTTCGACATCAAATCTCACTTCTGCTTCTTCATCCGCCCATCTTCGACCCGTCTCACAACTTGTTCCCGTTTCCGCACCCCCCAATAGTCCTGACCTGACCGCTCATATGCGCGGTTGGTAACATTCTCGGCAGCCACACCATCAGCCGGTCATCGACCTGTTATTCGACCTCTATGTGGCATCCTCCTATCTAGACTGACGCCAAAACCGGTCCTTCGGCCAAGACACGACCTGCACCACCAGGATTCCAACCACCAACCAGCTCATCTGGTCGTTCGTCCTATCTATTGTCGACTACCCCAACTCACCCAAGACCCGTCAAATAGTTGCACCGCATCGCATGGGAACTTGAAGCAAGACGCGATCCGAACCCGATCGACCATGTCGCCGCAACGTCCAAACTTCATTGAACTTCGGGCACCCTCGAGCATGTCCAACGTTTCGAGACCTTTACGATCCCCCAGACTCCATGTCGCAGGCGAGGCACCCCCCGAACTATCGCCTCTCGATGCCTTCGCTCTTCAGAGTCGTCTGCTGGCGAGGCAGCTTCAAAACGCCGCGAGCGGCGAAGGAAGGCGCATGAGCAGACTACCACCTCTGACGACCGAAAGCCCCTTGGTTGTACAAGGCCGATCAGACTACTTTCGCTCCATGTCTAACGATTCAGGATCTGACGAAATGCCACTTCCTGAGCTTCAAAACCCAGGATTGGGTCTGAGAACAGAGCTAGAGGACGCCTTCCCGTCCGAGAAAGACCGACCCGTTTCGGTGCATCCTCGAATGAGCCGCATCCCGCCCACTCCTGACGGGAACGAGCCTCTCCCAACACAGGCGCACCTCGAGATGATGCGTGGACGAGCTTTAGATCCGATGGAAGAGGATCAAGACGATACGTTATTCGGCGCAAGAAGAGAACAGTCCCCGGCACCTATGGAGCACCCGGCCAACGACGCCCACTTGCAAGCCTCGCCTCCACGAAAGGTCCATTCACCACCTCTGCTCTCGCCAGCACGATCACGCGAAAATTCGTTGAATGGATCGCCCGGCAAGTCAAAGGGACGCTCATTTGATGGACCCGGCTTGGCTCCTCCGCGACCCAGCTTTACGGCACGATCGGCGACCTCAATGTCTTCACCCCTCGAAAATACTAGTGACGACATGAACAATTCTGTTCAGTCGCTGCCGCCGCGCAAACTTTCGAGTGGCAGCGCTTATGCGGGGTCAATAACGTCACCCAACCTGAACCCAGGTCCCTTTCAACGCTCGCCGTCTGTATGCTCAGACGCTTCAATGCCATTGCCGCGACCCTCCTTTAACTTTTCGAGGCCTATGAGCCGAGCCGGCACTCCTGGATTGGAGACCCCAACGCGCCAGGCCTCATCCGACAGCCAACCGTCTTTCATGTTTGCGAATGACGACTCAGCCAACACTCCTGTTAGTATGAATAGCGAAGGCTTTCCCGATCACGTACAGGATGACGGCAAGGCTGCCCCTTCGTACATTTACTCCAAGTACTCGCTTCCTCGTGGCAAGGTTGTTCAGCGATCTGTTCCCCTGGATCCTCACCCGCAAGCGTCGTTCCAATGGGAGCAACCCATGACGGCTCCAAGCAACGTACAAGCGATCCGACGCGGAGCACCCCCATCACCTCCAACTCGGCCGTCAAGCTCAGCTGAGCCTGATAGCCTTAGCTTGGCTAAACCTTCTTTTGACCAGGGAAAGCGCAGTCTGGATCGTAGTGGTCCAGCACCGCAGCTGTCCCCCAACCCCAGCCGCCCATCGACCGAGAGCCTCGCCTCGGAGGAGGACGCAAGGGGTCGTGCTCTTACCTCTCGAGCTCATGATGTCATTGCTCGTGGTCAGACGGCAATGTCAACAACCACGAGCGATTCCAACAGTACAATCAAGGCGACTCGTTCCTTAGCTTCAGGTGCTCCCACCGCTTCAGACATGACTCCAGAGGAGCACCTAGCCAAGGGTATTGAATGCCATGAGAATGGCTCAGTGAAGGAATCAACTTATCATCTTCGCCATGCGGCCAAGGGAGGCAACCCGACGGGAATGCTGCTGTATGCGCTGGCATGCAGACATGGCTGGGGCATGCGCCCAAACCAGCGAGAAGGTGTTGAGTGGCTTCGAAAAGCCGCTGAATGCGCCAGCCTCGAAATCGCCGACGATGAGGACCATGTCAAGGAAGGAAAGTTTGTGGATGCAATGGAGAGAAGAACTCGTAAAGCGCAATTCGCACTAAGCATTTACGAGCTTGGTGTGAGCCACATGAATGGATGGGGCATTGAGCAAGACAAGGCTCTTGCCCTGAGATGCTTTGAAATTGCCGGATGTGAGTTGAGACTGCCTCTTGTGAATGATTCACGAAGCTAACAGGAAAAAACAGCTTGGGGCGATGTAGATGCACTGGCTGAAGCAGGCTTTTGCTACGCTCAAGGAGTTGGCTGCAAGAAGAACCTCAAGAAGGCCGCCGGCTTTTACAGACAAGCTGAGGCCAAAGGGATGAACATGGTCGGCAACAGCTGGTATGTTTTACGTGTAGCCCTTTCAGGGAACAGAATATTGGGACTAACGTGCGCCATCACAGGATTCACAAGTCAAAGTATAATGACGAGGATAAGCCTGCCAAAAATGCCCGCAGCAAGTCTAGGACGCGCACCATGTTCGGCATTAAGACTAGTTAGCGATGAGTCTTTTTGAAGTTCTTTCTGCGCGGAGCGTCTAGCGGCATTTCATGGATCACGACCACTTGCATCAACAAATCAAATTCATACCCCGCATCTCCGGAGTTTTGGAAGACTGGCTCTGCGGAGTACAGCTGTTTTTTCTGGGCATTTAAAAACTCAGCGGCGAGGGATTGTGCCATTTTCTGCATTCAACGAAGTCGCTGGAAGGGTGACCTAAGGGAGGAGGACAAGGAGGCCTCTCCTTACTTTGTTATAACAACTTGTGCGAGGGATTTGGGTCTAGGGGTCTTTGGGTTTGTGTACAATGGACGAAAAGTGAAGGGTCCTTTCAGCGTGTCCAAACCTTGATCGAACATACCCTTGATTCCTATGTGTATACCACTTTTGTCTTTTTTTCTAGTAGGGAAGCAATGGTGTTGCTCCCTTCACAGGGTTTTCTTTTGTCACACAAAAATACGTCTACCTACCTTACTGCGGTAGTGTAGCCAATGGACCAGATTTTCGAGACCAAGTTTTCAACTACTACCTCTGATTGTTGTCAAATGCCGACCAGAATTAATGTGGCAGTGCTGCCTTGTACTTGATAGATGTTGACTGACTTATGTCACGGAGGAACGAGGTACGACAAGGCTGCCGGAGCATCTGCAGATAATTTTCAAAACTGTCTCGAGTGGGAGAGTGGCGGAGTGCGGGAACAGTTTGCATCAATCTCGTCTATTGCCATCATTGTATTGGTACAGAATCTTCCCGATATGGAAGTAATTCGTTAGCAAGCCCTAAGAACCCCAATTGCCTCGTAAATATCATGCATTCAGGTATCAACCTCCATCGCCTCGCTGGCCGGCACCTCCGTTACGCTCACGTAGCGGCCAATCTCATTCTTCTTAATAATCTTCTCGTTGAGCACGGCCGTGGTCCCCCTCTGGAAGGCGTAGCTCTTGAGCTTGGCGCTACGCTCGTTGGGCTTGACGAAGCCGCGCTTGAGGGTGGTCTTGTCCTTTGTGATGATAGCGACGTCCACATTGCTTCCGGAGCCGAGATCGTTAAAGATACCAGCCTGGATGGCGTCGCTGGCGAGCTTGACGGCCTCGTCCTGGGTCAAGGAAGGTTTCCACTGAGTCTCGAAGACGGACATGGCGGCCAATGAACCGGAACCCATAGTGACGTAGGGAAGCTTGTCGGTGGAACCGTGAGCGTGGACGGTGAACAGGTGAGTTCCCGTGGGGTCGACGCCCGCGACGACGAGGTAGGCACCGATGTGGCCCTGATACTGGAAGAGGTGCTGCTTGAGCATGGTCATGCAGGTGACGACACGGGGCTTGCGACCCGTGGAGAGGGCGTGGAGCTCGAGGTTAGAGGATATGATTGCCGTGGTGAACTCGGTGTCGGCGGCGGTACCGGCTCCCGCACACCAAATTTGAGGCGCGATGTAGTGTAGCTTTTCGCAGTTCTTATCGGCGACGATGGGACCCGAGGTTGCTCTTGTGTCGGCGGCAATCTAGGGTTATTCACTCTGTCAGCTACTGCAGGTGAAGGAGAGGAATGCATCATGGATAGGGGGGAGACCAGGCGATCCCCCAAGGCTGCTGCGTGCTCCCATCCTCGATCAAAGGCGCTAATCGAAATAATGGCCAAAGGGAAGAGGGGAAACTGACCACTACACCGCCGTCAAATATGCATCCCACGATGGTGGTACCTGTGCTCGTCGCCTTCGGGAGGGGGACACCTCGGGCGTGGAGGGCCGCATTGCGGTTGTAGTTTGAGAAATCGAAGCCGGGCATCGTTGCTGCCTTGTCTGGAAACCCCGGTCGCTATCCTACGTTTCTCAAAACCGTCGAATTCTTTCAAAGACTTGTGGTCGTCAATCGTGGCCGTCGATGTTGGGTTCGGGGAGAGGGCGTCGAAGAGGTGGGGATCGAGCTAGGTAAGAGGTGGACGTGGGAACGGTAGAGCTGATGACGAGGCTAAAAGCTGCCTTCGATGGTTGTTGCCGCTGTTTGGGGGGGGGGCCAGGAGCTCCTGCACGCCTGCAAGGCACACTGACATCCAACGGAGCTTGCCAGAGACAGCAATGATTGGACGGAGAGAGGCCCAGACCTGAGCTAGACCCAAGCTCGTCGCACGTGACTGGAATTTTTGGAGGGGATTGGCAGCGACCGGCTGGAGAACGAGGACGGACCAAGCAGACGGGGGAGAGCTGGGAATTTTTAGGTAGTCATTTCTCAAAAAGTCCAGGCAAAAGAGTAGCAGAAGGTGCAAGATTCTTTTACGCATCTCGACTTGGCGCCTCTGCTTTGCACCCAATTGCATCGCGTTTTCACGTGCGGGACGACACAACACCTATTTTTTTCCAATTTGAGGCGCTTAGGAGACTTCGTTCATCTTCTTTCTTTATCCCATTGCTGCCAGTTGCGGCAGCTGCAACATAGCCAAACCTCGTGGCTCCAGCAAAAACACCCTAGTCGACTGCAACGCGAGGTAGCAAGAGAGAGAGAGAGAGAGAGAGAGAGAGAGAGCGCGAAACAGAGGAGGGAACAAGACCAAGAAAAAGAAAGGAAGGAGAAGAGAAAATTCTTATTTACACCGCGAACCCCTCCAGCGAATGCGAAGGACTACCCTGACTTACACGTCCTCCCTCCACAAACCGGTCACGTCGCAACATGGCTTTCAGCTTCGCGAACCAAGGAAATACCATGTCGGGGAGCACGGCTGGAGGAGGAGGACTGAATCAAGGCCCCGAGCTGGAGGTGATCCAGACCGAGGTGAGATCTGGTCACCGACACCGTCGATGCCGTTGTCTTTTGAAAGTTCGAAGCTCACCATGTAAATCTATGCAGGCGCTTGGTTTCAAGTCGATTGCAGGCGATGCAAAGCTCCGACTCACATCCATCTGGTCCCCACCGCCCGCCGATACGGCTTCGCTAATCAGCATCGCCTCCCGCCGAGGTCTCGTCGCCGCTGCCGGACCTGACGGTATCACGATCACCTCGACCGACTCCGTGCGCAAAGGCTTTGAGGGCGAGAAGGAGGGCGACTCCGATGTCCGCACGTTCCAGCCGCAGGGCAAGCTGCCCATGTCTATGAGGGTGTCGCAGCTCGCCTTCAGCGCCGATGAGAACTACCTGATCCTCTCCGCCGAGAGCGGAGGCGGTCTCGCGGTTTATGAGGTGGAAAGCCTGCTTCAGGGTGGCACGAAAGCTGCGTTTGAGCTTGCAACGAACGGCGAGACGCTGAGGGCGCTCTTCCCGAACCCCACGATCGAGAAAGCGGAGCTATGCGCCATTGTGACGAATAACGGAAACCTGCACATGGCGAACCTGAAGGACAGGCAAGTCAGCAACTCTCTGAAAGCACAGGTTAGCTGTATAAGCTGGAGTACGAAGGGAAAGCAGCTGGTGGCAGGCTTGGCGGACGGAACCATCTTCCAGATGACTCCCGAGGGTGAAGCGAAGGGCGAGATTCCGCGGCCACCAAATGTGTCGAATGCTCACGGTAGGTTCTCGAGCCGGCGGAATGGGCAATTATGCTGAACTAATTTGCTACAGTATCTTCTCTGATTTGGTTGGAGAACCATCTCTTCCTCGCCATCCACACATCAACTTCGGAGTCCCCACCAAGTTCAGTATACCACATCATTACAAGAAAGTTGCCATCAGATTTCGCTTTCCAGAAGTTGAGCGACCCTGTCGACCCATTTGGTGCCGAAAAAGCGCCTCATCACTCAATATTGAGGCTTAAGGAATTCCCTCCCAACCTTCAAGATCTTCTAATCGTAGCATCAACCGTCTCCCCAGACATCGGCCTACTCAGCAGGGCGAAATCAGCCCTGACTTCTGATCATCCAGTCGATACCGCCGGAGTCTTTACCACAACAGAACTAGCTGATGACTCAAAACGTGCTTCTCTACCAATGAATGACAGCTTTGAAAACACCATCCCCATCGGAGTCGTCCTTGATCTCTCGGCCAAGGACAAGGTGTACAAGCCCTTGCCTGCCGATGAGGAGATTGAGGATTCTCCGGGCCCGGTACCAGGCTTGTGGGTGCTGAACAACGAGGGTGTGCTCAGTTCATGGTGGATTATCTACGAGGACTCCATCAGGCAGGGCACAACATATCCTGGCATGGCCGCACTCGATACTTCTGCGCCACCAGTAGCAGCATCCACCTTGACTCCAGCAGCAGCACCGGCGATGGCTCCGGCCTCGACTCCATCGGCATTTGGCACTCCTTCAAGCACCCCAGCCTTCGGCTCGACATCCGCCTTGGCTTCGGCCCAAAAGCCATCACCCTTCGGCTCGAGTGGATCCAAGATCCCTACCTTTGGTGGCTCCTCGACGTTGGGTTCAAAGGCTTCACCGTGGGGCGCTGCGACGTCATCTCCCTCCAACACCCCGGCGGCCTCTGGTTCTGCCTTTGGCAACGGAAGCCCCTTTGGTGGCAGCTCGGCTACATCTGGCTCAGCTTTTGGTCAGCCGCCCGCGACAAAATCAGCATTTGGTACAGGCGGCGCTTTTGGAAGCACTTCTGGCACTACATCGGCTGCACCCAAGTCGGCGTTTGGCAGCGGCAGCGCCTTCGGGACCCCATCTGCTTCTACGCCAGGCCCTGCATTTGGGCAGCCCTCTTCAGTCGGTTTTGGTCAGTCGTCTTCGCTCGGTCAGAAGTCATCCCCATGGGCGTCAGGTGGAGCATCTGCGTCAAATACATCTGCGTCACCAGCATTCGGACAGTCTAGCTTCGCTAGCCTTGGAACATCTGAGAACAAGAGTGTGTTCGGTAGTGGATCGGCAGCCAAACCTGCACCTGCGTCTGGGGGGTTCTCTAGTTTTGCTAGCTCTGGTGGCTTTGCTTCTCTTGGGAATAAGACCAGCGAGGGCGGCAGTGTTTTCTCCAGCAAGCCTTCATCCAGCCCATTCGGCTCAGGGGGTCGACTGGGAACGACTTCTAAGGATACTGCATTCCCACCCCCGAGCTCGACTGGCCCTGCGACTAGCAATCCATTCGGTCAGCCTTTCAAGTTAGGAACCACTTTCAAGGCAGACCCCTCTGCCAAGGACGAAGACGAAAAACCGTCGACTCCAGGCGGCTCCTCTCTGTTCGGCAGCAACTTCGGTTCCGCGCTCGGAAGCGCAGTGACCAAGACCCCCCCCAAGGAACAGACCATGGAATCAAATGAAGAGACTCCAAAACCCAAATCAGTCTTTAGTCTTGGCCAATCCACGACGCCCAAGGAAACTCCAGCGCCTTCCAAGTTTGGCTTCCCACCAACTTCAACATCAGCCCCCAAGAGTGGCTTATTTGGATTCCCTTCGCAGCCAGCGACAGGAGGTTTATTCGGTTCCGCGAAGCCCGCGGAGAAGACACAGGACATCAGCATCGAGCCCAACACTCCTCTACCCCCTGATGCGACAAGCAAGAACTCATATCCTCTCGGTGATTCCTCGTCCTCCTCGGGCACAGGAAATGTTCCCTCAGACGGTGGAAGTAAGGCTTCACCTCAAGTGGATAATGCGCCTCTGCCTCCTGACTTCCTGACTACGCCAAAGGCAATGTCAACGAAGGCAGCCGAAGCTGCTCCGCTACCTCCGGATTTTCTCAAGCCTTCAAAGCCACAGGGAAGTACTACCCCAGTCGGCGAAGCGCCTCTCCCACCCGACTTCCTTACGCCCAAACCCGGCAAAAACACAATGTCCGCTACACCCTCGGCCGCCCTTCCTTTGCCAGCAGACGACCTCTCCTCCCCCGAGGAGCTTGAACGACCGAAATCGACTGCGCCTGCTGCGGCTCCTGACTTCCTGAAGATGCCCAAGCAATCCTTGTCGTCGGCAACGTGGTCGTCTACCCCCCAAAACACCACGCCTGCGGTGAATGATGCACCGTTGCCGCCGGACTTTCTTGCCAAGCCCAGGGAGAATAACCTTCCTCCCATTCCGACCGTGCCTGACAGCGAGCATGACACCGATCTTGAAGACGAGGACGAAGATGATGAGTCCGAGGGCAGCGGCGTTATTGTCTCCAAGGACCAAAGCCCTTCCATTACGGCGATGACCCCTACGGCGGGCATGACCCCGCAAAGCTCATTTGGTGGTATGAGTAGCAGCACCTATTCGGTCCCACGCACAGAGGAAGAGAGACCGCGGGCATCATTGTTTGGCGACCTGAGCCGCAATGCTCCCATGTTCCCCAGACCGTCGCAAACAAGCCCTCGTTCTCCCAGCCCAGTCCGTGGCGCTGTGCCAGGCCGTATACTACGCCAGGAGTCTGCTCGTTCGGTTAGTGCTCCGGGTATGGCATCCCAGATTCTCGCAGCCCAGAAAAAGCAGCCGTCACAACTGGGTTCATCGATTGTAGGGAACAAGTCCAATGATGATCCCTTTATTGCGCAGCAGAGACTTGCTCGTCAAAGGCGGCAGGCCGAGGAGACCAAGACGCTGGAAGATGAGGAGGACGACGAGATCCAAAAGATCCTTGCGTCCAAGATCGAACCTACACTGAAGCTGGATGACTTCATCGCCCACTCTAACGTTGTGCCGTCGGCTAAGGAAACCATCCCTGCCCAGGTGGAGGCAGTATATCGCGACATCAACTCGATGATTGACACCCTTGGCCTGAATGCTCGCTCCCTTGCCAGCTTCCTGATGGGCCACGATATTGGATTCCAAGCCGGTGGCCGACGCAAGGAAGACCTCGAGACCCCAGACAGCTGGGTTCTCTCCGAGATTGATGAGCTCGGAGAAGTCATTGACAGATCTTTGGCTCAGGACCTCGAGGATGGGCGTGTTCATGATGTTGAAGAGAAGCTTGAGGCGTGCAATGAGCTCGCCCGTGAGATGTCTCGTCTCCGATCAAAGCAAGACGACCTTAAGAAGATCATTATGGTGAAGACCGACCCCGATCAGGCCGACATCAGCCGTTCTCTGCCTCTGAGTACCGAGCAGGCAAGTCAGCAGAACGAGTTACGTCGCGAATACACCAACTTCACCAAGCTTCTGGCCGAGGCCGAGGAGGCCTTGACAATTCTGAAGACAAGAATTGCAGCCGCGAGTAGCGCGTCTGGAAAGGGCAATTCCAACATGCCTACTGTTGAGGCCGTCATGCGCACCATTGGCAAGATGACCAGCATGGTAGAGAAGCGATCCGGCGATATCGACGTTCTCGAGAACCAGATGCGCAAGCTCCGCTTCTCGTCGGTTAACAGCCGCGAAGGCTCACCAATGGTCACTCCTCAAAGGAACAGTCGATCCATACTGTTCTCGCCCGACCGGCTTGCCGCCACGGCGTCGCCCGGCACCTTACGTAACTCGTTGGTGTCCTCTGTGGCTTCGTACGGCGGTCGCGGCACGCCCCCACGCAAGAAGCTGAGCGGATTTAGCGGGGAGGAGAAGTCGGAGCTGATGGCGAAGAGGGCCAAGCGTCAGGCCGTATTGAACAAGCTCAAGGCTAACGTCGAGAGGGCAGGCGTGAACGCGTGGGCGATGGAGGATATTGAATGAACGATTCGGTGGTGGTAAGGCGTTGCGGTCCGCCAATGCGACTTTACTGCACGGCTTTTGGAGTTAATGATGCAACGGGGATATATGGACTGTGAAGCAGAGATAGTGTATGCCATAATGTAAAAAATTCACATTGCACTCAAGCTTCGGGCCAGACTGTGACTACTTGAATCGAGGTTTCTGGGGCTGAAAAGCATCAAAAGTCGATTTTGGACTGACCTCTACTAGCCTGATCATCCGTTGATACACAAATAGTTTTGCCTCCTCTCACGGTTGACCATGCAGCTATGGGCTGCTGCACTGGAACTGCAGTAACTACTGACGAAATTCTCGCCACAAAGCCGAGACCATTTCGAATTCGTTGGAAAATACATTGTTTAAAGTCATGTGGTAGATAGAAATAGTGGAGGCGTATAGCGCCAAGCCACGTCCCACATCTGTCGAAGACTGATGATGTTCCGCATCCCTTCTTTATATCTAATTACACATCTGTGCATGTCTCAGGCAAATCCAGCCGTTGTACCGATAGACACTTGGAACCAAGACGGCGACAATCAGGCTATGACGCAGGTGAAGAAAAGGGGTTGAGGATGTCACCGGCTCACCATACGCGCTCATGAGTGAAACGTTCATTGCACTGTCCACTCAGAAAGAATATATATGCATGATGAATAACTTACGTGGCTACATTGCAACTTAATGGCACACACACTTGCCCGTGAGAGCCGGTACATCTCGAGAGGCAAGGAAGACAGAGATCTTCGGAAGATCACCCTCGGCCAGAAGCCCCAGTCGACATACCGAAGCGGTATATCTGCCGAAGAAAGATGGAATCTTTTCCGGCAACGGCACACCGAGACGGGGGCGGCACACAAGGCTCCGCTTGTTCATAACGACCTTGACGTCACCTCTCGAGATGCGCCTTTGGGCAAACGTATAAATAGCTGAATACGCCAGCGGGAGCCTGCTTGATACTTCGCAACAGGGTCCTTGCGAAGTAACAGGTGTCTCAAGAGGAAGTTGTTCCCTCTTTAAAAAAGATACCCTGTGGACAATGTATAACACAGAAAGACATCGACGTCTGGGAACGTGCCAAATGATTATGGCAGACTTTCCCCAGATTTCCACGACTCGAACAGTCCACATGTACAGAGCCAGACAGGCTAGGCATATCAATACCCTACCACAAGGATATTGCGAGTATGTCACCGGTTCTTGTAGCATTACATTCAACAGAGCATGAATGGGGAAAATGGGACTAGGAGGCTTTGGGACTGCTTTCGCAGCAAGACATTTGGACTAGGACTGGAACGAACCGCGGGCAGTTTGTGAAGAGGGCCGAATGGAAGTTGTGCAAAAACCATTGAATACCGTCGCTGAGCCATGTCTTTTGAACACCTGACATTGATGCCGCCCGATCTACCGTTCGTCGTTATCGCGTTTGTGTAGCCGGCCAGCAAAAATCAAGTTGTTGATTTTTTTTCATTTCCCGTCCTCGAGCCCCAGACAATATGGCTACTCTTCGACCCGTACACACAAACTTCTCTCCAATCTTTGCCGAATCACGCAGAATTATGTTCCCATGTCTCGATAAAAAAAAGGGGGGAGGGTTTTCGGCGGGTGTGCGTTTCGCCTCATGCGTGGTTGTTTGACGAGTTTGATTTGATGCCTTTTTTTAGCAAGCAAGGCACTATGCTCTTGCCCTTGCCTGGACCGATGCAACCAATTCAGAATCCATCCTCAATACCAACTCCGTCCGATGATGAGTCCGTTTTTTTAAATCGACGAGGGGTAGAGCATCACGCGAACGGATGCGCCGAAAGAGCGGGTGGGGAGGGGGTTGGAGAACTTGGCGCGGACGACGCCAGAGTTGCCTATTCACTCGTATTAGCTGGGAGGGCTCGGTGTCGCGGGGTGTTCGGTCGAAGGCTGTATTTACCGTGAGGGCGGGTGACCTTGCCCCAGATGACGCGGATCTTGGAACCGCGGATCTCCTTCTGGGCCTTGTAGACGTAGGCGATCTTCTTGCCGAGGTAGAAGCTGCTCTCATATTAGCCACCGATCGTGGGCGTTAGGGCGCAGAGGGTGACATACTTGGCGGCGTTGGTGTCGTCAACTCCCTCGATCTTGATCAGACTCGTCTTGGAGTGGGTGACGTGACGGCTACGCTGGTAGCTGAGGTGACGTCCCCTGGAATGCTTGTTAGTTTCGATTCTTTGGTTTGAAGTGCAGTTCGTCGCGCAAGTTCGGGTCGCTGAGTCGTCGTTTTCAAGTGATTGAGAGAAGTCGTATTGATCCACGATTGCTTTGTCGGTCCTGGTCTGTGGAATTTCGATGAGTGTGACTTACTTGACGTATACTGCGAAGCATCATGTCAGTAAAAGTTCCGAGTATGTAAATACCACAATGCAGCATGGGCAAAGCGCGCGATGGTTGACCCTATTCACAGGGTGCGAGACATGCGTGGCTCCGTCCGATACGTAAATTTTTGGGACAGGAAGTGCAGGATCAAATAACTCACATCTGTGACCGGCTTCCGAAGGCATTTTGGCGGTGGTTAGTATGGCGACGCTCCAACCAAAGGGACTCGAGAAAGGAAGGCAGAGGATTGTCGATGGACTAATACTCCGGGCGCTCGTCGTGGGTTGGCGATTTCGGTATGTTCGCTACGGGGGCCGATAGCCAATTTCGAATTTCGTCGGCGCACAATTAGGGCTGCGGAGGCACGTGAGATGACTAAGGAACAGACTCCACCCACCCAGACCTATCTTCCAGATAAGATAAGACGGGCGAGCCACGATGGCTCCAAAGTGAGGCGCAGTCAGCTTTTCCTATGTCCGTCAGCCAGGCGTTTCCAAGTTTGCCATCCTAACTGGGTTTCTCGGCCAACTCGGTGCCAATCCCGCTCAGCTGCCGACACGGGGCCAGTGTGACCCGGACGCGTCTTTGCCGCTATTCAGTCCACACCGACTTCTCTCGCACCTTCATTTGCCCGAATATTTGCAACCGCGGCTGATCAGACCTCGGAGTCGTGGGAGAAAATCCGTCTATGATAAAAAAAAATCTATATCATTGCCTGATGCACAGCAATGCTCACCCTCCGTGAGCATCCCCGGAGCTCCTCAGGTCAACACTGATACATCTCGCAGGCAGTTGCCAGGGGGGTGGGGACGCCAATGAAAGGGAGGATGGTCATAACTGATGACCTACGCAAGTTTTGACGGTAGGGAATGGCAAACTCGGAAACAGATGTGCGGCTCGACCTGAGTTCCAGAATATTTCAGGTCATCCGCTAGAGCTTGGACGCCGAACCCGCGGAATTGTGAGACAGTTGTAGGGCGGCCTTTCCTGGCAGTCCGCCGTCCCAAGTATAACCACCACGCGAGGCCTAAAATCTCGCGGGATTTCCTCAACTAGATCGGTGTCTCTTTGGAGCAGACAAGATGAAGGAGAGTGGCTAAGGGGGAGAGACAAAGCCTCATGACCACGCAGGAAATGTCTCAAACGTATCCCACTGTTAAGAGTCAACTTAACTATGAATACCACGCAACCTACATGAATTTCGGACCTTGGGAATTAGAACCGACGAAGACCGAAGTGTGGGGGGCACTCGACAGCGACTCCGGAGATGCTCTCAAATGGCCAGGCGGCGGCCGGGGTAATAAACGTCCGGCACAGGTAAAGCCGCCAGCTTCAACGATTGGAACGCCTCGAATGGTGGACTTGCGGCAATTTCTAGCCGCCAAACTCTGCCGATTGCCAGCAGTCTGCACTCTCCAGTAGAGCTTCATGCCAAAGTTGCACTGGCCGGACCGGCAGAAGGATGGAGTTTGGCTGGTGGCATGGAACCTTGCAAGACACCGCGGTGACAACACTGGAGCCATGGAGGGAAAGTATATCCGCCTGTCCTGCAGTACCGATAGATGTGACTCTCCAATGCAACTGGGCCCGACGATACAGGTCAGAGTGACAGATTTATCGTTACGGAGCACCGTTTCACACAGGCTGGCAGCCCACGCTCCCACAGCTTCCCAGATTCCAACCTCGACTCTCAGCTGCCCAGACCGAGCTCATAAGCAGCAAAGTCCGATCGGGAGCCTCGGCGGTGTCCGGCGTTTGGAAGAGAGGGACTGGGAGTACCGCCGCATCAGCTGGGGCTGGAGATGGAGCCCAAGCCAAGATCCAGACGCTCAACCATCACTGCTGGACTCTTGTTGGCGTTGGTGAATTTTTGGGCCCTGGCTGTCTGAGGTCATAACTGTGGATGTTGTATTGACTGTTCAATGTTGACTGATTTTGGGGGGTCTAGGTACCCAAGGGCCGCAAATCCCGCACGTATGCGGGTGCATTGAAGCAAGTGTGTGCCGTGGGCTAAAGTTGCGGTGCTAGCCGACAGGGCTCTTGATCTTTTCTTATGTCTCTCCATTCTTCCTCTGATGTTTGGTGCTTCTGGAACTCCGATGCGCTCTGACAAGTGTTGGTCCAACATTTCTGCTGCAGCCTGCATATTACGGAGGCCCCCTAGCTCCTCTTCAGTCGAGGTACCCGATCTGCTCAAGAATCTCTCTTCTTCTTTTCCGGGTAGGGATCTGGCATCATCCAGGTATCTGTACTGTGATGTATTGTGTAGGTACTGTATGGACGTACCTGCTGCCGATACGATTGAGGAGACTGTCCCGAACCGGGATGATGGTATAGCGACGCTTGCATGCCTGTTTGGTGTTTTCTTTAGAACCCGAGACTGCACCCTTGCTCTCAAATTCAGATCCGGCAGAGAGACACTCACCAGTCCACTTACAAGCTAGTGGTAGGGGTTGCCTTTGTATCTCGAACCCAATTGCCCACCGTCTAGTCTTTGATGCCGTCAGCGCCGGACAAATCAAGGTGGCATGGGCGTGAATGCCTCTGTGCACACTGGAGCTATGCCAGGAAGCTCTGACTACAGTCGAGTCGAGTCGAGTCGACTAGATGGATCTGCTGCTGTTGATGGTCGGGAAGCTTAAGACCGATAAATTCGTGTGAATCTCCGGGAGCGCTCAACAGTTTGTCAACAAGACCGAGGAGGTGCCCCTCCTTTCCTCCCCTCCATTGACATCAACCCTGTTCAAGTCCCGCGTCCAAAGTCGGCGAGGAGCAGACAGAAATCCCGGGGACATTGCACTAGGGCCCTGTCTCTCGCAAAAAAGCACCGAAAACCTGTGGAAAAATCCACGAGAGCCCGCTCGCTCACTAATCATCCCTCTCCGTCTCCGTGCGCTCAGCTCCCTGCTCTCCACAGCTTCTCCGACCAAGTCCAAGTCCACGTCTACGACCGTCCGGCGAGAGCGGGCGCTGTCTGAAAACACAAAGACGACCTGTGCCAACCTGTCTTGCCGGTGTCGACTTACCGCTCAGTAATGCCGCCGAAGTCGACTTGACCTACTATCCACTTGCCCATCAAGGGAAGCTTACCCACCAACTGATTCGCTTCCAAGCGCAAAAAGGCGAACCGCGGTGCGGTGCGGTTGCGGGACTCAAGAATTCAACAAGTATCCAAGTACAGTACATGGCGCGCTAAGGTGGTACAAAGACGGGGGCTGCGACTGTGAGTAAGCTCCCCCTGGCTCCCGTGCTGCTTTGACAAACCCCGCCGGGATGCACTAAACGCGGTACGTCGACCTGATCTCAGGCTAAGTATCTTTTTGGCTTTTTGCCGTCTCGTCTGGCCCGGTCTTTGTACGGTACTCCCCCCTCCTTCACTCCAGCGCCCTCGCGCGCACCACGCTGCCATACCTGCCTGTGTATCCCTACCCTACCTTATCCCATTCACCCCATCCACACATGTGTCGGGTCCGTACCCATACCTCTCCGTCTGCACCCCTACCTAGAGGTGAGGTACATCAGTGCTTCGTCATTACTAAATACCCCAATCCATCCGTCCCGGATTCCGCCCAGCATCTCTTTCCAAAACCTCCCCAACTCGCTCTTCTGCCTTTTTGCTTGCTAACTTTGGTTTCCTGCTGTAGAGGCTTTCCTATCTCCGTCTACTCTACATCTCTCATCCAAAGAACATCCATAGTCGAGCCAGCTTCATCACCAACATCACACGCCATGGCCGATCTTACCTCCGCCGCAGCGTATGTCACCCCGCCTTCCTGCCCCACCAAGATTCCCTTCCGCATTGATTTGCGACTCCGGAGGTTCGCTCAGTATCGCCGACCTTCTTGGATTCGACAATCTCTGTTGTCCTATAATGGCAATGGCATCATTCAACTTTTCTCGGTGCGGGTTTGGCTGACAATAGCGCTATGTCCACAGTTCTATGGAGCTCAAGGAGAACACCGTCATTGTGGTTCTCGGTGCTTCCGGAGATTTGGCAAAGAAGAAGACTGTACGCGACTGAGCTCCTTCGCCGCCTGACGATCTGCTGACGCTTCTGTAGTACCCTGCTCTCTTCGGTCTGGTATGAGCTTCTCGACCGCATTGATATGCCTCTCCGCGGATTTGGTGAGCTAACCCGGAGCGAATAGTACCGAAACCAGTTCCTTCCCAAGGACATCAAGATTGTCGGATATGCACGGACAAAGATGGACCATGAGGAATACATACGCCGCATCAGATCCTACATGAAGACACCCACAAAGGAGATTGAGCAGCAGCTCAACGACTTCTGCGACCTCTGCACCTACGTTTCTGGCCAATACGACAAGGACGAGTCCTTCCTGAACCTGACCAGGCATCTCGAGGAACTCGAGCAGGGCAAGCCTGAGACTCACCGTCTCTTCTACATGGCACTTCCCCCCAGTGTCTTTACCATTGTCTCCCAGCACCTGAAGAAATGTTGCTACCCTACCAAGGGCATTGCGCGCGTTGTCGTAAGTGTCGTCCAAACTTCGTCATTCTGTGCGGATTGGCTAACATGATAATGTCTGTAGATTGAGAAGCCCTTCGGCAAGGACCTCGCCAGCTCCCGGGAGCTGCAAAAGTCCCTTGAGCCTGACTGGAAGGAAGATGAGCTCTACCGCATTGACCACTACCTCGGCAAGGAGATGGTCAAGAATATCCTTATCCTCCGCTTTGGTAACTCCTTCTTCGGCTCTACCTGGAACAGGCAGAACATCGACAACGTTCAGATCACCTTCAAGGAGCCTTTTGGCACTGAAGGTCGCGGCGGTTACTTCGACGAGTTTGGCATCATTCGCGATGTTATGCAAAACCACTTGCTCCAGGTCCTCACCCTGCTCGCCATGGAGCGCCCCATTTCCTTCGCCTCCGAGGACATTCGTGACGAGAAGGTGCGCGTTCTTCGCGCCATGCCCGCCATCGAGCCCAAGAACGTTATTATCGGACAATACGGCAAGTCTTTGGACGGCAGCAAGCCCTCGTATAAGGAAGACGATACCGTCCCCAAGGACTCCAGATGTCCCACCTTCTGCGCCCTCGTGGCTTACATCAAGAACGAGCGCTGGGATGGCGTTCCCTTCATCATGAAGGCCGGCAAGGCTCTCAACGAACAGAAGACTGAGATCCGCATCCAGTTCAAGGACGTCACCTCGGGTATATTTAAGGACATTCCCCGCAACGAGCTTGTCATGCGCATTCAGCCCAACGAGAGTGTCTATGTTAAGATGAACTCCAAGCTGCCTGGTCTCAGCATGCAGACTGTTGTTACCGAGCTTGACTTGACTTACCGCCGCCGCTTCTCTGACCTCAAGATCCCTGAGGCCTACGAATCATTGATTCTGGACTGCTTGAAGGGCGATCACTCCAACTTCGTCCGTGACGACGAACTGGATGCCAGCTGGAGAATCTTCACCCCTCTGTTGCACTACCTGGACGATAACAAGGAGATTATCCCCATGGAGTACCCCTATGGCAAGTTCTCGAACCGTGTAAATCGTGTTATCAATCTTCTGACCAATTCTTAGGATCTCGCGGTCCCGCTGTCCTCGACGACTTCACGTCCTCCTATGGTTACAAGTTCAGTGATGCGGCTGGATATCAGTGGCCTACTACCTCTGCTCAAGCTGCCCCGAACAAGTTGTGAGTTACACGATGTGCGCGCCTGAGCGTAGCTACCATACATAGAAGAATTGATTCTAAAGGACGTCTACAAGTAGCTGAGCAAAACCTCCACCCCCATCACACCAACTACAAAAGACCACGTTCGGCCAATGCAATCGCGGCATCCCCTGCGCCGCCTTGAGCGCGCGCAACGTATTATAACCATCGAAGGGAGGGAATAGATTTCAAAGAAGACTACATAAACAATGGAAGCCAGAGGGAACACCTACGGGTCGATGCTGGTAGGATGATGGACATTTCTTCGCTTTGCTTGGCTGTTTCGGAGAGGATAGAAAATGAACGAGATTCACGTTTCTAATGACCAATGTCTTACATTACCGGAATTTGCTTCGATTTACGAGCTCTCTCGCAAGAAAGGGAATCAAACCAAGACACGTTTGCCCTCGGCAGAATCGGGGTAATGAGGTGCAACGACCCTGCCCAAGTTGCAGGCCGCAGCCGTTTTCGATCCCCATGTTCCTACGTCAAAAATGTTTCACAAAATCGGTCTCCAAAGGTGAAAGTTATCATTGGCTCCTTGATACCTGCGTGGGAGGCGGGTGCGCTCGACAGAGGCCAATTATGCTAGTGGAGGGGCCTTCCTAAGTTGAAGACATTATTCTAATCGATATCTCAATGACTAGAGGAAATCTAACATCAATCACCTTCATCAAACGAAGGGGGGGGGCAAAGGCACTTTGACATTCATATATTGATTATTAAATTCATTGACGGCTATCCACCTAGCAGAGGGCCCCGTAGGAACGCACCCCCTCCCTCGTAGGTATCTGGATAGGTAGCTGGAAACGATCGACCAAGGATGCATGCTTCGAATGAATGACTAAGGTATCCAGGTATCTAAGTACCTCGAGTGTCGGAGCTTCTAGGTACCTTAGGTAAGGTAGGTACAAGGTCCCTACCTAAGGTATTTGTGTTGTGTTGATAAGATAAGGTTAACCTGCTAAACGCCTTACGGTTAGGTAAGGTAGGTAGTCTGCGGTTTGGACTTGGACCCCATCGCTGTCTCATTGGCGAAGATCACATGACACGCCCATCCGGACGAACAGCAAGGACAGTCGACTGTTGGCGCCTGTAGGCAGTACAAGAAAAATGCAGAAGGCTCGGGTTGCACCGTAACCGACCTATCTTAGTTCCGCCCTGGTCGTATGCCTGGCTGCATCATTTCACTATCGCATCACCACTTGCCCGATTGCCTGGTAGTCAACCACTCGACTCTGTTTGCGCGCCCCGACTGCCACGACTCTTCCGAGATCCATAATCCATAACTTCTCAACTTGCGAATTGCTTTCGAAGGGAATCAGCGATCCAATCTCGACACCGATTACACGTTCCCCCAATCGACGCTAGGTCCGTTCCTCCATTTGATTACGATCTCATCGCGTTTATACGACACCACGCTTGCGCCTGTCAAATACGAAATCACGACCAACAAAGCCTAACTACGTGTATCGCGACCCTCTTTGAAACTACGGTTTCTTAGTGGATGCGATTGCGCTACGTTGCCGGCTTGCGCATCCGGCGCCGATGACTGAATCCTGTCTGACACTCACCTCGGATCGGGACCAGCATTTGATTATTCTCCGTTGCTCATCCGACACGGTTTCTCGAAGTATCGGTATCCAGTATTTTGTTTACCAAGAAAGAAAAAAAGACATATTTTGGGGGGCCGGTCGTGACGCAGGCAACGAGGCAGGAAGTGCCCTCCCCTGATGCCTGGACTCGTCAACATGGAGAATGGAGGTTTGAACGGCACACACCCAAACCATGACAGAAACCTGAAAGTCAACGGCATCAATGGTGGAGCGATGGAGGGACAGCCAAATAAGGGCAAGGCACCGGCCGATACTCCTGCGTCCGGCAGCATGGCGAATGGCCTCTCCGGTGGAAACGTCCAGCACGACTCCCAAGGCAAGCAACAATCGCAAGTGTCGACCGGGCTGACATTACAGCAAAAGCCGAGGATGAACGACCTGCCCGAGGAGATTGTGCACATCACCCAGGGGTACATTCCTCTATCGACGATCGTGTCGCGACTCGCGCAACACACTCACGAAGAGCTACAGAAGACGATCATGGATATGGCAGCCATCAAATGGGCACCTCCTGCTGTGAACGGAAACACACCCCACGGCAGCGACGCGCCTGACGATATGTCGGAAGGGAACAAGAGAAGGAAGATGCTCATGCTCAAGTTTGCACAAGATGCGCATTCCAAATGGGTCAAGGCCCTCGTCATCACGGACTGGAGTAAGAATGCGGAGGCTGTCAGCAAGCTTATCGACATCAAGGCGCACATTGACTCGAAGCGCATGCTATACGACTACTCCCAGGACTTATTGATTGACCTGAAGCTTTCGCTTATTGGCGCCCGACTTCCCAACCCAGACTTGAAGACTGCTTTGCAGGTTTTGACGACTGGTGAAGCATCATGGGTTCCAGAGGTATGTTTTGCAAGTTGCGCCAGGGCGCAGATAGAAGCTGACATGTCACAGCCTGGGTATATTCCATCGCCGCCGTTGACAGCAGAAGAACAATTGAAATGGATTGACGACCTCAACACGATGCTTTCTCTTCGCCTGAACCTGGACGATTACGACAAAATACCACATCAGTTCAAGAACTACACCATACAGTCTGGCAGAGTCACTTTCATAGTGAAGGGCGAGTTCGAAGTGGACCTGACAATCGCCGACGAGGACTTTAACAAACAATTCTGGTTCATTGACTTCCGATTCGCCTTTTCACCCTCATCAACCAAGCTCTCTGACGCGCTGGTGTCATTCCTCGAGGGACAAGTCAACGAAATCCTTGGAAAGGAGGGCCTCGAGGGATGCTACCGATTCCTACACGAATTCGTGCTCACACACAAGATCAGCGAGCTCAGGAGACAAGCCATCGAGCTGAGTCGAAGCACATGGACCGGCACATTGATGGTTGAACCTTTAAACAGAGCCTTGGCCCTGCAATACTGGACCACTCGATACGGACCTAACGGACCAAAGAGCTGGGTCATGATTGCCGTGAATAGTGCGAGGAAGACGAATGGGCAGACTAATTCGAAGCACTCCAGCCGCTTGGTCGCACGCTGGTATCGGGACAACAAGGAAGTCAAAGATCTTTTCCTGCCATTTGACGTGGACAACTTGTGCGCCGAAAACCTGCTCAAGACCGCAGTCGCCAGGCACGTTGAACACATTCTCTCGTCTATCCACACCAAGCTGCTATCATATCCTCGGTTCGTCAACAGGGAGTCCTCATTGAATATGACGATTTCTCAAACGGAACCGATGGAGTCATCACTGAGCATGCAACTAGGCTCTCGGGACAATGTCACACTCATAATACAACCCGTTACTGGGTTCGCCGCTATCAAGCCTCACACGAAATACTCACTAACGGGAGAAAGTCGCCTCAATTACGGCGGCAAGGACCCTGCAGAGGTCGGAGTTACCTGCCTTGAAAATATCAGGTGGGGCTACGTCATTGAAGAGTGCCAGCGCAGAGGACGAAGTGTGGGTTGGAAGACTTGCAAGAGTCCGCTTGGTGGCGAAGACATCAAGCAAATCGTACGGACCCGTGAGGCGTTCCAAACTATTTTCCTGCAGCGTCAAAGCCTGGACCAGAGCTGGTTCGTCATGGTTTCCTTGAGCTTGAGTGGCGATGAATGGTGGCTGCTTGATATGTAAGTTTGACCCTCATGAAAAGCGCGCTTGGTTAGCGATACTGATGATTATAGTGACCGCAGTACACCAACGCGTCCGATCAAGTTCCGCACCAAAATGTCACTTACTCGAGGGCAACCCGACCTGGATGACTCCTTCTGGTCTAACCTGACACTTTTCGTTACTGGCATCATTTCACACGCTACTGACTTGGAACACCTGCATAGAGGCAAGGTCCAATACTTAACAAAGGAGTCCACCAACTATGCGCTACCGCAACAAGTACGGCTTCCATCTCTTCTCATCAAGTTATCGCAGATCTTGAGGTCACCAGAAACTGGCGCACAGGATGGCTCCAAAGACGTCTCCAGGCAGTCGGGCAAACAAGATTCATCTTGGGCGCAGGATCAGGTCGAGGTGAAGTTCAAGGGACTTCAGACTCGGCCTACGATCGCCCAAGGTCAAGATGGCAAAGGTTCCTCAGCTGTCGATACAATCGAGAACGCCGAGCTAAATACGGTTGTCGACGCTATTGTCCGAGTCAAAGATAAGGCCAAATTTGCGCTCCTGAGGGGGCGTATCGACCGAGACGTCTCCTTCAGTCCCAGGAAAGGCGAGTTCATATTCCGCATACGCCAGTCGGTTGGGCAACCTATACTTGAGACTTTGACAGCCCATGTCAAGTCCATTGATCGCCTTGTAGGCTTCCTCGAGGCCATGAGCAAAGCAAGAGGTTCTCTCAAGTGCGAGAGAGTCGGTCTTCGACAGGTGGTTTTCACGTACGGTGATGTCGCGATGCCAGGCGAGAGCGACCAGGCTCAGAAACCGAGACGCTGGAGGGTATCCCTCGACTTGGTCAAGAGTGATATCAGAATGTCTTTGGAAAAAGGGAACCCGCACGGGAGAGTTCTCGATTTACTCACGGCTTTGGTAAATACTCAGGACGGACTCAAAGCCTTGATCTTTTACATGCCGATACTATTACCCGTTCTGAGAAGCCTCGAGAGTATTGAGTCGAAATGGGAACCCCTCGAAACAACCAACCAAGGACGCGTCGAAGTCTTTACTAGGTCTGTTGACTGGATCGCTCTTCGTTACACCCTTCCTAGTCCGACAGGCCAATCTCGGGTTTTAGTATTGGAGGTTCGAAGCAAGATGCGGCGCAATGAGATGTGGTGGAACTTCACCCGCGCAACACAGGGTTCAGTTGCTGCCGACGAGGAGTTTAACAAGATCCTAAGGGGAATCTGGGAATCTCACGGCGATGGCTGGAGGGGTCTGAGAAGTGGCGCAGCTTCGAGGCCTGGCCTTAGCACCATGGAGTTGCTCACGAAGCTCGACGACGCTGTGCGAGCGTACGCTGTGACTGGTGACGTTGGCAACGCACCATCAACCGAGGGGCAGCCGACGCAAAGCAGTGGAACAATTTCAACCAATCAGTCGTTTGGCACGCAACCAAAAAGCGTGAGCCAGGGGAACAAGAAGACCGGTGGAGGAAGTAAGCAAGCGCCCTTGGTGCTCGATTGAATCCCCGCAGACGAAAGATAGAATTGAGGAAGAGGGACAAGGATAGAGAAGTGACGTCGACAAGGGGCAGGCTTACAGCCCATGAGCGTGCATAACCTAGCCAGAAAGCGGGTTGGATGCCATGTGTTTCTTTTATCTTCTTCTTCGATTCACCATCATTATTAGTGACGGCGTGATACCACGGGACGGGTATATGACACTTCGAAAGCCAGGCGGATGGAGCACGCGTTATCGTGCCAGTAGAGAAAAGCCAGCCGGCCATGACCGGTAGATGGTCACAAAGATACCTCAAAATAACAGTAAATTTGTCGATGTGAGTACGTGTCTCGCGTAGCGTGATGTTTGTGGTCCAGTCCCGGTTTAAGAAATACGTAGTTCCCATCGTCGATAGCCTTGACAACTAGTCTTTGACGAACACGGGTTGAGATTATATACAATTACAGACCTCACAAGTCAACGAGGGTTTTTTCTATATCCAGGGTTTTTTTCTTTCTCCGATGTTGAATAGTGCACGAGCAACGTATGATACAGTAACATCTTCACATATGGCAACAGGTTTTGCTCGTAGCGCACGTCTTATCAGCGGACGTAGTTCCTCCATCCGATCGTCTCCTCGATATCACGCCCGATATGGCGCAGTCCAGTCCGAGAGGTTTCGAACAGCTCCAACTTGGACCACTCGAACTGCGCGAGACCCGTGTCGCCCACGTGGGCCTGCGCGGACTGCGCAATGTGCACCGCCATATCGTAGCCGGCGCGGATGGCGCCCGTGACGCCAATATTCGTGTACGAGCCGCCCGCGACGGCGAGCTGGCCACCGAAAGCGTCTTGCAGCTCGTAGCTCGCACGGCCCATTTGTTCCCAGTGGCCGACGTGGTGCTGCGGGATGCAGTCCTTTGCGAGGTGGGCCATGGCGAAGGCGGGTTGGGTTTTGGGGATGCCGAGGTGGCGCTCGAGGACGGATTTGGCCATCTCGATGCCTTCTTGCTCAGTGGGGTACGAGCCCGCGGGGAGGTCGTTCCAGTAGTGACCGCCCATGAGGACGAAAAATTTGGTGCCCTCTGGCTCGTCGGGGGCGCAGGGGACGACGTCCGAGTCGAAGAAGACGCCGAGGAGGCCTTCGAGGTTGGAGTCGGTTGCGCGAGGCACGAGGTAGCCGACGCCCGGATGGGAGGCGTTGAGGTTAGGCTGCGGGTACCACAAGTTTACGGCCATGATGGAGACGTTGGGCGAGCTTGCGAGGGAGGGTAAGGCGTCATTTGTCACGGCATGGAGGGCCTTGCTTGTAGTGGTGGAAACCACCTTGTCGTATGATGTCGGGGAGGCCGACTTGGGTGATGAGAGCTAGGGCGGGCAGCATGTTAATTGAGCGGCGGTTCCGGAGGGGGGGGAAGGAAGGCAGGCCCTGGAGCCCAACGAAAAACTCACCAGAACTTTGGAGCCTTTGCAATCATACTCGAGGCCGGTGACGGGTTCGCCCATCTTGATCGTGACGTTCTTCCTCTTCCTCAGGCGCTCCGCAATAGTATTCGGCAGACTGCTCATGCCCTTCTCGAAGAAGACGAGCTGGTCCTTCTGAGCACTCTTCAAGTAGCCGCGCAGCTCCGGATCGACGCCCAACGTATGCAGCAATCCGACCTCGCTCCGTGGAAACAAGATCCAGTCCTCCTTGCTGGCCGGCATGTTAAAGAAGCGGTGCCACGGCCCAGGCATGAAGCTGCGCATGCTCAGCTTGTCCGCGTCGCCGCCCCAGATCCCGTGGATCATGGCCGACGCCAGGTTGTCCGTCAGCTCGGGGCGTCCGACATAGCGAGCGATGAAGTCGCTGACTGACATGTCGGACGGCCGATGCTCCTGGCGGGCCTGTGAGCGGCGCCACATGACGTTCAGGAAGCCCGGGATGATGCCTTTGAAGGCGGCCTCGCGGAAGACGTTGCGCGGGTGTATCTCGACGAGATGGTCCGGGTAGTAGATGTACCGGGGCGGGGACTTGATGCCTAGGTATTCGCCTTGCATTTCGAGGTCTCTGATCTGTTTGGAAAAGAGCACTTCTCTTAGCACACGAAGGGCACAATAGGTCTTCGCAGCATTGAGAGACTACTAACCAGATCAAAGAGCACGAGGTCGTCAAATTTCCATGTATCCTTGCCCATACCGCGCAGCGTCCTCGGCCCGCGCTCGAAGCGCACATTATTCTTCTTGCCATTGACCTCGACCTCGACCTCCTGCGTGTCGATCCACCCGCCCAACCGGTTCCCTGCCTCGTACACGGTGATGTTGGACGTCTCGGGGAGCAGCTTGGCCAGGTAGTGCGCGGTCGTCAGGCCCGCGATGCCACCACCGATGACGGCGACATCAGTCGGTACCTGTACGTTCTTTGTGAAGATTGGTTCCGCTTCTTTGCTGGATTGCCGCGGTGGTGCCCGTTGCTGTTTTCCGACGGCGGTGGACGTCGAGAAGGATCGCGCCGGCACGAGGGCACTTCTGCCGCAGGCTCCGAGGGCTGCGCTGCAGAAGCGCTGGGAGTGGTAGGATCTCAGTAGAGCCATGAATGCATCGTCGGCTCTCCGGAATACCATTGGGCAAGTTTCAATGGTTTGGAAGAGAGAGAGAGAGAGAGAGAGAGAGAGAACCCTGGCTTGATCGTTGGGAGAGATGTTTGTCTCGCAAAGTGGCGTCACAATATGGACTGGGTTCTTACAGCAAACAATACCGTACCTGGAGCTAGGGGTCAGGGTAGCTTCCGGCCCCACCACCGCGACCCAACATCAATTCCCAATATGGGCAGCTTTCAAATCCTAGCTTCACTCACTTTCCTGCGGTGATCACAGCCAATTGGGTTACAAACTACGTCTGGTTATTTTAAGTCCCCAAAGAGCATATGGCCTGAGACCGGCATGCCCCACCACTTGTATTTCATGTTGCTGCCAAACTAGCTGCTTGATGGATGACGCGCAAGGTGTCAGGGACGAATGAACAACAGAGGACCTAAGGTGAGACTGTAAAAGAGGACAGCATGTTCTGCCGCAAACGCGATCAGCGACCGCATTTTATGGAAGTCCTCTGATCCGTGACATTTCAGCTTGCCCGAAGCCAGGTCTATACTTGAATATGAGAATAATTGCACCCGCAAACGCCCAGAGTGCCAAGTCGCTTTCGGCATACATCATCGTCCAATTATCATACAAGAAGTCGCCGCTCCCATACCACCACGGAGGCCTCTTCTTGAAAGCCTCCTCATGATCCCAAAGTCGAAAGAGTTCACAATGATCCTCCTAGGGTATAACAGATCTGATGCGCGACGCCAATCCGCTTAGCTAGCTTCTCCTTCCATCCACCGCCCGCAGTCCAGTCAGCCTCATTGCCAGAGACAACGCTTCTTGCATTGCGGAAACTTCTTGCGAGAAGCCCACGTTCCTGGAGATTTGCTTTCGGAAAGGCCCCTAGCTAATCACCTCCTGTGCATTGCTCTGCTCTTGATTTACGGCGTTCTCTGACTCGGGAAGAATCACTTCGGCTTGTGCATTTGTGTCGACAAACTGACGTTCACTAACATGGTCGTCTACCCCGTCGGCGGTCCAGACCTTGTCTTTGAAGACACCCTGCTGCCCTTCTTCGTGGGTGTACATGCAGTGAGGATTTTTGCAAGGGTTGAATCGACACTTGACCTTAACATGTGTAAATTTGCAACCCGCAGTCGTACACCCAGCACCGTTGCGGCACAGTGGCATCTCCGGATGTTTGAAGGGGCACCTGGGATTCGTGCAGTTGGGGAAGAATTTGCAGTCTTGCTCGCTCTGATGCGCCAGTCTAGCTGCCGGAGAGGGATGCCGTCCGACACATTTGCGGTTTTTGCATGCGGCACCAAATGTGCATGCATCGTTAATGTCAACCGTGGTGCCGGGTGGTGCCGCGGGAGACTGATGCGCAAACTTGCACTCGCCGTTGGTGCAGCGGAGGTTGTACTTGCAGACAGTCTCGTCTGGGTTGGGCGGTTCGCGCTTCGATTGTGACATTTCAACGTCTTCTCCTTCTCCGCCTTCCGTCATCGCTGAATCTTGCTTGTCTCTGGATTGGTGTTGCCGGTTTCCGAAACCACCGCGAGAGTTTTGAGTGCGATCAAACAAAGACTTCCCACCGCGACGTCCGCCTCGCCCACCGCTTTGGTTCATGAGCTGCTGTTGGAGTTGTGACATCATTTGCGCCTGTTGCTCCATCATCGCCATAAGGTCCATTTGTGATGGCTGTCCTTGCGGCGGCGGCATACTCCAAGCGTTGGCCATAGGGTTCATTCCCGGGGGCCCGCCATGTTGACCGTTCATTCCCGCCATCGCGTTCAGACCAGCTTGGATGTTCACTCCTCGATTATTCATGGGCCGTCCACCTCGTCCCATGCCGCCTCTGGGGCCTGTAGGTGGGCCTCGGGCGTGAGAGTTGATTCTGTCGTTGCCACGGACGCGGTGGAGAACCGAATCGCCGGATCGATCCATGGCCTTGGCCATGTGGCCGAGCATCCGCTTATCGCGACCACCTCGAGGATTGGGACCATTTCGCATAGAACGCGGGCCGGTCGGGCTACGGCGGGTTAGTAAAGTACGGGCTGCCGGGGTAGGTTAGGGAGACAAACGCGTTCAATTCATTGCCGTCACCTGCACCCATATCGGTGTCAAAGTCACCATTCCCTTGAGACATGCCGGTCATGGCATCATTGCCTGAAGTTTGAGTACCGTTGATTTGCGCATCAGTCTGCTCGACCTGTTGAAACAGCCACGCGGCGAATTCCGTGGCGCCAGCATCTTCGGGGCCCAGACCGAGGAGATCAGCTGAGAGTTCGGTAGCGATCTGCTCCTGCGTCCGGCCATTGACGAGCATGAGAATGATGTATTCGACAAGCGCGGCATCGTCGTCGGAGCCCGATGCCCATCCGGCTTCGACCAGCTTGGGCTGAATGGCGGCGCTCAGAGCATCCGCTAGCGGGGTGTTGAGGACGACCTGGACCGTCATGTTGAGTGGCGCCGATATGGCGAAATCGCGCGCAGCTCCGAGTGCAGAAACGAATCGGGGTTCGGTAGGTCTGGAGTTGAGCTGGGAGACGAGACGCGTGGCTTCCGGGGTGAAAAGTCGGCGTCTAAGACGGCACCGGAGACTGTGGTCGACGTGTCAAGGAAGAATGCGCGCAGCCGTTGAAATCGTTTTCGCCGGGGTATATAGGATTCAGATGATGATTCCGGCAAGAGAGTGTTGCTGGTCCACACGAGCAACAGAAGAATGTTGTGTGTGATGGGGGAAGTGAATCGAGGTAAGGCAAGTGAGCCAGAGAACGTTCTTGAGATGACGGAGAATTCAGAGCTGCCCCCACAATAGCGCATTTGATTGGATCCGGATTCTTGTATCACGTGACCTCTTGCTGCAAAGCTAACGTCCAAAGGTTCTTCAAACTGGAGAAGGTTCAGGCGAATTCCAAGTGTGGCTTGACTAATTCAGGGACATTATTCAGCGCAAAGGCGGTGCTGGTCTCCAGCCTCTTTTCCCCAGAAAACATCCGGCTGTCGCACCTCTCACCGCCATCACCTCCAGGCGGGATTTGATGCCACCAAAGATATTGGGTACCTACACTAACAGTCTTTCTTAGAGCCCCCACACGACACCTCTGATGCACTGTTGCGTGGTACCTAGCAGTTGAAACTGATCATGATAAAGGACGTGGATCTTTCTTATTCCTCCCTACCTATTGCGTCTGTGACCGCCGCGAGCTGCATTTCAGGGCTGGACTTTGCATCCGGGTAGTTGATTGATAGTCGAGGTCAGGCTGCAGCGAACGGATGGTGATCAGCACGTAATATCGGCCGAAGAATCCCCCAGAGCCGAAGACTCGTTCGTAGAAGAGATTTTCAGACCTCCCGCCGTCGAGAACCTACCTATTTTTAGATGTCGTCAGGGACCTTTGTGTCTTCTTGCGGCGTGCATCGGATCTACTGGCAGATAAGAATCTTACCCAACGTTGCAGATCCGCGGTTGGAGTGCTGTGCAAGCTTTCACCCTCCACCCTTGGCTCCCTGTCTTGGCTTCCAATGTGCATCTGGTGACCAGCGATGACGGCTATAGTTGCTTCGTCTTCTACTTCTTGTTACACATGAATTGCAGCGCAAGTAATCCCGTCTCCCAAGAATGGAGAAGATCAGAATGTAGCTCTCCGCACCGCCAGCTGAGCGCACTGCGAGATCGAAGCATTTACGAAGAAATACTCTACTACCTAAGGTATGTAATCACGTTTCTTGTTTCCTGGACAAGGGCATTGTGCGGCGTCACGGCGTGCCAGGGTTGATGGAGACAAGCCGCCCTTGAGCCGGAGCTTCTCGTATTCTTGATTGGCCGGTAATTAAAGTTGTTTGGCCAGCGGTGCCGCTCCCCCGCCCCCTGCCGCCATGACGGTTGACTGCCCTGGCTTAGCCTCCTGGGCCCTTGGCCTTTGGGGACTTCTGCCGCGCCTCCTCCTGACCTCCTAGTGTTCGCGGCTCATGACAGGCGGCGTTGATGATTCCAATGCCCGCTCTTACTTCCAGAGTCCCTGTGTTAAAAGTTCGCATTGCTTTGACCTTTAACCAGATAACACCAACCAGCAATCTTCTTGTTCCCATCAACTTCGAGACCTGAAGAGCCTTTGTCAACTGTATCCCTATTGAGCTTGGTTCATCTATCATCTTTGTCGTTTCTCATGTGCTTCTAATTGCATTCGGCTTCCCAAGGGACACTAGTCTATGGGAACAGAAACCTACAGATCGGCCATCCCAACGCCTCCCCTCTTGCAAACCATCGCTTTGCTCATTCTTCTCCGCTCCTCCTGGCTCATTCACCTCCTTAGTCCCCGACGTTAGATTGGCGTCAGAGCACAGCCGCTGCCGTCCATCCTCCGCCCTGCGCCTCAACTCCCGTCAAGGCATATTATCCTTTGTCCGTCGCCACCAGCAACGAATCACAGCCTACCATTTCCCTAGGTTACCAGGAACTGAATACTGGGGGGATCAACGTATTGGATCGTAACATTCATTGGCCCATCCCAGCCCGGCAGGTTGCAGGCAACGTACCGTATAAGATCAATTCGTCAGCCTTCGAAAGTCGAAAAGCTTTTTTCGGTTCATTTGTTCTTCTCAACCGCATGAGATGGACCTAGCCTGAGGATCCCCCTCCACAATCAACCAGCCCCTCCGTCGTCAGCTGTAGCGTGGGTTATCAAGCGGACAGTGAACTCTTCACTCAAGCTCGACGTAACGTAACGTTGCTCCGTGCACCACACTGCCAATTGGTTGGTTGGTCCCCAACCACCATCCACACCACTGGCTGCGCGGTATTCGTGAAGAACAAGGCAACGAAGTCTACAGACAACTGCTGCTGCCGTCTCGTATGTCTTTCTTCTGCAGCTGAGAGTGGACCGGGACGCATCTTTGGTTTGTTTGGTGGCTGAGAAGACATACTCTGCCTTATCTGCGAGAATTGGGGTCGCAGAGACAGCGCGAACACACTACGAAGACCACCGCGCCACCCCTTGGCCTGTTCATATAACGAGCCTCGGCTGTACTCGTTACTTAAACGAGTCTTCTTTTCTTAATCCTTCTCGTATCGGCTTTTCAAATTCTTCAAAATGTTGCCTTCTCTCTTGCTCATATCCCTTTCCCTCGCCGTGAGCCAGGTCAGTGCCGGCATCTGGCCGGCCCCGAGGAAGCTGTCCACTGGCAAAAGTGTTCTGTTTATAAGCCAAACACTGGAAATTACATATAATGGAGGATCTGTACGCTGGCTTCCTTCTTCCGCTTCCACTTACCATGATGAGACACAGGATACTGAGCATTTCTTTAACGTGCAGCTGCCCTACACTTATGGGTACAACCCGGCGACAGGTCCGACCTTTAACAGCAAGGACATTGTGCAAGGCGGTGTGTCGCGCGCCATGAGTGCCATCTTCCAGCAAAACTTTGTGCCCTGGAAATTCTACCCGAAGAACAGCGACTTCGAACCAGACGTGTATGCGGCGGACAAGAAGGCGGTCAAGTCGCTGCAAATCACACAGACTGGCGAAGATAAGCCCAGCACATTCAAACCCGTTGCCGGCGAGGTCGACGAATCGTACGCGCTCAACGTCACGGAGGAAGGCTCGGCTACGCTCGTGGCCAAATCCTCTACCGGCGTCTTGAGAGGGCTTGAGACATTTGTACAGCTCTTTTACCAGCACACATCTGGTACTTCCTGGTATACCACACTGGCACCAGTCTCAATTGAGGATTCTCCAGAGTACTCCCACCGTGGAATCATGATCGATACAGCGCGCAACTTTTTCCCCGTCACAGATGTTCTAAGGGTCATTGATGCCATGTCTTGGAACAAGCTCAACCGGCTCCACATCCACGTTACGGACTCGCAGTCATGGCCGCTTGAAATTCCTGCGATGCCCGACCTAGCCGCCAAAGGAGCCTACCGGAAAGGACTCTCGTACTCCCCCGAGGACTTGACCAAGATCCAGGAATATGCAATCCACCGCGGAATCGAGCCAGTGGTTGAAATTGACATGCCAGGGCACATCGGATCAGTTTCCTTTGCCTACCCGGAGCTGATCGTCGCCTACAATGAGAAGCCGTACACATGGTGGTGCGTGGAGCCGCCTTGCGGTGCCTTCAAGATGAACGACACCAGGGTCGACGACTTCTTGGATAAGCTTTTTGACGATCTCCTGCCGAGACTCGGACCCTACACGGCTTACTTCCACACCGGCGGCGACGAGCTGAACAAGAACGATTCGATGCTCGACGAAGGGATCAGGTCCAACTCGAGTGAAGTCCTGCAGCCGCTCCTGCAAAAGTTCATGGATAAGAACCATGCTAGGATCCGCAAGCACGGGCTCATCCCGTTAGTCTGGGAAGAGATGCCGCTCGATTGGAACATCACCCTCGGCGACGACGTCGTGATCCAGTCGTGGTTGGGGGGCGATTCCGTTAAGACCCTTACCAGCAAAGGCCACAAGGTCATTGACAGCAACTATAATTTCTGGGTAAGTGTCGCGGAATCCTGACCCGGTGTTCGTTTCGCTGATAGGTGTCAATCAGTATTCCGACTGTGGCAGAGGCCACTGGATGAACTTTGACAACGGGGCCGCCTTCGAGGCCTTTTTCCCCTTCAACGACTGGTGCTCGCCGGCCAAGGGTTGGCGCCTCATGTACTCGCACGACCCGCGGGCCAACCTGACCGAGGCGGAAGCCAAGCTGGTCCTCGGCGGGGAAGTGGCAGCGTGGAGCGAGTCCATCGACCCGGTCAGCATCGACGGGATCCTGTGGCCGAGGGCTAGCGCGGCGGGCGAGGTGTTGTGGTCGGGTCGGCGCGACGCCTCGGGCCAGAACAGAAGTCAGTACGACGCGGCGCCGAGGCTGGCCGAGTTCAGGGAGAGGATGGTTGCAAGGGGTGTGAGGTCGGAGCCTGTGCAGATGCCGTTTTGCACGCAGGGCAATGCGACTGAGTGCGGATATCCCATGGTGTGAGGTGATGAAGGGGGAGGTGAAGTTTGGCGAGCTTGTGGCCACTGTCTTCTTTGCGTGGTCGGGTTACTTGGGAGGAGTGCAGTAGAGCCCCTCATACACTTGATGTACCTTTTCTTGTAAATTCTTAGGGCGAGCCGAGTATTAAGCTCGACAAAACAACAGTCCCACAACGAACGATATATTTCCTAGCACGGGCTTGCTAATATGAGAAGCCGGAGTAGGCACGGATGAGATAAGTCTGCACAAAATGCTGCCAAACCCCAGCAATCCCGCAGACGGACCGTTGGGTGTTCGGGGACCGGCCCATTGGACCAAAGGTTCGTCCGGATGTCCTTGCGGAAGTGGGGGGAAAGGCAACAGTATTAGATTTTGGCGACGTCGTTTTCTATGCGAAACGTGTGCTAGCTAAGCTCCCGTTGCACTCCGCATGATCGGATACCTAGTTTGTGGAATGATCTACAGGCTTAGTGAATTAATTAGTAAGGTGGCTTCCAGAAGGTGAGGGGAATGGGGATCCTGGGGTGTGCCGTCCACCTGCTTATGATGTTCTCTCTATTTTACGGATGCGTTGGTAGTTTGTGTTTCTACTTGCATGCGATTATCCATGGATTTGCTCTAGGGATGAGGATCGGGACACGGGGGGGGGGGTTCTTTGCAATCGAACATGTCCACGTAGGAGAGAAAAGTAGGCGCAGAGAATCCCGCTGACTTCCGATGTGACAGGAAGATGCCCGACGTCACCTGCGCTTCGGCAGTGAGAGAGCTGGGAGGATGGCTCCAATTGGAGTCTTGAGAAAGGGCGCAAGGGCGCAAGGGTGCAAGGGTGCGAGCTGGATGCGAGCTGCATTTGCGGGGAGGGGGGAAGGTCGTGTGGGCCGTGGCACTTGCAGGTCGCGACAGCAAGATTCCCTTTCTGGGTATTCAGATCGTGATCGGTGGGTCTGCACTGTGCGGTGTATCTTGGGCGTTGACCACTCCCTACCTCAGCTTACCTTCTGAAGGACTAAAGGTACATTAGTGAGTAGCCCAACATATTATGCCTTCGAGACAAAGACATGTGGTGTCGCGAAGATTGAAATGGTGTCTGTCATCTAATTGCAGTGCTTCAATGGAAACGAGATGAGCATACCACGCTGTCCGCGCTGTCCGCACTGTCCGCGTTGTCTCACTGTCGTAAAAATTGCGACAATGATTCATGTCGAGATGATGTACTACCTATGCGGATGTGAGTCGAGGCCTGAGGCTTATTCGCACTGTGAGTACCTACCTAGCCCAAGTGCCCGTCTCTGACAAAAGATCCAAAATCTCAGGGAAGAAGGGAAAGAGAGGTTCGTGACCTGGGCATCAGGCAGGCATGTCCCTGGCATCTAATACGGATACGCCGCAACCTTTTCGCAACTACTCTCAAGTCCAAAGCAGCTCACCATTGGCTATACATTGCATTCCTTTCCCCAAACCGCAACGTCTTTGGTAGGTGTACTCCGTAATCTGCATCCACCGACCCAACGCGCGTTGGCTGCGCCACGCAGATGCTTCGACAGGGGCCGTGGAGCTTTGGTTTTTTATACAGCAGAACCACGTACACTAGTTCCCCACGATGCCTGTCAACGGGTGTTGAGAGGGGCCCTCCTTCTCTTCAGCTTCTGATCCGGTTCAGATCTGCAAAGTACGAAAAGAGAACACTGACATGGGCTAATGCCAGTTCAAGCCAGTGCCAATTCAGTCCCATGTGGCTGGCTTCATGCCGCCTCCGCCGCTAGCACGCACCAGGTCAAGTGTTTCGGCTTCGGTGGACGGACCAGACGTCGAAGGTGTAAGGATGCCTTTTTTTTGGTTGGTTTTTTGGGACGAGTGGCGGAAAAAGACCCATCACACCGGCCAACCATCGTTCTCTAGTTTGATTGCTACCGCTGCCTGCGGGCTGCCCACAGGCCATCGATGGATGGAGGATGGAGGATGGATGGCCACATCGGGGGGGGGGGAAGTTCCTCCTTAGCATTGTCTTCCATCTCTTCTCACATTCCTCGTCCCTCAACCCCCTCCCACGTTGTCCCCATTGCCTTGCTTGTATCATCCTACACACTGGCTAGTCTGTAGCAGACCTGTACCTACACCGTTCCCGAGGACTTCGTACCCAGGGTTCTCGGGGGGAAGGACAGCAGCGCAGACGGATTAGGGGGAGAAACAACCTATGAACGGTAGACCAATTGGGGAGGAGCAAGTCTCGAACCCATTTGTCCAAGCTTGCTACAAAATGCGTGGTCACTGCTTTCATACAATTTTTAGCTTATTTGATGTCGATACATACTAAATACATCGGATGTTTATGCCTTCTCCTTCCGCCTTCGTCTTCTTTACTGGAGCGGCTTTTCAAGTCATCCCGTTCCTCCGTAACAAGGTATCGATTATTTCATCCGTATCGACACCCATTGAATACAATATAGTCACTGCAAAGTTCTCTGTTGTTGCGCTCTCCACCTTTCCGCATAAAGACACCGACGAGATACCTCGACGGCACACTGCAGGTCCTTTCTCACTCCGTCCTCGAACGTCACCGAGAAACCTATTCACGCCAATTCCTAGAGAGGTTACTCAATCCCGTCCCGCCTATAGGCGATCCTTCATCTGTCGGCTACTAGAGTCCATCTCCAGTCTTTTCATCACCAGGTCTCACCAGGCAGAACATTCCACAAGACACTCTTACCATGGGTCTAGTAGATCATGCCCTCGAGTATCTTACTCTCAAATTCGTCTTGGTCTTCAGCGTAGTGGCCTGGTGGTTATGGGTAGCCGTCAAGCGCTTCGATGAGACCATGCGGCTGAGCCGTCTGGCGCCAGGCACTCGTGGCCAGTCACTCAATGCCCGTTTCCCTGGTGGTAAGTCTAAGCTATCTGCCATGTAACTTTCGCACTTCCCGTTTGGAAGGTCGAAAGGTACACCCAAACCAATGTTTCTGTTCACTCACATTTCCCTCTTCAGGCATCGACTTCATCTTCAAGGCCGTCCGCGGGACAATGACCCACAAGAACGTCGAGTTCTGGGAGGACATGCTCTCCAAGGTCAAGGGCTGGACCGGCGAGAAGAGGATCATGGGCATGCGTATCATCTTCACCGCTGACCCGGAAAACATCAAGGCCATCCTGGCCACCCAGTTTTCCGACTATGGCAAGGGCGAGCCCTTCCACCAGGAGTGGAAGGAATTCCTCGGCGACAGCATCTTCACCACCGACGGCGACCAGTGGCACGCCAGCCGGCAGCTCATCCGGCCCCAGTTCATAAAGGACCGCGTCAGCGACCTGCACTGCTTCGAGTCGCATATCCAGACCTTATTCAAGGCCATTGCCAACGGCGGTGCGCTGGACGGCGAGGATCAGGTGGTCAGCATGGATGCTGTTGACGGCAAGGTTATGGATGTTTCGGACCTCTTCTTCCGCTACACCTTGGATGTGGCCACCGACTTTCTCCTAGGCCAAGACGTGAAGTCGCTTTCGTAAGTTTTCCTGCACAAACTCATGCAGCATTGCAGACTCACACAACTCTCGCAGAACCGTCAAGCAGGAATTCGCCGAGGCCTTCAACGAAGTCCAGCGAGTCCAAAACATCCTCGCCCGCGCGGCCAAGCTCAAGCCTTTTATCCCCCTCTTCTCCTTCAGGGCCGGCCTCAAAGTTATCAATGGGTTTGTCAACAAGTTCATCGAGCGGGCCCTCCGCCTGAGCCCCGAGGAGCTCGCCTCCAAGACAAAATCCGATCAGGGCTACACCTTCCTCCACGAGCTCGCCAGCTTCACCCGCGACCGCAAAGCCCTCCGCGATCAGCTAGTCGCCGTCCTCCTCGCCGGCCGCGACACCACCGCCTCCTCGCTCTCCTGGACGCTCTACGAGCTGGGCCGCCACCCAGAGGTCGTCCGCAAGCTCCGCGCCGAGATCGTCGAGCAGGTCGGCCTCGACCGGGAGCCCACCTACGCCGACCTCAAGAGTATGAAGTACCTCCAGAACGTCATGAACGAGGTCCTGCGCCGGTACCCCGTCGTGCCCTTCAACGTCCGCTTGGCCCTCAAGGACACGACCCTACCCGTGGGTGGCGGGCCCGACGGCACCTTGGCGCTCGCCGTCTGCAAGGACACGCCCATCGGGTACTCGACGCTCCTGATGCAGCGCCGCGAGGACCTTTACCCGCCCGTATCCGAGACCTTTGCGCACCCGGACGAGTTCTCGCCCGAGCGGTGGTTCCACTGGCAGCCGAAGCCCTGGATGTACATCCCCTTCAACGGCGGGCCGCGCATCTGTATCGGACAGCAGTTCGCGCTGACGGAGATGGGTTATACCTTGTGTAGGCTGTTTCAAAAGTTTGAGAGAGTCGAGAGCTACATGGATGCCGTCGACGGCGGGAAGCCGACGCTCAAGGCCGAGATTGTGCTGCAACCCGGCGACGGCGTCAAGATTGCCTTTTGGCGGGCGAAGCAGGGCTAGGTATGGGAGAGTTTGTGTGGGGCGTTGAGAGGTTATATCTCTCTTTTGGCGCGACGATTTAACCCGCGGACCGAAGTGTTCAAATCAGGTGGACAATTTGACATTTACGACAACAAACAACACTATAAACACTCTACACTGCCGGCGTAAAAAGCGCCAGCCGTCTGCTAGGCGCACTGTAGGCGACTAGTGTGGGAGGTTGGGATAAGCATACCTCTTGTGTAACGGACAAACCACACACAGATCCAAGCCACGTCTCTCACCTTGTTCAGTGGCTGAGGGCAACTCACATGATTACAGGCTGAAGGAAACCTGGAAAAGGCTACCTAGGTAAAAGTAAAATAAGCACAACTGGTACCCGTGATATGCGGGCTAAGAAAAGGGCTGAAGTGAGCATTCGCGTTGGTACGGCGTGGCTCCTGATGTATATGGCAAGCTTGGGTGTGGGGAACTGGCGTGACGAAGAGAACATCAAATGACTGCAATTGACGAGGTTAATTCTCAGACAGCAAGATTCACTGGGTGCATAGTTCATTCTGGAGATGTATGTATGTACTAGGCGGTGGCCTTTTCTAGCAAAAGACTTTTTACAGCTAGCCCATCATCTCTTCCATTTGGAGGGGGAAAAAGTGATCCATAACGGTGGTTTATCATTCGAAGGCCAAATCCTACATTCAGGCCCTTTTACTTTCAATAATCAAGCATGCCTAACCTGAGCCCCCAATGCGACGTAAGCCAGGTTTAGTCATGGCCTCTGAGCCCGCTTCAATATGATGACGATGCCAACTAACTCACCTAACCCAATCCCCTAGAGAAACTCATGCAAGACCAAAGCTATACCAATGCGGCAAAAAGACAATAACACAATAAATGGTACCCATACATAAGAAAAAATTCTGTTACCGAGGAACGAGATGAAAAGCTATCAACTCATGCGATGCGGAAACTCTCCTTAATGGCAGCCCCCAGTCTCTGAATCGCCTTGTCCATATCCTGCTCGCTGGCCGATGCAAACGTGGCGCGGAAGAAGAGGTCCTTGAGCGGGGTGTCCTGCTCGGTGCGGAACCACGAGCCCCGGGCGCAGAGGACGCCTTTCTCGATGCACGAGTTGAAGATTTCCTCCTCGACCTCGAGGAGCGGGCGGAGGTTGCCATCCGGGTGGGCGGAGTGGTCGACTTTGAGCCACAACTGTGTGGAAGGGAACGAAGGTGGTTAGTTTTGAAAGCAAATAGTGTAACGCAAAAGATATGGGTGAAATAATGGACTGGAAGAGGAGAACAAGGAGGAGGAGGGCAACTTACAAACATGCCGGCGGCAGGAGGCGTCCAGCTCACAATGTCACGGGGAAGATGCTTCTCGCACGCGGCCAGGAGCCAGTCGCGGCGCTGCGTGTACTCCATGCGCAGGTTGATGAGCCATTGGAGGTACCCCTCGTGTCCCCACGTCTCGTCGAGCAGCTTCCACACGGCGACCTGTGAGAACCCGCTGGGCCCCTGGTTCGCGACCTCGGCGTGGCGGATGAAGCGCTCAATCACCTGCGCCGACGCCGTCACCCAGCCCAAGCGTGACCCGGGAACCAGCACCTTGGAGAAGGAGTCCATGCGGAGCACGCGGCCGTCCGTGTCCATGCTGAGCAGGGAAGGGATCAGGGTGCCCAGGAACTCGGAGACGGAGGACGGGGGCGGGGTCGCGGGTGCGTCGGGGCCGGTGTAGGGTTGCATCTGGAGAAAGTAATAGGGCTCGTCTTCGATAATGTAGAGGTCGTGCTTCTGCGCCACGGTGTAGATTGCCCGCCTCCGGGCCGCGGACTGCGTTGCCCCCGTGGGGTTCTGGCCCGAAGGGACGGTGTACAGCAAGTGAGGCTTTCGGCGGCCGCCGCGTGCCTCGGAATCCCAGTTTGTGAGAATCTCGTCCATGGCCTCCGGGAGCAGGCCCTCAGCGTCAACGGGGACGCCGACGGCCTTGACGCCGAGCGGTGCGATGGTCTCGAGCGCGGTGGAGAAGCTGTACTCCTCCGTCAGGACAGAATCCTTGCGGTCCTTGTCGCAGAACATGCGCAGCGTCTGTTCCAGGGCGCCCGTGCTGCCGACGGTCTGGCAGCACTGCCAATCGGCGTAGGGCGGGTTGTACACGAGCTCGGTGTGCTCTGTGACGAAGCGCATCATCTGGGCGGAGCCTGTGGACTGGGTGTAGTTGAGGGCGATGGAGAGATCGTACTCGGCGTCGGCCTTCTCCCGGACGTCGTATTTCCCGACGGTGAGGGTCTGGCCCGAGGCGATGGTCTCCGCTTCCGAGAAGTGCGGGGCCGTGGGGACCCGGATGGAGAGCTCGGCGAAGGGAAAGTAGGCGCTCGAGGGGAGGCCGCCGCCGAGCGAGATGAGGCCGGGCTTCTTTAGGTGGCGGGCGGCCTGTTTCAGGGAGCAGGGGTGGCGTGAGAGGGACTCTGGCGAGAGGTGATCTGGTGACGTTGTCATTAAGCGGGTGTCGCTTCAAAGGTGTGAGGGCACGCGAGGAGCTTACGGTCCCATCGCTTTGATTTAGGTTTCCCAACTGCCTGCGAGTGAAAGTTAGTGTATTTTGAAATTGAGTGTCTGAATAAAAAGACGGCATACGGGAGCTTTGAACATGTCGCTGTCTGATGCCGCGGCCACGCCCGCTATCAGCTTGCCGGCCTTGGCCCTGCGTGCGCGGACGCCATCGAATGGTGATGGTTGCTGTCGCTTCTCAAAGGTTGCTTTCCTCTCGACCGGAACCGCGTCTGCTACGGATCTGTCACTAGACTTTGAGTGAAATAGGCGCTGAGAGACGGGCTCCCAGCTCACCGGAACGAGCTCCCGGCTCCGAAGCCGGAGATCTGTAAGTCGAGACGTGCGAAGGGCTGCTGATAAGGGATCAGAGGCCCGGCGAACGGAGCCATTGAGGCCACGGCGAGCGGCTCTCGAGTACATGCTTGCAATGCCGAGTGAGTAAAGATGTGTTTCGAAAAGAAGGACGCCAATGTGTTCACTGTAAGAACCAAGTGTGTTGTGAGCTGTTTCGAGGTTGTGTACATGAGTTCAGGGAGCTTGAGATAACAAAGGGCGTAAGGCGTATCTGACACTCTTCCAGGCGGGCGCGGTGCCCCAGGCGGTGGGGCAGCCCGCAGCTACCCGCAGCTACCCATGCCTCCCCGCATTGTGCTAGGTACTGTTTGCCCGTAATTTTTAGGTAACTAGGGGTCTCTTACCACTGCGGGCGCTGGAAGCGTTCCCTTTTTAGCGCGGACAGAGGAACGGGTTGGAACTATAGTACTAACTAGTTGCTCCTGGTTTGCGGGGAGGGGAAGGGGGAAGCCGCCGGCCTATTGAGGACGGATTGCGCGGCGCCGATAGCGGAGGATCGGAGGGGTGGTGCCGATTCCGTGTGCAGACCCTCCGAACCCGCCTCGGGGAGCAGCACAGAGCACTTGACCGCCGGCTGATTTTGAACCTTACGGGATTTGGCGGGACCGATCGAAAGAAGCAACGGCCGGGTGTCAGTTCACAGACTGCGTGGATCGAACGTGACAAGAGTCATGGTGAACGAGCGTCCGTCCGGGAGACCGGCATTCGAGACTGACCAGTGGCTTTCTGAAGCGCACAGAAACCGGCCTTCCGTCGAGTCCAACACACCAGCTCGAATCCCAAACAGCGCAACGGCTCCCACGCATCACGGGCATATCGATGAAGTGTCACCGTTAGCTGCCTACGCCCACGTCCGAGACACCTGGCGGCCAGACGTACGCAATCGTCACGAACCCGGATGCGTGCCGTCGCCCGTGAACATCGAAGCCCTAAGGACATCCCCCGCCCATCCGTATGTATCCCTTACTGATGCGAGGACTCGCGTCCCAAGCCCCGCTGCCTCGCGTCCTGCGTGCCTGAATATTCTCAGAGCCGTAGTTGACTACCCCCTTCAGCTGCTATGAATCCTCAATCTTTGGGTTGCTGCGGAAGAGGGTCTCACAGATTCTGGCACCGAATCGACGGATCCTGGGCCAAGGTATGCGGAGCCCCAGCCACCCGTGTTCACCAGCCACGCCAATTTTCAACGCCACTCATCAGCCAACCAAAGCCCGTGAATCCGTCCCAACCTCCCCTCGTCTCAACTAATCAACTTTCTTTCCCGGGCAGCCAATCCGAGTTGGACGGACAACGAACAAGGAATACCATGTAGCGGCACCAGGGAACAACCGCCATTAATTGCTGTTCGTCCAATGCAGGCACTGCAAGGAAAACATCTCCATGTTGTTGTCCTTCATTTCGGCCACCCATCACCCATCACCCACCCCCCACACTCTCCTAGTAGTTCTAGGTAGGTAGGCGGCGCATGGGGTTATTTTGTTTGGGCTTTTCCAAGGCCCAAGGCCCGAAAAGACTTCTCGGAACCCAAGAAGAAAAAGGGCCCTGCGCGGCCCGATGACGCTACTGCAGCTGCCAGTGGCTGGGCACATGAAATGAATGGGAACATGCAGAACTCATATAACACCATGTGTCGCTGCCATCTATCACAGCCCGCCCGTGTGGTGTGCAAGTTTCCTTGTTCTTGCCGCCAGTCCTCTCCTCTCTCACGCTTGCGAAGTACTCCTGTCCCCGGTGTTGCTCAAGTGCGACGTGCCACGGACTTACACGGATCCTTGTCTGCGTCTTTCCCTGTGACGTCGCCAGCTCCCAACGGCCTTGGCTTAGGTCGCAGTGGGTTTTTCTTTTCTTGGTGGCTCGACTTGGAGAATCTCTTCATGTGAGAGACTGGGTTCACTCCTCTTCCTCTCTTGCTTCGACACTACCCTTTCGACCTCCCAGTCTTGTAGTACCTATCCTCTGCTAGCTCTCCGCGGTGGAACCATCATATCAAATTTACACGATGTTGTTCTCAAAAAGACTATTCGCCGGTCTGACGGCGTTGGCAACAACAGCATCAGCGCAGACATATTCATCGTGTAACCCCCTCCAACAAAGTAAGTCTCAATGCCGTCCCACCAAGGCCACCGATAAGCAAAGCAAGAAGAATTTCCCACGCTGACCCTGTCCGCTCTTTAGCAACATGTCCCGCTGACCCGGCGCTTGGCATGGCCATTCACGTCGACTTCACCCAGGGCGCTGTCAACTCCTTCGCCGCCTCCGGAAACCCGACATACGGCTCCGATGGCGTAACATTCACCGTCGCCGCCTCGGGACAGGCACCGCAGCTCATGTCCCTCTTCTATATCATGTTCGGCCGCGTCGAAATCACCCTCAAGGCCGCCACCGGCGCCGGCATTGTCAGCTCGTTGGTCCTGCAATCCGACACCCTCGACGAGATCGACTTGGAGTGGCTCGGCGCCGACCCGACAGAGGTGCAGTCAAACTACTTTGGCAAGGGCGACGTGACGACGTACAACCGCGGCCAGTTCCACCAGACGGGCAACAATCAGGATAAATTCATGACGTACGCCGTCGACTGGACCTCGGAGCGCATCGTCTTCTCCGTCGACGGCACCGTCGTGCGCACGCTCACGGAAGCCGAGGCCGACACGAATCAGTACCCGCAATCGCCGATGCAGGTGAAGTTCGGCTCCTGGTCCGGCGGAGACCCGGCCAATGCCCCGGGGACCATTGACTGGGCCCGCGGCCCGACGGACTTTAGCAAGGGGCCCTTCCACATGGTTGTCAAGGACGTCTCCATTACCGACTACTCTACCGGAAAAGAGTACAAGTACACCGACACCTCGGGCAACTGGGGCTCCATCCAGGCCGTCGACGGCCAGGTCAACGGCAACCTGGGCAAGGCGGGCCAGATCACCTACACGGCCAGCGCGGCCGCCGCGACGGGCTCGCCCGGGCCCACGGTGCCTAGGGGCGGCATCGGCGCCGACGAGTCGGCTTCCGCGACGCAGACGGGCTGGCCCTGGGTCGCCAGCGGGAGACCTACCGGTGGTTCTGTGCCGGACGGCTGGCGCATGAACTCTGAGGGCAAGATCATTCCCGACGGCGCCGGAAGCTCGGTGCGTCCTTCGTGCCTGGTCGTGCTAGTGTCCCTTGCTGTTGGTGTTGTCGCCTTGATGGGGCGGTGAGATTTATGATACCCCCACCTCGGAAGTTTTTTTCATGTATTTTAGTAATTTCTTTTTTCTCTTTGAAGAGAAGAGAGCGATGTCGATGGTTTACAAGATTTTCATGGACATATGCCACTACTGCCACCTTTTTAGTGGATGCGGATATGATATTGAAAAAACGGGTGGCTCACTTTGAAAAAGAGCCTTGCATCAGGCGGCGTTTTTGGGAGCATTAAGGGAAGCTATACAAACTGGATTGAAACACTGAGGGTACTTTGTTTTACATAGAATAGACGCAGCTTGCCATGCATGAAGAAGTAAGGAACATCAAGAGACCCCAAAGTATTCAACGATCAAAATGGTTTTTGCCAAGCGCCTTACTATAATAGATGTACTCACTTGGAGCAAGCCAATGAATTGTACACACTGAGTGGGTCGATGCTGCGAAGCTACTGAATTGTGATTGAAGCCTGATTTAGGCATAGGCGTTGTGGCAGAGTGGTCTAATGCGCAAGACTAGAAATCTTGTTCCTTCGGGAGCGTCTGTTCGAATCAGGCCAACGTCGATTACTTTTGCGTTTTCACTCTCCTGACGGTTTTGTCTGGTTTTATATATCTCCAATGGCCGCCTGTTCATCTCGAGCCCAGATGCTGGTTCTGTGTTGTATTGTACTACGTGAGTCGCTGAAATTTTTTGTCTTCGCACGGCGTAATAGTAAATTGAGGAAAAGACTCGAAACAGACTGGTTTCTTTCAGACGTTAACTACTGGCCTATTGACCTACATAAACTCCTATAACTCACCAAGGCAGGTCGTTCCGTTCTGCATCTTGGACATTGGGTCTGAGGAGCAAAGGAACTCCCCTACACTTTGTTCCCGTTAATAATGAACACAGGCAAACCCGACAACCTAATCCAAGGCAAGCCAGCTTGTTGAAGCTTGGCATCACACGCATAGGAAATTTCAGAGTTGCTGAATTTGCTGTTGTTTGAATTAACTAAGCTTGTCTAATCTGCTGTGACCTGTTTGTGGCTCTATGGCAAGAAAGCGCGACCGGCAGACGAGGGCCCCTGGGTCACCGTTTTCTAAGGAAGCTTCCATTTTATCTCTTGTGGTGGCAAATCTCCTCCCTGGCTGTATGCTTCGGCACTTCATCGTGCTCACGACCGCCGCTAATATATACCTTTTCTCCTTGCCGTCTTGAGTGCCCTCCGCCGCATACTGAATCGGGCCATCGCGCAGTGCGGTCCCTGACTAGTCGGACTTCTCGGGCCCGGAGTTGAATGCTGAAATGGAAATGCTTTTGGTACAAACAAACAAATACAATAAAAGCTTACGAGGTACGTTGGGTTGGTTCAGCAAAGAAACCAAAATCCTGAAAAGACTGAAATCAGAACTCCCAATCGTCATCCTCAACTGACTTGATAGCCCAGCTGAACTTCTCGCGCAGGGTCTTCGAGAAGAACTTCTCAATAGGAACATCGAACTTCTTGGCAAAGACGACCGTAAGGCGTGGATCAATGTAGTTCTGAAACACATTAGCTTTCAAATCATCCTAAAGATTGGGCGTGAAGCTTACGATCTTAGAGGTGCTCAAGGCAACCTCCTTGTTGCCATCGCGATCAGCGGCCTGAAGCTCCAAAGTCTTGACTCTGTCATCAATCTTCTTGGCCTGGTCGGCAAGCTTCTCAACCGTAGGGCCTCGGCCTTCTGGCTCAACCTTTTTGGACTTGTTCTCCTTCTTGAACTTGGCGGCAAGTTCATCCGCAGCCTTCAGGCGTTCCTTAAGCTCCTTGTCGGGGAATGGCTTCTCGCCATCGGCCAGGCGTTTCTCGTTATCCTTCTGGAATTTCTTCTCAATTTTCGTGCGCTGCTCTTCCACTAAGAACTTCTGGTGCTCTAGGATCCACTCGTCGGTCAACTCTTCGGGACGAGCGAAGTATTCGGCGCCCTTCTTCTTCTTCACCTTGTTGTCAATTTGAAGCATCATCTGCTTCGTGCGCCATTGCTGATACCGGAGGCCCTTGATGCGATCGCCGAGCTTCTCCATCTGCGCCTCGTGGGCAGCACCGACGGTGCGCTTGTGGTTGCAAAGAATGGCCACCTCACGGTTGCAGTCGTTGTAGAGCTTCACCTTCTCCGCAATCGTCAAATTCTTGTGGTCAACCAGCTTCTGAAGGAGAGTGGACATGGTGAAGGACGCGTTGTAGGTACGGAAAACCTTCGCTGTCAGGCCCGGCATGTAGTTCTTGAGGTGGTTGTTCAACTGTGTAGTGGTCAAGCGGTCAAAAATGTCGTCACCATCGGTCTTCGGCGACTTCTTGAAGAGCTTCAGGTTCTTGAAGACCTGCTTTTCGACAGTGACTTCGTCGTAGAATCGAATACTGTCCTTTCCGAGGAAGTCAAAGATGACGGTATTGGGCTCGCGCAAAGTGATATGTTCATACTTGAGGGAGCAGCAACCGACAGTCTCGGCTTCGTTCTCAGAGTCCTTCTCGTTACCAGCTCTGAGAGCAAACTTGTCGATCAAGTACACGGCCGTGGCTCTTTGTCGATCTGCCATAACCTCGCTTTTGAGATCCTTTGTGTAATCCCTGCGGATCTTGTCGATATGCTTCTTGAGCTCTCGTGCCTTCTCGAACTTCTTCATGTCGCTCTGGCCCTTGATGGCACTGGCAGCGCCAAGCATCACGTATTTGTAGGCACCATTGATATTCTCCTGCCACATCGCCAGCCAAGTGGCCTTGTTATCGTGAACAACCGCCTTCCACTTGTGGCCCTTGGGAGGTTCTGGAACCTTGGCGTCCTTGCCAATGTTGATTGTAATTTGCTCAGGATACACTCGTTTCTTGAGCTTTCCAGTCTTTGGGTGCTCGCCACGGCCGCGGAAAAGACTTGGAGGTTCAACACGGAAGTTGCCAACCTTTTCCTTGCGCCCGTCCCACTTGCAGTACATGAACGGAGCTTCCGTCTCATCCTTCTCAGCCTTGATTGCCTTTTTCTCAGCAGCTGTCCGGTTCTTTCTGATGGCGCTCTGTTGTTCGTAGTACTGGAAGATGGGCTCAAAGTCCATCTTGACAAAGTCCTTAATGTCGACCTTGCTGCCTTGCTTGTCGGTTGCTTGGCCTGACTCCTTGAGAACAGCCTTGAAATCGTCAAAGAAATTCTTTTGAAAGACGGGGTTGTCGACGTTGTGCTTGGAGTTCAGCATCGCCCCAAAGAAACCGGCAACTTCTTCGGCCTCGATAGGCAGGTTGACAGGCTTGCCGTCGTAGAGCAGTCTGACGTTCTTGGGGAGGGCCTGGTACTCGGGTGGGAACATGACGCCGTTATGCTCCAAGGTCTTCCACTTGACGCTGTCGTCCTCCTTCTTAGGGGCGTTCCACCACTCGTACTCTTCCTCTTCTTCGTCATCAGGAGCCTCGCTTTCCGCCTTAGCCTTCGCAGCTCCCTTTTTGGCTGGCGCAGCAGCAGCCTTGCCCTTTGCTGCTGTCGCCTTGGCTTGGGTGGCCTTCTTTGCTGTAGCCTTTCTCGCAATTGGCACGTCGGAATCCGATTCGGCCTTGACTCCATTTGACTTTCTAGCACCGTTCGAAAGGCGCTTCTTAGTTGCTGACTTGGCCAAAGGAACATCGTCGTCGGAAGACTCTTCTTTTTTCGCCTTCTTAGGGGTGGCCTTCCTTGCCTTGGCCTCGCTGGCACGAATGCTGCGAGCTTCCTTGGCAGCTGCCTTCTCAATGTCGGCCTTCTTCTGCGCGAGCCTGGCACCCAGTGGCTGATCATCATCGGAGGATTCGTCTGGCAAAGCGGTCTCTCTGTAGGAGGGAGGCAGGTTCTTGCCCCTCTTCGAAGTGAGGGGTTCGTCATCTGAATCCGTTTCTGGCGCCTTGGGTTTGGTCTTTTGTCGCTTGGCCTGGATTCGCCGTCAGCCTCGGACTCCGCCACCGTCTGCCTGCTATGAGTAACCTACCAGAGGAGCATCGTCGTCGCTGTCTTCGGTTTCGTCCTTGTAATTGACCTTGGGTAGAGAGGAACGAGACTTGCGCTTGCCGTTCGTCGATGGGCCATCGACGTCCATGGCATCGTTGTCTTCAACGGGTCCATTGCGGATTGACAACCCCGGCGGGGCCGCTCGTGCCTTCGAGGCGGTTCGGTCCATGGCGATGTCGTCGGCTTTCGATATCCTCGATGCAGAGACTGGCGGTGGTCAGGTTAGAAAGCTGTTAAGTTTTCCTCTGGTTTCGTAGGCAAAATCGGGATGCAGGAGGTACGCGACGAGTCAGGTGGGTTCGCTGGAGTGAGAAGAGGGAAAAAAGTGCCACGTTCGGCGTAAAGTGGCAGGCGCGAAGGGTAAAGCGTCCGAAAGCGCAAAAGTTTATGCTTCTTAGCGTACTTACTATGTCCGTTCGACCTCGCAAGAGGTGCATCGTCGTCTGAGCTACTCATGGTGAGGAAAGGTCTCGTTTCGCGACGTTTACGGACAGTTAAGTAAGAACTGAATCGCAAAGTCCAAAAACGGGGCTTGGTGGAGCAGAAAAAGTTGTTGTAGAAGCCGATCCGCGCGGAAGAATCGCGTAGATATAGAGGCAAGAGCCGAATGGTTTGAAAGGCCGCCACTTGCTGCGTTGAAGACGTAGGAAAGGGCACCCACGTCTCTGCGAATCGAAAGGGAAGACGAGGGTTTTTTTCCGAGGGATCGAGGGAACGAAAAGATGGCCGGGGGTGGGAAAGGCGTCGAAGACCTTCTAGCTGCGAGCGAAACTTAATGGGGCTGCCCCTAGGAGTCTAGGTAAGGTAAGCCCGGTAGGTAAGGTAGGTGGGTGGCAGGTACTGCCAGGACAGAGGAAGGCCAATGCCTGCGCCACAGCTCGAGTGCACGTGACCCAGCCACCGGCCGCCGGTCAAACTCAGTTAGCCGGGAAAACGGGGTGGATGGAGTCGGGTGTTAAGACTGCTAGCCGGGGAGGAAAATAACCTCGTTCCTACCAATCTCGCTATCCCGAAGCACCGTCCGACAGCCTCAATTGATCTCGAAAGCGGTCGTGGTCAATTGATCCCCACAAACGGCAGAGGCTTGATCTTCGTAATATCTCCAACTTCACAATGCTTTCCCGGGCGGCGAGACCAGCTCTGCGAGCTGCAGCTGCGGCTCCCTCGCGGTAAGTCGGAATCCACACCTTCCTGAGCTCGGAAAATCGGAGGAAAGGGACAACACTTCAGAGGAGTGTCGACGGTCGGCCATCAACGATTCAAAAGGACGGGACTTCGGGAGCATACTGGGAATGATATCAATTGAACAAGAGAGAGCGAGAGGGAGAGCTGTCATGCTGATTGTGCGGCGTTTCCAGAGTTACGGCCAGCGCGCCCACCAACGCTGCCAACTTCGCGACCCTCCGTGAAATCGAAGGCCGCCTCAAGTCCATTCGCAACATCGAGAAGATCACCAAGACGATGAAGATTGTCGCATCGACCAAGCTCAACCGCGCCCAGAAGGCTATGACCGACTCTCGCGTCTACGGCGCCACCTCCAATGAAGTCTTCGACTCCGCCGAGACCAAGCCCCTCGAGGGCGAGGGCAAGAGAGAGCTCATCATCATCTGCTCCTCCGACAAGGGTCTCTGCGGTGGTATTCACTCCGGTCTCTCCCGTACCATCCGCCGCGGGTTCGCCGAGAAGAACGCTACTGCCGACCTCGTCATCCTCGGTGAGAAGTGCAAGGCCCAGCTTCAGCGCACCAACGCCAAGGACATCCGCCTCTCCTTCGCCGGCGTCGGCAAGGACGTCCCCACCTTTTCTGATGCCTCTGCCATCGCCGACCAGATCGTCCAGCTCGCTGGCGACTACTCCTCCATCAAGATCCTCCACAACAAGTTCATCAACGCCACCAGCTACGAGCCTGTCACTATTGAGGCATTTTCCGAGGAGGCCATCACCCAGTCTCGTAAGCTTCCCGACACGAACAAGATATCGTACAAAATGAACTGACACTGGTTTCAAGCCAACTTCTCCGCCTTCGAGGTCGATGAGGAGCTCATCCCCAACCTTCGCGAGTACGCTCTTGCCAACTCCATCTACTGGGCTCTGGCCGAGGCTCACGCGTGCGAGATCTCTGCCCGTAGAAACGCCATGGACGTATGTTGTGACCCTCCTTGAGACAAACTTCTCCCCCAGGTACAGCATGAAATTGACTCGAATATGACAGAACGCCTCCAAGAACGCTGGTGAGATGATCAGCAAGTACCAGATTCTGTTCAACCGTACCCGTCAAGCCGTCATTACCGGAGAGCTGGTTGAGATTATCACTGGTGCCACTGCCTCCGAGGACATGTAAAGCGGGTTTGGAAAAGCGCGCATCAGATAGAGATGATTATTACCTCTCTTCCCTTTGTATCAAGCTACCAAGGGCGGCTAGTTGCCCTCAGTGTACCAAATCCTCGCGAACACATCCTGATCTAGAACATGGATGGGTCAATTTCATCTATTTAAACCTGAGATCTGAGAAGCGTACTTTGTGTCTGCTGCTGCTGACAATTGTTTGCAAATGCTGTGTGTATGCTTTTTCGAATGCTTTATGTACGCAGCTAAGGTAATTACTGAGAGGAACTTAAAAGGTCTATACCCTCAGTTCAACGAGAGAAATATATAATTTGTATGGGTATGCGTAACTCCTCTACGCCCCTTGAAAGAGGAACGAGAAGACAAGGACAAGGACAACGCCACAGCCCCCGAATGCACCCTGCCCGCCATGCACGCCCTTTATAAGACAAGAAACAGCCTACCCATCCACAGACACCCGAAAATGGAAAACACTCATTCCGCACCCGTGACCCGTAGAACACCGTCAAAACCCCGTATCGCTGCCGTCACTTTCGGCGTAGCTGACATGCTTGGTCCTGCGGTGCTTCTGCGCGCTGGTCTCCCGCTGGCGCGCCATACTAGCACTACTGCACCCCTCGTTCTGGAGAGGCACGTATGGATGTTCCCGATTATACGCCGCCATGGTCTCGACGTAATCCTTTTCCCACTGCGCCGACTTCTCCTCGTATTCCGCGACGGCCTCGGCGTATGCGGCCTTCTGCGCGACCGCCTGGTCCTCGAACGGCTTCCTCTCCTCTAGAGACGCGGCCCTCCACATCTTGGACGTCATGACGCGCACCTCGTTCGGCGCCGTCTTCTTTTTGCTGCCGGCGCGCTCTTCCTCGCACCTCTTGCGGGCGACCTCGAAAAAGGCCCTGCTATAGAGGAGGTAGGCGTTCGCGGCCAGCTTGGCGGGTCTGGCGGGCCGCTCACCGATCTTGGACTTTGTATGCTCCCAGGCGGACAGCTCGTAGGCTTCCAAGCGGACTTGTTCCGGGTCCTTGGGGCCTTGCATCTCCTTGCGCTTGTTGGACACGCTTCCTTTGGGTCGGACGAGGGGTGTTGGAATTTCCATCGGGCCGAGTACCGAGTCCAGGACCTCTGATGCCGCGCGTAGTCCTGATAAATAGGCTCCATGCACGGTGGCAGGATGGGTGCCGATTGTGTGCTCTCCGGCAAAGAAGAGGTTACCAATCGGGCGTGACATGGCGTCGTAATCGTCTGGGTGCATTTCTGGCCCGGCTGAAGAGTAGCTTCCTCTGGCGAACCTGTCCGAAGCCCAGCGGGTGACTACAGACTCAGCAGGATAAGGCACACCGGGCCCGAAGACGCTACGCAGGACCTCTGTCGCCTCGGCGACTAGATCTTCATTACTGCTGTGCTCCGTATCGAACCCAGCGTCGCCAGCCATCAGGGCTACCAGGCATGGCATACCTGTGGTCTGTGTGACGTTGAACCACTGAAATAAGCGTCCTCGTGAAGAACCGTAGTCATCTTGGTTCAAGCTGTGGCGATTCGGAGCGTCTCGCAGAACACCAAAAATGTGCCTTTGCGTATCCCAAAATGGGTGGTCATAAACGAGCACAAGTTTGTTGAGCACTCCGTATCCTATACGGGTGACTGCTTCCGTCTTCCACTCGGGCAAAGGCGGGTCGAACTCGACGTTGCCATGTTTCAAGACTCCCAGAGGTATCGTCGAGACGACGTAGTCTGCGTCGATCGACGTCCCATCTTCACACCGAATCAACGCACGCCCGTTGCCCTGTGGTTGGTATGTGATTTTCTGGACAGCAGATCTCGGGCGGACATCTAGAGGCGTGGGACAGTGCATGAGGCCTCTGGGAACGCTTTGGTAGCCGCCAACAATCATGGTGTGTTTGCCTTCCCACTCGTTGCCTGCGTCAATGTCCCAGCCACCTAGACTGAGGTTATGAAGATTTGTAGCGTTGCTATATTCCAGATTTGCAACGTGCCAGTTGATGAGACGATGATCTTGGGCAGTAAGGTCGACAATGTTGCGATATTGGAGGACGGCCTCGTCCATCACCGAACCGAGGGTCGTCGCTGGCAGAGCCACAGCTTCGCTCAGATCAATGTTGGCGTCGTTTGCCAAGCCGGCTTTCAACGCCCATCCCATTGTCTGGGCTTTTTCGGTAGCCTTGAGTACACCTGGTGTGCCAGGCTGAGTGTGAACGCGGCCAGTCAGCTTGTCTGACGACACTGGCACCAGATTTACTCTTTCAGGGACATTTTGTTGCGAGACGGGCGGTGCGTGTGGCAGAGCCGCCGTTGCTTCCTCAGCTTGGTTGATTGTCCGGTGGCCGTCACTCACGGCATCCCGCCCTTCGTCTATCAAGTCTCGGTTGCCTTCGATAAGCTTGGCGGGCTGTGATTTGAACTTGTATTCGCTGACGCGGTCCAAGCAGTCATTGTAAAGCCTCTCTACGAGCTGGTCCCTTACAAAATCCACCGGCTTGCCATTGGAATCGTAAATTGTCGTTTCCGATCGCAGGGCACGGTATGGGAGGCACAATTGCGCGCGCACGAGAACGTTCATCGGGTTGCCGCGGTCGAAGCCTGTGATAATCATCCCGCCCATTTCGGCGGTGAATCGCTCCCCGTCAAATTCGGGTAATGGTAACGTCGGTTTTGTCTTGAATTCCCTTGAGTAGACCCTTCCACCCACTCGCCCTCGTCCCTCGAGCACCACGATCTCAGGCACTGGTTCTCCGAGCGCCCGGAAACGATCCTCATACTGCCGTATTAAGCCGTCCAAGTGTCTGGCGCAACCTAAGCCGGACATACCGGCACCGACAATCACAATCCTCTTCCTGTTGAGTGGGGCTTCTGCCTCTAGGTCCTCTTCGGATCGACCGTTCGCCGCTGGAAATTCTACACAGCCAAAATTGATGTAGCCACGTCGTAATAGCCAGTCGTAACATATGCTTGCAGCGTCAAACCATCTGGCACCGGCACAACCGACCGCTTCATTCCTTGTCACTGCAACACGAGGGTTGTTGAACCATAGCCGGAGGATGCCATTTCTGATGTTTAGATACGTGGTGACTTGAACATGGCTGATATGCTGTCGCAGCATCTGATATTCTTCCTGGTGCAGGGCATAAGGATTTAGTCTCGAGGACTCGGCTGCTTCTATGCATTGCCTTGCATATTCAAAGCTTGAGAGATTCGAGGGTATTGACGACTTCGGTTTTACATCGAAGGACTGCTGCAATGCCTCGCGTATTGGAGGGGTCTCTGCCAATGGTATAGAGAGGTCCGTATGCCCGTCCAGGTCTACAGGGGTCGTTGCCTTACTAGACAGCGACGATGGCACCGATGAGAGCTCAGACTGGTCGTGATCAGACAAATTGGTCATCGGGGACTCGAAAGACTCGTGAGGGGTGTCGTGTGACTGGATGCGGAGGGTATCCAATGGAGCAGCCGCGTCTTCGGCCACAGGTGAACTGATCGATGGTCAGCTAAACCGATATTGAGTCTCCATACTTTTATTCGACAAAACCAGGGTGTCATTCTGAGATGCCGTAGGGTATCACCTACTCAGGTTCTGATGCTGGGCCGGAAGGATGCTCTGCCCCGTCCTGGCTCGAGTCATCCAGCTCCATATTTTCTGTCCAGACGACGATTTCTGGGGCAATTTCTGAAATTGCCTCTGATGAGATTCGGCTTGACGGTGTTGGTGTCGTCGAATCTGACAGATTTGAGGTGGATACCCGACTCAGCATCGCATTGGCCCTAGAAGGCGTGAAATCTGATATACGTGAGTTCCGATCCGGGAAATCCATCAACGATCCCTTCCCGAATACAGGTTCCTGCTTAACCCGAGACCTCGGACTGGTTCTCATATTTCAGTCGGTGAACCGATTTGGACTCGAGTATGAATGAATGGATGTATATGTTGGTGGAGGGTGATGGTCGGTGATGAAATCTGCTCAGCCTGAGTCCCGTCCAAGGTGTTATATGGCGGGTCTAGTCCCGAGTCGATAACATGTTACGATATCTCAGGTGAACCTGGATAGCCTCGCTTTGTAAGACTTGTCAGCTGATTTGAGTTCTTAGGCTCGCAGCAGTTGATATAAGACGATGCGAAGTACGAAGTATGAAGTACCTACCTTTGGACTGCGGAGACGCCACTGCCCCGGCTGCAGGGCACTGTCCCGGCTTCGGTGCTGGATTGAGCCGTCCCGATGTAGTTTAAGTAGCGGTATATCGAAAAAGCACCTGATGAGTCGCAAACAACTCAGTCTACTGTTTGAGACAATTATGTTGAGGAAGAAAACGTAATCCGTACATAAAGGGAAGTCGTCAGATACATGACCCGTTGAAATCGCTAGGTTCGGCATTGGACATGAGGAGCTCCAGCGTTCGAGACAAAAAAGGTGGGTCACGTGATGGACTTCCGCTCACTGGCAAGCCACACAGTGCTGTACGGGCTGACTGCAGGCCCGAGCCAAAACCGGCGAGACCAACTGCAGGAAGGCACTGACTCAGGGGGCCGGATTATCCTACCTGTTGGCAAGAGTATTCACAATGAAAACGATGCCTGCTCCTGAGGTAGTTCGAAATCAGCTCTCCGCGAGAAGCTCATTGTCTGTATGTACGTCACATTTTCAAATGCCGAATACGGCATTCCCTTCTTTCGCCTCTACCAATGCCCGTCTCCACTGCAGAGCCTGCGCCACGTCTCATGGAGTCGGGCTCGCAGGTTTAATGTTATCTCTTGCAAACGAATCCTTCTCGATTGCCGCATCCATCATTCGGTCTCCGCTAATGATTGACGTCGTGCATATGACGATGTTTCTCCGTGCTGCAGATGAAAATGATTAGTTCAGAATGCTTCATGAGAGGATTCCACTGAGGTCGAATACCTTCTTCCTGCTTTGCAATGAACCGTAGAGCAGCGATCTCGGTGAACGTTATGCCTCCGACGAAGACCACAAACACAGTCTGCTTCTCCGTGCCTCCCGACAGCAACGCTCGAGCTTTGACGGCCTTCTCCTCGCCCTTTTGTAACTCGTAAAATGTCTGCCCACGGACGTGCTTTACAGCTTCGTCGAACCCATGCCAACCTTGCGCTGCGGACGCTCCGGTCGCGCCACTAACGCCATTGCCTCTCGTGACCTGGAGCAGGTACTGCTTTTGAAGCACACACTGGATAAGGCGAATCGACAGTGGCGCATAACCACTATATACGTACGCGATGTCGTTTGGATCGTCTTCCTGAACTTCGTCGACGATGAGCCGCAGGAGCTTGCGGAGATATGTGTAGTTGGTCTTTGTCCCTGTGTTGTTGCCACCAGAGCCAGTCATCGGGATCATTTCTGCCAGTGGGGAAGAGCGTGACAAGAACAGTTGAAGCTTTTCGAGGTTATTCAGAGTGAGTATGTGCTGATAGCCGTAGCCCTCGAGGATAAGCCGTCGGAACTGGTCGAATTCCTTCGGTTTGATGCCGCCCGATATGCATGAGTAAATACAGAGCAGTCTCAGCACTTCTGGAAGCGGGGTATCTCGAGCAATCAGTTCTTCGATGGCTTCGAACTGTGAAGAAGGGTCCGCGCCTGCAGCTAGGTTTTGCTGGGCCTCCAAGAGACCTTTAAACTGGTCTGTCCGTGTGTACTTCATGACCTCCTCCGCCAAGCCTGTATGTATACGCAGACTTTGCTGCTCCGCTTGGTATCCGGGCAGCTTGCTGACAAAATCCTTGAGCTCGGCGATGGATTTGTGACTATTCCGTCCTTCGTAGTCCTTTTGTAGATTCTGAAGCCGGCGGGCAACTTTGTTAAGTAAGCTACCGACAATAGCAAAATTCGTATCGCGAAGTTGCTCGTACAACTTGTCGGAGGAATCGAGTTGGATTTTTCGTTTCCTAGCTTGTGCGCTGGTAGCTGAGGATTGAGAAGGTGCCCCGACAACAGTGGTATCAACCTCGGCTTGATTGTTCTGAATGCCGAATACCTCGTCGATGAGTCCCTCGTAGGTCAACTGAGTTAGCAAAGGAGTGACGAAGTCCACTTCGCGGTCGATTATTATGACACTTTCTGTAAGCGTGCTTGGCGTCAAGCCGCCTCGATTTGTTTCGTTCGCATCCTCGCCCGCAAGTATCTCTTGTCGCATTCTTGCCAGGAGCTCGGCAACCCGTTTGGCGTTGTCGCCTTTGCCGATGATTCGGGGAAACAAACCATGGTTCTGTTGGATCTCCATCAAGGCCTTGGCGAGCAGGAAGGATGGTGTAACGTCTTTTGAGAGATAGAGGTCGCGGAAAGATTCATCCAACTCGAGGGAAAGAAGGTCCTTCTCTAGTGGAAAGAAGTATAAAGGCAGTTCAGAGATGTTCACGTCGCCTAAGACGCCGGCTTCCTCGAGCAGCTTGTCGGAGACGAGTGTCCGTCGAGGCACCCAGAAGATGTGGAACTCGTGACCGGTTTGGCTCTCTCGCTGTAAACGCCGAATCTGTTCTAAGAGGTTGTTAGCACGAGGTGCAGCTCGCCCAGCAGTAAGCCTCTCTGCCTTGCCACGTCTTTCCTGGCAGACCAAAGATCAAGCTTGCGTGAGCCAAGCTCAAGAGGCTTCGTGGAATTTTGATGGGGGCTGAAAGGGACCGTGAGATTCGGTAGTGCAAGGCGCTGACCTGCTATGGCTTGTGCATGACGAGCGCACTCCCCGCGAGCTATGAAGATGACATTTCGCTGGCTAGTGTCGGCGTTCTTGTTCTCGAGGAAGAAGAACTTATCTACGCCGTATTCCTGGAGAGTTGCGACCTTGACGATTGTGCTGATTGGGCCTGCTAAGCTGCGCTCAAGAATGAGGTTCTTCTTTCCGCGAACCTGAATACACCAAGGTTAGCTCACGGAGGATAAGGTGCCAGCTCGAAATGCCTTACTTACAGCCTCGAGCAGGTAAAGGAGGTCCTTGCGCGCTTTATCCTTTATCTGGTCCGTATTGAAGCCAGCTCGAGGAGCCATTTTCAGCTATCCATGCAGTTGAAAAGAAGGTTTCGTGGAGCGGCAAAGCGACCGCTGCTGAGCGAGTGATGTGGTCGGGGTAAGGCAGATGGAAAAGGTGATGGAAAGCTGGGGTAGGTATCGAAGTGTCTGACGTCTGGAGCTGTCGGGTTGAGAGATTAGATTAGCTACAGCACGGGGCATCTCTCACAGAGAGCATCTGCGTCAGCGGGGCCAGGTTCACTAAGAAGTTAAGGACTTGGGTACGACGGTGCAGGTTCTCTTTCGGGGCGGGGGCCAGTCACTGTGTCAGGCCCGCTCTCAGCGCTACGTGCATCCATGGATGTCTCGAATGTTTCCAGCTTCTCAAGACATTGGTTCGCGATCGCTGGTCGCGAGGTTTTCTTCCACACTTGCATAAACGCTTTGGTATCCGGTCTACCTGCTAACATAACGGGAAGTAGAAGTAGCCTACCTAGCTTGGGGAAAAAAAAAAAAAACCTCGGTCCTCTCATCCTACCGACTATCAAGGGTGTCAAACACCGCTCTCTGGAGGATTTGCGATCCCGCTCGCCACACATATTGTGCAGATGATCTTTGCAATGTTTCGCTCCACGAAAGTTGAAAGAGCCAAAAACGGTGTTGGTCATCTTCTCCCCCTGGCAGAGCACCAACTCCTGAACACTCTGCTTGTCCTGGGATCCTTATCTGTATGCCCAAATCCTATTCAACGCCTTAAACAACCCTGCCGCGCAAGTATGTTCTGTTCTTCAAACGGTGTTATCGTGATAATAGAAGTCAATATCTCTCGGGCGCAAGCGGTTGCTCCGAACGAATTCGTCATCTCCCGCTGGCCGTTCGTTCTTTTCGTTGCCAGTTAACATGCTCTGTATACTCATGCAAACGCTCTCGACGTTCTGTACGGGACTCCAGCCTTGACTGCCGAGCAAATCGAGACAGATGATGCCATTGGAGTAGATATGAGGATGCATGGGAATCGGTCGCTCGGTTGTTTTGACAAAGGTGACCTCTGGGGGTTCTATGGAGTAGATCATCAGTTACTTGGGGGAGCTATTGAGTGGGCGGCGAGTATAGAGAGGCTTGCCTATGGGATATTGTTGTGAGAACTTGAATTTGAGTCTGTAAGCCTGGTCTTTGTACAGCGGGTTGTCGTCCAAGACTTTGATATCCATTATCCATTCTTCAAAGTTGTCGGCCGAAATGAGCTCGATACCGGGAGGCAAGCCAGAGTTGAGCTATATATGATGTGAAAGGTTAGGAAGAATCCCAAAACGAGCATGAGCGCGAGCGCGCGTTGCGCGACGAAGCGAATATGGTTCGATCACAGGACGAGAGTGAGAACTGGACGGAACGAACCTTGGACAACTCTTTAGCCAGCCGCTTGGAAGCAAAGCTAGAAGCCATTTCGACGCGCGATATAGTGGATTGGTAAAAGGTGATACCCACGCGAAGATTGCACGACGGCAGAAAATGGTAGAGGAGTGCACCGGAGGAGATGTCAGTCGGCGGCTCGAGAAGCAGCCCAGCCGGGCAAGGAAGGCTGCTGCTGAGGGGCTTGTTGGTCGTTGGAGGGGCTGCCCAGAGAGGACCCCACGAATTGGTGGTTCCTGCCGAGAACAGCAGCCAAAAAAAGTGCCCAGGAATGCACAGGAATGTGGGAAACAGCCGATCCGGAAGCCAAATTCAGGGTCTGAATCTGGATATCAAGAGCAGCAGCCGGATGCAAATCAATCGGGAGGCAAGGCGTGTACAAACAATGGGAATGAACGAGGGAGATGTGCAGCAACGTCAGTGTGTGTGGTCGTTCGAACACTGTCGAGACACGCGGGCACGCGGGCGTGTTGGAGACTATCCACGGGTCGCTACAGGCGTCGGGTGGCACTGGGCTTCTTACGTAGCACTAAGGTAAGGTCTTATGTGTATCCATAGGTACCTATGTAGAGAGCAGGTGAGCAGAGCTGGAGCGCCTTACCTCAGACTTTCAAGGTCCAAATGACGCCGCGGGGGAGGATTGGCGGCTGCTCAATGCATCTTGGACCGATGCGAATGCGCGTGCTGTAACCCGGTCGCAGGTGGTGGGTCCACTTTACTCGACGCCAGTGACAACGGACCAAACCTAAGCATATTTGAAGAAAAAGAGCGGCGGGGAGAACCCAGCTACAGATTTATCGTGTGGTGAGTCGTGTTATCAAAACCCTGGCATGGCCTCTGGTTTCCTAAGCTCTGTCATTATCAACCTTTCCAGCCCTCAAGGATATCTCCAATGGGAAGAAAGACACTGCGATGTGATCTGCGGGTGATGTTTACTGGAGGCATACATCGGGACTACGTTTGTCGACCAATCAGATTTCGTGTGCAGCATGCTTCGTCCACTTGGATAAGGGTTCATCTACGGATACGGATATCTCTCTCGAGCTCTCGAGATGGCCTCGCCAGCAGATCGAATCGGAACAGCCTTACGACAATCAGAGTCAATGCCTGTCGCAGCCACTGAGCCAGCGTGGTGGTACCGATGGAGGACGGCGGACGAGGACAAGGGTGGAAGAGCGGCCTCCTCAGCCACACTCTTTGGATTCCCACATCTTCCAGTCGTTTGATCGTTCAGGATACGGCAATACGGCGATCCACTCCTGGACCCTTGTCGGGCATCTTCAGTGCTCCTGGATGCCGTCGCTCATCACGGCCATGTCCGTGCTCTCCCTCCTGTGCCCCTCATTTCTCTGCGGCTGAGCATCCTTTTCAATTCTTACCAGCCCACAAGGCTCCCTCTGGTCTGCCACAACCCCTGAATCTTGTTCCCTGTGATGACTAGAACCGCCTTTTTCGTTGTTCTGTACCGGAGCTGTACGATCCCAGCCTGAAGGCTGCCTCCAGGAGGTGCAATGACGTGCGGTTGCCGAAATGATGCACTTGTCTAGTATTCTGTAGGCAGAGCTCGAATGTCTTTATCTAAGAGGTGCTTACCTCCAAATTACACACATTGGAAGACCGTCTCTTGCTTGTGAAGCTCACATCACCTTAGGTACCTTACCTACCTTGCCCTCTCACGCTCTTCCTTCCCGCTTTACCCCACCTCCCCCATCCAACCCAAGCACCGAGAGCTACCAGCAACCCGACTCGACCCCCCTTCCCTCCAGTCTACCTAGGAAGTCTCCATCAGCAACGCTGCTTCTCTGTCCTGTCCAGGGTCGAGCCTTCTTCCTGCTCGATTTTTCTGCTCCTCTACCTACGCCAGCCTCAAGCTCTCCTCATAAACGTCGTCTGCATCCCACCGCTGACGCCCAGTTCGTCTCGATCCCGTCATCTCTACAGGGTCTGTCCACCCGGTCATTCCACACGTATACCACTCGCTGCGACCGATAACCCCTCCCGGAAAATGAGTTGTAAGTCCTCGGATTGTACTGTTTCTCTTCGGTCCTGCGGGACCGTTGAACGGCTCTGCCGTGGTTGTGAACATTACGACTGCCTCGTGCAACACTTCTCCAGTCTTATTGTTCCCAATCCACAATCGATGCTGACCACACGTTCGCAAATAGTCTCCAACATGCTCAGCAGGCTCCAGGGCCAACCCGAGAGCTACGATAAGAAGTACGAATACTCCCAGACCATTTTCTGAATACCATGTTCTGACGTCCTCTCTACAGGGCCAAATACCGCTTCGGTCGCACTCTCGGAGCTGGAACTTACGGTATCGTCCGTGAGGCTGACGGTCCAACTGGCAAGGTCGCCGTCAAGATTATCCTCAAGAAAAATGTGAAGGGCAACGAGAGAATGGTCTACGACGAACTGGACATGCTCCAACGTCTCAAGCACCCCCACATTGTCAAGTTCGTTGACTGGTTCGAGTCGCGTGTGAGTCCCGTTCCCGCTACGAAGCCATGCCTAGCCTCGATACTGACAACCTTTTTGCAGGACAAGTACTACATCGTCACTGAATTGGCTACGGGAGGAGAGCTGTTCGATCGAATCTGCGAGCAGGGCAAATTCACAGAGAAGGATGCTTCGCAAACCATCAAACAGGTCCTCGAAGCCGTCAACTACTTGCACCAGAACAACGTCGTACATAGAGGCAAGTTTACTGTTATTCCCTGGGTTCCCTTGTCCTTCTAACTAGTCAGCCAGATTTGAAGCCTGAGAATCTCCTGTACCTTACCAGAGAGACCGAGTCCGATCTTGTCTTGGCCGATTTCGGTATCGCCAAGATGCTCGACCGCAAAGATGAAGTCCTCACAACAATGGCCGGTTCCTTCGGTTACGCAGCCCCTGAGGTTATGCTTAAAAAGGGCCACGGCAAGCCGGTAGACATGTGGTCTATGGGTGTTATCACATACACTCTTCTTTGCGGTTATTCTCCTTTCCGCTCAGAGAATCTTCAGGACCTCATCGATGAGTGCAGTAACGCCCAGGTCGTATTCCACGAGCGTTACTGGAAGGATGTCAGCGATGATGCCAAAGACTTCATTTTGCATCTTCTGCAACCAGAGCCCGTCAAGCGCTGGTCGAGTGAGGTACATAGCCGGCCTGGACCAAAGTCGAGATATCAGCACTGACAACAGTAACAGGAAGCTCTTCACCACCCGTGGCTCAGCGGAGAGAATGCCACCGACCACAACTTGCTGCCTGAGATCAAGGCCTACATGGCCAAGGCTCGTCTTCGCCGTGGCATCGAGATGGTCAAGCTTGCCAACAGAATCGAGACGCTCAAGGCACAAGAGGAAGACACAGAGGATTCGGATTTCCCAGCCGACGCTATCAGCGCAGCAGACCAGTCCAAGCACGTTGGCGCACACGAAGTCGCCGCTGGCGAGAAGCGCAGCCTTTCGAAAACGATCAAAGGAGCCATCTTCCGCGAGGTCGTTCTTGCCAAGGTGCGCGAGATGAAGCAGCAGCAGGACACGCTCAAGGTGAAGGAGGATGCGGAGAAGGAGCACAGAAGACGCAGCTTTCAGGGATGAGAAGCGCCGTACGTCTCTCTATGGCGACTTTGGCGGGTCAGTCGGGACTCGGGAAGATGATACCACACGGGTTGGGTGAAACAGCGGGCCAATGTCACAGCTCGGCAGCGGCTTTGACGATTTCAAGTTCTTACTGCCTTTCTTTGCGCACTCATTTCGTTTCAGGCCGAAGATACATGGCTTGATGAGCGATATACGTTTGTTGCTTTGCCGGAGCGGACGGGGGAAACAGAAAAGCGAGGACCTGACATGACTTTGAACGACACCCATCGTTTTTTCCAAGATTGAATCTCTTCGTATGACTCAGGACTTGACCTAGTTAGTAAACCTTGATACATGTAGCCCTCATTGACGTGTCTAGACAGCTTGCCACAGCATCTGACCAGCAAGAGAGCCAGTGCTATCTTAAACTTGAAAGTTCGTGATTGGTGATATTGCAGCTGCTAGTATAGTCGATACTGCGATCGAACCAAATTCGTGTCTTGCCAAGCTCGAAGCTTGAGGTCGGACGTTGATGACAGCGTATTCAGCAATGAACGGCACATGCAACATCTGAAGGAGACCTTTAGTGTGTTGCCAAGATGAACATTGCTAATCGGCATTGCTACTACTTGAAGTCGGGAATTTGGGTCTAGAGTAGACTGCTGCCCCTTGCTCTAAAACTACCACTACTATCCGTACTACTACTACTACTACTACTACTACTACTACTACTACTTATTGTATGGGTGGATTCGTAACGAGTCGTTGTTGTGCTGGTTGTACAAGGTATATCAAGAGGAAGAGAAAAAATAACAAGGTAAGGTACCTTAACAAACCGACTACCAGTAGTGCGCCGTCCTGCCCCGAAATGCTGCCGAACGGGAAGGAAACAGAATCGATAGACAGGCGCTCTTCCCAAAAAATTTGGCTTCGCCTGAAGCCCCCACCCACCTAAATGCTTTTTGTGTCGCCGTAGAATAAATGAACAATGTATAGGGGCAATGTTGCTTGAAATCATGGTACAATTTAACGAAGAGAGACCGTGGGCCGCTTGGTATCATTTGAAAGAGACGAAGGGGAAAAAATTGCGATTCGAGGGAAACAAGCGATTATTCATCTGGAAAGAACGACTCATTCCAGCTCGGCAAGAACGCTCTCGCGAAGCGCCTCATAGCGGCCGATATCAAAGCGACGTCGTTGCCAGTTGTTCTGGCGCAGGCGTTCAATGCGAGTCCTGATATCGAGATTGCGCAGGTCATCGCTGAGCTCCGGGGTTGCAGCCCTGGCGGGGAGCGAGTTGCGCCCCGAATCGCTTTGCAGGGGTGCCGCAAGTTGCTCCTCCACATTGGTGATGTGGACGGCAATCTGCGAGCGCAAGCTGGAGAGCAAGCTGCAGTATCGGTGGATAGACCGCTCTTGGAGGAAGTCGAAGGCGTCATATTCCTCGTTCAAGGGTTCGGGCGTCGGTGGTTTCGCAACGTCCTCGGGCTCATCGGCGGGCTCCGGCTCCTCTTGGAGGACCGGGAGGTAGCGCGGGGGTTCGGGCTGTTGTGGGGCGCAGAGGAAGTCGTCAAAGCCGAGAGTCGGAGAGTCGGGGCGAATAAACGGTTCTTCAGGGACGTCACAAAAGGTGACGCGTTTCTTTGGCGGTGTTTGGTTGGTGGAGAGCTTAGTTATGGCGTCCTCGACGGAACACACAGACGGCGTGGGTGATGAGAAAGCGGTCGAGTTGGTCCAGGTCCGCGAAGATGCGCGGGAGGATGTAGAGCTCGACGGAGAATGCATGCTCGAGGTCGCCGCTGAGGATGGTCGCGATGAGCGGGCCATGGTCTCATCCGCGGCCTTGCTCAAATCAGAGGCTCGCGTATAGTGTTCTCGAGCTTGTTGGAGAAGCCGTGTCCGATACGGCGATGCGCATTGCAAAGGCCGGGAGAGCATATCAAAGGAGCTGGCGGCATAAAAGTGAAGGTAGATGAGGTAGGCCGGCTCAACGTTTGCCTGGCGACTTGGTTAGTACGGTCTCAAGCCATTTCAGATGAAGTGCAACTTACAGATTCCTTGATATTGTCTAGGATCTCGCAGCAGCGCAACGAGCATGGTCGATACTTGCGGTTGAGATACTGCCGCTTGACCTCGGAGACAGCCTTGCTCCACTCGGCAGACGTGTAAGGCAAGACGGGTAGCGGCGCCGGCTGCGATGCAGACCGTTTGTGCACTCGCGCCTTAGGAGGTCCGACGGAACTAGCCATGGTCGGTGATGTTACCGCAGGCTGTGGCGTAGTGTAAGAGGCACTCGACGCTGGTGCTTTGCTCGTGGGAAAGACTACGCTGCCCCGGGAACCGACAGCAACAGGTTTAAGGAGGAGGGGTATTAAGCCACCCATCGTGATAGATTTAGAGTATTTGCGCGGACGAAAAAGGTTTTCGGTGCCAGAGGTAGGCTGAGCGATGAAGAAGGACGGCTAACTCAGCTTGCCACCTTTCCGTCCGATATGAGACCAATGGCTGAATAAAATCGTGAAGTCAATAGCGTGAATTGACTTGAAAGGGCCAATAGCAAGCCGCCGCGTTGTTGAACCAGGCAATAGTGTTCGTGATACTTACGACTTATGATGAGGCCAAAATATCGAGGCAGATAGAGAGCGGGCTCAACAAAGTCGAGAGCAGCAAACGAGGGCTGAAAAGGCCCGGCGGGTTCGATAAAGCTCGATAACTCGATTTGGGTGTAAGTGGGTAACCCCGAAATGCGTAACAGGCGTTATACCGGGACCCGGGAACAGTCTCAAGTCGTCTGAACTTCCTTGCAAATCGAGCGCAGGTCGACGTTGGCCTTGGCACCCAGAATGAACTCCGTCCAGGTTTGGCGTTAGAAGCCGTGGCAGGATTGTTGGGTTTTCCAGACGTTTGTAGCTTCCCACGGTGGATGTTGCTTGCGAGTGAACAACCTGTAGGCTTGCAAGGCTATTAAGACGAACTGGGAAGCAATGATGTGCCCAGGTTACAGTCGCCGAGTTGTTGTAGTCTCAGGAGGTAGTACGTAGCACGGTTGATGATTCGGTTATCTTCGTAATCTTTTGAAAACTGGGAAAGCAACCTGCAAGAGGCTGATGTTGGGGCAAGCTGAAGTTCGAAGAGACAGAGAAAGGGCGGCGCCAGTCGAGTTGAAGACCAATTGAAGGAGTTGTATGTGGCTGCCAGGTATTGAAAGTGGCGGCTGAAGACCGAGACAAGATACACAAGGTGAGACCGGCGGCGGAGGGATCTCAATAAATGACGAATTGGCCGTTGGGAGAAAGCCCGGAAAGCTCGAGGAAAGAGAGCGGCTTCAAGAATCTGTCAGATGAGGCTGGTGGTTTAGAGCGGAGCGGAGCAGTGGGTGGGCAGCCGGGACGATGCGAGAAGCACAAGAAGAAACGGCGGGAGAGGCTGGGGATCACAGAATAGAATCTCGAAAACTTCGAGCAGAGACCCTTTGGGCCTGGGGGGGATGGGCCGTGTTCAAGTACCTCATGGAGTCATGGATGTATCCAGGGGAGGTGATTTCGGGACCCCTCAAGCACTTGATTTGGGGATCCGTACAGTAGAGCTCGAGCATTTTTCGAGCTTGGATTGGGGCCTGGGCAGGGTGTTTGCGCATCGACGTTGGACTAGGGAGAAAGGGGGAACAAGCTTCAGGCGTCTGTGGCCTGCGCAATGAGATTTTCTCGTCTCCTTCGAGGACCTGCATATCGTGCTCCATCTCATTCTCGCTGAGGTGTGTTCGTTCCCCTGGCACCGGCATGCATTTCCTGTCGACCCTTGCCTCTAACCCTGCTCGTCGTTGGTGCTGCCCTTGGTGCTGAACCCACCCCCAATGCAAGTCTCTTGCGTACAAATGTAACTCTGCCCGTAGTAGTTTGCGTATCTGGCTACGCGTTGTGCTGCGCAACCGTACCTTGGATGCGCTATGAGCTGCGAGGCGTTGCTTGGTGCGAGGGATGGCTTTGAGATGGCTTGGGTTGCTCCGGTAGAGTTGTGAGAGACTCGCCCTGTGCAATCTGCAAGGTGCGAATAGTTCCCACCCCGCGGCAGCGCCGTAGTCCGTTAGACCGTATATGGACACGCTACGAGGGCAGCTCGAAGATTGGGCGGTCGAACCTATTGCAGTTTGTGCGTGCGAAGTGCCCGTACCTGGAGCCATTAATTGCAACCCGAGAGCGCCGTAGCGTGTTCTACACGTGATGAGTAATTAGATGCGATGGTGAAGCAGGGATGGGTTTCTGTCTGTCAGTGTCAGGTCTGGGAAATGCGATGGGGGGAGACGGGCGATGTGCGGTCCCGTTGTGGATTACACGGGATGGACGGAGATGATTCGCACGCCGGTCGGCTGGGTCTCATTTGCGAAGGGAGGCGATGCTGATAAAGACTTCAGTCCCCGAGTCACGACACGCTGGAGAAACGCCGTCTGTGTCTCGTCAGCAAGGAAGAGTGTCCTTCACTCTGGATGGATAGCAAGGAACCGGAAGTCCAAACGTAAAGTCTGGAGGAAAGATTCTGGCACATAGCGCAGCTTCATGACGACGGGACCAGCTTGCTGGTGGGGTTTTGGTGCAAGACTGTTGGAAGACACACGAAACCCTTGCTCGAAAGGGAAGAGAAAAAGAAAGCAACGCGAGGAGAGAATCGTCTCAATGTCTCTCGCTTTCTCGCTATCTCTCCACAGAGCGGCGAAGCAGAAACCCAACGGCCATCAAACCCGAATCCACCAAGCACCTCCATCAACTAACGGTTTAATTTCACCGTGGACCTTCCATACCTTCCAGACCTTCCAGTTGTAGCTAATTTCCAGGTTCCCGGTTGGTCGTCGATTCGCTTTGTTTGCTCTTGCTAGGGGGGGTTGGGGGGTTTGGGGAGTGATGAGATGAAGAGGAGGGGGAGCCTCATTGCTTCGCCCTGGGACTTGGAAAGTGGGAGTCAACACGTACCTGCACAGCCAGGGACTCCTGTCGTACCTGCCTTCCCTTCCTGGGTGGTGGGTGAGGTGATGACTGCCCTGGTGACTGGGCGACCTACTGCCCTGCACCGGAAGCCACGAACCGACAACCGAACGGCGGGTCTCTCCCTCCAAGACTCCCGTCAATAGGCTCCAACCCCTGCATCAGATCTCCATCGTCGTTCCCTTCCTCGGGTTGCTGTCATTTTCCACGCTTCTTCCCCCCCTGCCTCCCCTGTCGTCATCCTCGTAACCTGCTCTCGCCTCTGCCGCCTCTCATTGCACCTCATTGCCCGCCCTGCACTCTTCTTTCCAGGGTCATGACAAGTGACAGTATCACACCCACTCCCATGTTCATAACGCGCAGGTACGGCCCTGCAACACTCAGAACGCTCTCCGTGGGATTCGAACCGTTCTTTGGGACCGTGGACCAAGAACCTGGCTAGCCTGCGATCTCCATCTTCCACTCCTTGTGCACTTGGGCCTCTTTCACCTCTTCGGGGCCGGCACTCGAGTAATGCAGAAAGCATGCAATATGACACGCCAGCCAATGTATCTCCGCCGACATATACCGCAGTATACCCCCTGCCATGGTCCGACAACAGCACAGCTCAAAGAGTCAAAGGTCCCAATAACGTGGTAACCTCAATACGCAGTGCCCCGTACGGCTACCCATGCCGGGGACATGTGCCAGCGCCATGTTCACTCGCCCCAAAATGCGGTACCATTATTGGGGGTCTATCAGTGGACGAAATATTCACACGGAAATGTCTAGTTGCGGGCATATTAGACACCATCCAGATCAAGAGAATGGAAGTGACAAAAAACTTCTTACACCTCCACCGGGACTCGAAGGGAAAAGCAACCCAGAAAGGCCAAGGCAAAGAAAATAGACGATGCGGACGAGAAAAGCAACGCAAATGGGTCAACTCACGGCATCAACCAAGCCCTCACGCAAGAAACTAATCCGTACGGAGAGGTTCTCCGGGTCCTCTGGCGAATATCACCTCGCGTCGCTGGCCTCAACACATCCGACGCGGTGCACACGATCCATACAATTCGTCTTCGTTCTCGTAGCTGAGACTCAGGGGCGAGCCATCCTGGCGCCAGAGAACGACGGTCGAGTGTCTAAGAGCAAACTCGGTCCCAAGGAAGAGGCCTCAGCGTTGCCTCACGGCCTCACGGACACGGAACCGTCAAAAATTGGGACCGAAACGAAACATTTTCATCCCCTCAGCTCGCCTATGAGGTCCCCCCAATTCTCCCTCCCCATCACCACTGGCACCACGTTGTGGACATCCGCACAGATCTCCAAAGACTCCAGACGGCATGCACCTCCAATCCCTGATCACAGTCGCAATCGTTGCGCTCAAGCACCTTGGACGTCCGTGCTTGCACACTTCTACTTCTCACCGCAAGATCAAACCTTAGGCTGATTCGCCCTTCCAAGTTGAGATTTCTCAAAGGCAGGTTTTGTGTGGGAAGCGCTCGTTTGAAGCTGAATGTAACGCTGAATGCGACGCAACAACCTATGAGCATAACACGGGTGAGTAATAAGCACTATTGGGAAGTGCGATACTTGCCATATCTCTGTCGTAATTGATACCCTACCAGGTACGACACATTGCGGGATAGGTATGGAACAATCAGCCATGCACACCCGACAGGAATGAATTTTTTTCCTTCCAAAAAAAAAAAAAAAAAAAAAAAAAAAAAGCAAAATATCTCAAAATTCAGACGACCGTTGTCCTGCACCTAGGCCCGGTCCATCCTGCAGTAGCGGACGGAAACCACACCACAAGTGCCACTTTCCAATCGTTAGTCGACCGATTCGTGCAGGTTTCGATTCATTACTTGACTGTAGCATTGCGCTCAACGTCGGTGTTCCGCAAAGCTCTTCCAGGTTCCCTCTGGCCCTGTCACCTCTGATCAGAGGCCCTGTCAACTTTGACTCGAGCCCTGCCCGCCCGATCACGATATCGGCGGGGTTGTGCGCCTTGGATTCCTTGAAACCCCCACCCGTTTGCTTATCGTCGAGTCCAGGTTGCAGGGCCGGTCGTGAGGGGTAGATGGACCAGCGCGGGTCGGTTTGTATAACACAAGAGAGAGGGGGGCGGGATGGGACGTTTGCTACGGTGTGATTGCGACTCATTTGAGCCCCATCATCTCTGAATGACCCTAATCACGCGTCGCTATTGTTTTCTTTTCTTACCCTGTCGACTCCGGATCTTCTCTTGTCAATAACGTTTGGGCAGATATCCGGGGTTGGTCGATGATCGACGGAGCTACAAGAAGAGATGGTCTCTCCTACATCAGGCCATCCGATTCCTCGAGCTTTGGAGCTAGTCAAACAACTGGCTGGCTTGGGCAGCTAGCGGACCAGCTGGTCAAGTTTACAAACAAGTCCCTGCGCGCATTGACTTGAGCACTAGATCCTCATGGTGCGACGATCCAAGCTTTTCGTGGCTGACAATCCCGCCGTTGTACTTGCTAGGGCTTCCGGATAAGCTCATTCCTTTGTGAAGGACATGAAGGAAACGGTCATTACTATACCTACACGTCGCTCCCCCCACGTGGTGGTTTGAGAAGTGATCCACGCCACCTGTAACATGAATTTGACGGGGCTTCAGACCAGTCGATCTGGGCTGCTTCTAGGCGCTGCCTGAAATGGGCACGATCATGTTGGATTCGCTGGCCGCGGCCAAGTTACGGTTCAGATAGCTTGACTTGTAAAGCCAGAGCGACCATGTAGCCAAAATCGACGGAAAGAGACGGAAAGATCACAATTCAGGGTAAGGTACTGAAATATGGCAAATGTAATCACCGCCGACTTACCATGACGGCTGTTTCTATTTTCAATGCTTTTGTGCTTTGCTTCTTATCTTCACCCATGATTTATGCGCTCGGTGCGGGCTTGCTCTCTTCCGCTGCCTCCGCCGCCGCGAGCTTCTCTCCTTCCGCGACAGCAGCGACGGGTGCCTCGGCAGCAGCACCAGTAGCAGGCGTCTCCACGGCCTTCTCCTTCTCCTTGTTGTCCTCCTCCGACGGCGCCGTCGTGGACTTGATGTCCTCACCCTTCATGCCGCCCACGACCCTCAGGCCCTCGGCTCGTGTAGCAAGGTTGTCGAGCTCGCGCTTCCGCGACAGGCGCTTCTGCACCTCGGGCACCAGCGATGCCATGTCGACGAGCTCGCCATCCTTCTGAGGGTGGCCCTCGGGCAGACCCAACTCCTTGATCCTGACGACGCCCTTCTGGACCTCGTCGTCGCCGAGGATGATGGCAAAGGGAGTTGCGTTGGATTCAGCCGCCTTGAACTGCGGCGGCAGCTTGGGCTTGACCTTGTAGAGGAACTCGGCCTAAAATGAAAGTTTGAACAGTGTCAGCGACGCTTCTTCTTCATCTTCGTCGACTTGAGTCGAGTTTTTGCATAGTGCAATCGTACCTTGACGCCGGCATCCCACAGCTTCGAGCAGACCTCGAGTCTCTCTTTGATCAGACCAGCCTTGGAGCCTAGGGACATGACGAAGACGTCGACCGTACTTTGTGGCGCCTCGCTCTCGGCCTGCATCCGGGCCTTGGTGATGCTGAAGATTCTCTCGATGCCAAAGGAGACCTAGGCTACCTGTCAGCATCCCACGCGGTCTCTTTTTCTTGAGCTCTGGCAATGGCACTCACACCAACGCACGGGATTTGCGTCTTGCCAGAGAACATGCCCACGAGGTTGTCATAGCTGTCACTTTGTTAGAGACCTGAGAAACTGTGAACGGTGCATTTAGTTTTGTCCTCACCGCCCTCCGGCTGCGACACTGCCAACGCCGACGCTTGGATCGTCAGAACGGTCGTCGTCGTCTTTGTTCTTGCTCTTCTTTTTGGGCTTCACCGTCTTGCCATCCGCGTCAGAAGCAGCGGCCGGTGCCGATCCTTCTGTCACAACTTCGTAGATGAGACCAGTATAGTAGTCCAACCCACGGGCGAGGGAGAGGTCAAATGACACCCGATCGAGGGCGCCAAAGGCCTCCAAGTAGGTGAAAAGGAGTTCGAGATCGGCCATGCCGGCCTTCATCGAAGCGTTCGCAGCGAGCTTGTCGTCGCGCTGCAGTTTCCGAAGCAGGTCCTGCTTACCCTTCTGAACTACCCACTCGCCAATTCTGTCGGCCACCTCACCGTCCAGGCCCTTCTCCTCGGTCATCTCCTTGCGTACGTCGGCCCAGGGGAGCTTGTCAAGTTTGTCGACGGCCGAGGATATCGTCCGGATCTTATCCTCGGGCACGCCACAGACCTCAAAGATGCCGTCGAGGATCTTGCGGTGGTTGAGCTTGATGGTGTAATTTCCGTTCCAGCCCAGGCCCTCAAAGACCTCGACGACAATTCGGATAATCTCGGCGTCGGGAATCATGGAGTCGTAGGTACCGGCAATGTCGAAGTCACACTGGTAAAACTCGCGCATGCGGCCCTTGTTCATGGCAGGCTGATCACTGCGATGTGTATGTCAGCTAGTCGCCGAGTATATCGTAGGAAGGGTGTCGTAAATCGTACCGGCGGTAGACCTTTGAGATGTGGTAGCGCTTGACGCTCTGGATGTCCTTGTTCATGGCGAGCCATCTCGCAAAGGGGACGGTCAAGTCATATCGCAGGGACGTAATCTCACCACCCTGATCGGCCAGGTCGTAGATAAGCTTCGAGTCTTCGCCATACTACGGAGCAGGTGTTGGTCAGCGTCTTGTGGTTGAGTCGAGAACCGAAGTGGATCGCGGGGTTCTCGCAAGGTGGGGGGAGGGGTAAACGCGAATATGTCGTACTTTGCCAGACAGAATCTCCTTCAACTCGAAAACGGGGGTATCAAGCTCCATGCCACCATGCTTCTGGAAGACGCCCTTCAACTGCGAGAAGATCTTCTCGCGGATAAGCATGTCCTTGCCGAACCCTTTGAAGCAAACATTGTGTTAGATGGGCGCGTCGTACGCTATTGTCTTGGCGCTAAAAACTAAAATAAAAAAAGGCGACAAGAATGGACTGACAATCCTTGGTGCCCTTCGGGGTCTTGAGCTCGAATTTTGATTTCGGCGCCATGTTGGGCAGTTGATCTTGGCTATTGCTTTGGTGACGGGAAGACGAAATGGTGGACAACGCGCGGCTATTGTTGGGCCTGATGCTACTTCTCGCGGTGCTCCTAGGCAAAAGAGGGGATGTAATTGGGCTTGGAGAAAGAAAAGTCAGTCGGTAGGCCGGTCGGGCGGACCTCGAGAAAATCTTCACCTGGATCTGCATTCACCTGGCTTCCGAGATCTCGAGCGCTGTTGCGCAGAGGGGTAACCGACTTCAAAGGAGAAAAAGCGGCCCGGGTAAACTTGGTTGATGACTCAATCGCAAGATTTGGAGGGGCCGAATGCACTTGCGACGGGTTTTGGGGGAGGGACGGGGTTTGTGAGGTCAAAAATGGCTGCAAGGCTGTGACTCGACGGGGATGCACTCCCTTTGCGCCATCCAATGACGTGCCAGTCTGCTGGCGACAGATCCCTGCTCCGTCGATGAGGCTGACGGTACCATTGCTGGTAAGCTTCTCCATACTTAAGGAACCTTACGCGGCATGACTCCAATTTTGTCCACAAGGACGTAAAATAAGTCGTCATTGTAATCAACACAAATTTGACTTTGAGATTCTTTGACACCTCTTGCAGTACAGCACTCTATGATTGTGTTGCGCCATGTTCCTGCAGTAGGGACGAATCATTGAAGTTGAATTCTTTTGTTGACTGTACCTTATTGGCAGACGCGATGGGCCGGCCCATAGCCCCAATGATTTCCGGGTACGAAGATAATCTGTCCAGTATCAACCTGTTTTCGACAATTTGGAGATAGCATTTTCGATCAACAATATGCATCCCGGTCAGATCACGAGGAGGGTTCACCAGATTATTTTTGGGGGACGATTAGTATAAAGCAGGATGTGACGCCCAGCGAATCTCAAGAGTGCAGACTTGAACACAACTCTACAGTTGGCTCACAGCGTCCAAAACGTTCGCTTGGTACCTTATTTGAGAATCTAGAAAGTTCTCCGGGCCTTAGTTGCCGCGAACGCACAATTTTGAGGTCGGGATCTTGTCTAGAATCCGAGTCCGATGCGATATTGAACAGTGACATGATTGGCGACGGGCCAGACTGAGTGTCCCTCCCTGCCTTTGACTGAGAGCGCAACGCCGCAGCCCAACGAGACTCGATGAAAGCCTGTTCCGCCGCTCCATGCCCAGGAAGTCGGACTTTGGTTTCTGGCAGGCAGCAGCAGGCAGAAACTCCGCAGTGGTATTTGTATAGTTGCAAATGTCTGGGATGACGAAGGTTGTGGCGTAAGGAAAGCGCCACCTGTTCAATTGGTCCTTTCATTGGAAACAACCGCAAATGAGTGGTGTTGCGAGACTGGATGAGCAACAATGTCCGTAGTGTCAGTCAGAGATTCTCCCTCATGTGGAAATATGACATATAGATGGGCAAGGTTAGGTGACATGGTGATGTGGTGATGTGGGAAGACGCACGGCTCGTAAAATCGTAAAAACAGTACCTACCTAGGTTGCCCGGCGCTAAAAAGTGGGACGACGCCGCCAAACGATGTGAACGTCGTCTGCCAGTACGGATACCGCAAAGTACGTCAGGCTAACCCCCTTTGGCCCTTTACGACATGGACTCTGATAGGCTGCGGATCAGGTCGACTGCCAATGATCCCAAGACACAATTGGGACCTCGTCTCTTTACCTGAGTACGGATACCGAGCTCTGCGATCAAGGCGGCCTCATTGGATAATGATGATAGGAACAAATCCGCGCGTTTGGGACCCGGGCGGTTCCTAAAATACGGGAATTCCACAAGTTGGAAGTGTATTTTTGTGACCCAAGTGCCACTGATATCATTTAAAGTTCGTCCAATATCACCAGAATATCACAGCGAACTCTGGCCTTTCCTTCGTGGCATCCACCCCTCCTGGTTCGCAGCCAAATATCAGGAAATGACTCTGTCACCTGAACAGTTGCCAAATGCAAGCAGCCAGGCTGCCTAGACGCCTCCATTTCCCCCAAAGAGACCTTCACAGATTAGACTCTCGCAGGATGTTGGTGGTAGGGCAGAGGATGGCGCGTGCGTTAGCTCACACCATTCCTAAGCGGGATGATTGTCCATCCGAAGTGGGTCGCGCTGACCCACCTACAGTCCGTCGAACTTGGAGCCCCCGGGTCTGCACCCTTACTAGGTTGCTTTGAGGGCGCTGCTGCTGCACGTCTCGTAAATGTCCATGCCTGGATAGAAGGCCATTTTTGCGAGGGGATGCAGTACCTACATAGTAGGTAGACTTGAGATAATACATTTCATCATCGAATTTGATGTCTTATCTCATTCTCGAGGTATCCTTCCCTACTGCCTACCTCCGTCTATTCTTTCGAATACAAATGTATAAACACGTCTGGGGCCAACCTGGTCTGGTCGGCTTCTGCTCTTTCCTTTCCATGCCCAAGAGATCCAAGAGAACATTCTGATTGGTTTATTTTTCTGTACTTTTCTCACTCCCGAGTAGGACCATCACTGGATGTAAGCCCTTTGCTTTTCATCGCCTCCGACTACCTACCGATTATGTCCTCTTGAGCTCCATTCTTTAGGGACACCTCAGCATGCATATTATCGAGACGGGCACGGCCCCGCCGGACGGGCTGCCCTCAGTGGCAACTGGCGTCCTCGGTGACAAAAAGGATGTGGTGCATTCGATTTCCAGCAAGGACGAAGCTTCTACGCCCGAAGCGAAGATCAAGCCGGAGCGGGAACCTACCTTCAAGGACTACTTGCGCGTGTTTACGTATGCCACGAAATGGGACATATTTGCATACTTTGCTGCTGGTCTCGCCTCCATCGCCGCCGGCACTACATTACCGTTAATGAACAGTAAGAAAGCACAAACCTGTTCTCTACGACTGACCGTTTGACTTACATGCGCAGTCATTTTCGGCCAGCTCGTCAACCAGTTCAACGGTTTCACTTCCGGAGACGGCTCAGTATCTCCAAACGAATTCAAGAAAACTGCCGACAAACAAGCTCTTTACCTCTTCATTCTCTTCCTTGCTCGATTCGCCCTCAACTATGTCAACAAGTTTGCATTCAGAATGATTGGCATCAGACTGTCTTCAGCTATCCGCTTACACTACCTCCAACGTCTCTTTGGTCAGACGATCCACGTGCTCGATTCGATGCCAGCTGGTGCTGCTGCTGGCACCATCACATCTACCGCAAACACACTCCAGATTGGCATTTCGGAAAAGCTCGGCGTCTTCCTCGAATTCAATGGCACAATTTGGACCGCCATCATCGTGGCTTTCACTTACAATTGGTCCTTGACTCTTGTCACGGCGTCGGTCATTCTCTTCATTCTCCTGGTCTTGGGGGTTCTGTTGCCTTTCATCATCAAGGGCCACAGTCAAGTGACCCGGGCGGAGGGCAAAGCTTCTGCTGTTGCTAGCGAGGCATTCTCAAGCATACGGATGGTCGCTGCCTGTGGTGCGGAAGACCGTATTGCTTCTCGGTATGCTCGCTGGGTCAATGTGGCTCGTCAGAAAGGTCAAGCTACGGCACCTCTACTCGCGCTCCAATTCGGCTTGATTGTAAGTTTGATTCTTCTCGCTTATTATGAAATAACAAATTGATCTAATTATCAAAGTTCTTTGCCCTTTTCGGTAATTTCGGACTGGCATTTTGGTACGGCACGCATTCATGGGTTGATGGAAGAGTTGACAATGTTGGTGAAGTCATCATGTGAGAAAGGTCCCGTACATACACTTGAATCTCTATCTAATCTGCTAAACAGTGTTCTCATGTCTGTCATGCTTACTGTCATGTCCCTCGAGCGTATTAGCACTCCTTTGCTTGCCATCAGCAAGGCAATGGTCGCGGCATGCGAATTTCTCACTGTCATTGATGCTCCACGCCCCAGAACAGGGGAAATGAAGGCCCCCGAAGTTTCCGCCAATGACGACATCGAATTCAGGGGAGTCACCTTCGCGTACCCCAGCCGACCACACGTCAAAGTGCTTGACGATCTGGACCTGACTATCGAGGCGGGCAAGGTCACAGCCATTGTTGGACCTTCAGGATCGGGCAAGAGTACCATCGTAGGTCTGATAGAGAGATGGTATACCCTACAAGATCAGTACATTATCGCAAAGACGATCGAAAAGGACAAGCTGAAGGAAGCCCAGAAGAAGAAGAAGAACAAGAACAAGAACAAGAAGAGTGGAGGGGACGAGTCTGATGACGAGGAGAAGCCTGAGCCTGAGGAGGTTGGACCTTCCGTCGAGCTCAAAGGCTCTGTTTCTACTTCCGGCCATGCACTCGACGATATCGACCTCAAGTGGTGGCGGTCACAAATTGGCCTTGTTCAGCAGGAGCCTTTCCTGTTCAACGACACCATTTTCAAGAATGTTGCCTACGGGTTGATCGGCTCACAGTGGGAAGACAGATCCGAGGATGAGAAGAGAGCTCTTGTCAAGGAGGCTTGCCAAGAATCGTTCGCTGACGAATTCATTGATCGTTTGCCGGACGTAAGCATCCCCCTTTCCTTGCATCTGGACACAGACTAACGTGAGTTTCCAGGGCTACGACACTTTGGTGGGCGATAGTGGCGCAAAGCTCTCCGGCGGACAGCGTCAGCGCATCGCCATTGCTCGAAGCATCGTCAGAAAACCAAAGATCGTGATCTTGGACGAAGCCACCAGTGCCATCGATGTCCGTGGTGAGAAAATCGTTCAAGCTGCTCTCGACAAGGTCTCACAGAATCGTACTACAATCACTATTGCTCATCGTCTTTCCACTATCAAAAAGGCCGATCGAATCGTCGTTTTAAAGAAAGGCAAGGTGGTTGAACAAGGAACCCACGAAAGCCTCTTGGAGAACAACGAGGGTGTTTACTACGGACTGGTTCATGCTCAGCAACTATCCCTGGGAGACCAGACGGAAGCCACCGATGATGACAACCCCAAAGAGGAAGAAGGCCTTGGCGAATATCTTAGCCGAGAGAAGAGCGCTGCAATGTCCGAGGCAAGCGGTACACGTCAAAAATCTGAAGTGTCGAATCGCAACCTTTTCCAGAGTTTTGGTCGCTTGCTTTACGAGCAGCGGAGCCGCTGGTATCTTTGCATCCTGACCGTCGTCTTCGCGGCGTGTGCCGCAGCTGGTACTCCGTTGCAGGCATACCTATTTGCCAAGGTCATTGTGGTATTCGACCCCCGGAACGGCCCCGACAAGATCCGAAGCGACAGTAATTTCTGGTCACTCATGTGGGCGATGCTTGCGATTGGTATCGGTCTATCGTATTTCTTCATGGGATTTGTGGCAACACATCTGGCGGCTATCATCTGCGCAGTCTACAGGCAGCAGTATTTTGAAGCCATTCTGTTTCAAAAATCCTCCTTTTACGACGAAGAGGGGAATGCCCACGGCAGTCTCACAGCCCGTGTGGCCGGAGATCCTAAGCAATTGGAAGAGCTTCTGGGTCTCAATATGGCGATGGTGTACACCGCAATCTTCAATGTCATCGGTGCAATCTCTATCGCCTTTGCTTTTGGATGGAAACTGGCGCTGGTCGCTCTCTGTGTTACGATGCCTATTGGCCTTGCATCGGGATACTTCCGGTTCAAGTACGAGCTCGAGTTCGAAAAGATGAACGCCGCAGTCTTTGCAGAAAGCTCCAAATTCGCCGCCGAGTCTATCGGGGCTTTCAGGACAGTCTCAGCGTTGACACTGGAGGATATGACTTGCTTGCGGTACGAAAACCTGCTCAAAGGCCATGTCAGTCATGCGTTCAAGAAGGCTCGATGGACGAGCGCTGTGTTCGGTTTCTCAGACTCGGTTTCCATGGCCTGCCAGGCTCTTATCTTCTGGTATGGTAGTCGACTTCTGGCTTCCGGGGAGTACCAAGCTCAGGGTTTCTTTGTCTGTTTCATGGCAGTGATCCAAGGCGCGGAAGCTGCTGGACAGGGCCTCAGTTTCGGTCCCAACGCAGCCCAGGTCACAGGAGCTTCGAATCGCATCATTAACATGCGAGAATCCCGGAACCAGGATCTCATACCAGCAAACGAGAGGATCCCCGATACAGACGGTGGCGTCCAGATCGAGTTGCGCGACGTGCATTTCAAGTATCCCACCCGCGACGTCTCGGTCTTCAAGGGCCTCAACTTGACCATCGAAAGGGGGCAATTCGCAGCCCTCGTCGGCGCGTCTGGCTGTGGCAAGACGAGCATCGTATCCCTGATGGAGCGCTTCTACGACGTGCAAAAGGGAGCCATTCTCTGCAACGGGAAGAATATCAAGGACATCAACGTCTACGAGTACCGAAAGCAACTGTCGCTAGTTGCCCAGGAGGCAACCCTGTTCCAGGGCACGATCAGGGAGAACATCCTCTTGGGCGTGGACGACGGGACCGTGACAGACGAGCAGCTGCACCAGGTATGCCGAGACGCTTCAATCCACGAGTTCATCGTGTCTCTTCCGGAAGGGTACAACACCGACATCGGCAGCAAGGGCGTCTCCCTCTCCGGAGGCCAGAAGCAGCGCGTGGCTATCGCCCGTGCCCTGATCAGGAAACCCAACATCCTGCTTCTCGACGAGGCCACGAGCTCCCTCGACTCCGAGTCCGAGAAGCTGGTTCAGGCTGCTTTCGAGAGAGCAGGAAAGGGGCGGACCATGGTCGTAGTCGCTCACCGTCTCGCAACGGTGCAGAACGCCGACGTCATTTTCGTTCTGGGCGAGGGCAAGTTGTTGGAGAAGGGCAGCCATAATGAGCTCTTGAAGCAGAAGGGGGTGTATTGGCACATGGTAAGCCCATCGCTCCCAACAACCGAAAGAAGACTACTGACTGTTATTGTAGTGTCACAGCCAAGCACTCGATCGATAGATCCTCGGTGGGTGTGTCTCTTCCCGTTGTTATGGAGGGGGTAACTTGTGTTTGATTAATTGGTGTTGAAATAGCTTTGGAAGCTAGATGGGATTTCTCTTCTTTTCAGAGCAAGGTGTATATTACTAGAAAACTACACTCCTAGATTCGCAATTCGTGAGAATCAACATGCGTCGCTCTGCATATAGCGGCAGCAGTACCCTACTGAGTATCCTTTCCCTCCCGGACGATTATTTGATTAGTTCTGGTAGTTCAGGAACTCTTGGGTATCACAGAAGACACAAAGGGAATGATGATATACTCATATACTTCTTCTCATTTACGGAGCGATATCTGTGACCAAAACGAACGTTCCCATGAGAACAATCATTATTTCTAGGCTTTCCAAGAGCCATCAATGATTGGATAAAAGACTTTGGTTCATGTGGCTTTGTGAAAGTCGACTAGGCTCCAGTGAATTCGTCTCATCCACTCTCGTCATGTTTGAAGTCCCCAAGCTCATCGTGGTCTATGGCAGTTCGATGAACCTCAAGTACTGCAAATAAATGGTGAAAGTTTCATCTGGTGCTGCTTGAGAGACGCAGAGAGCTCAAAAATTGCAACACGTCCCCCCGCCCTCCTCCCTCACGACTCTCACTTGGAAGAAGGCTTCACATCCCCCATACCAACCCCATAATCCTCCTTCAACACCTGCCCCGCAACCTCGACCGGCTCGCTCTCCTGCAGGACGTACAGCATCCTCCCCCACTGCGTCTCACTCACATTCTTCCACGCGTGCATGGTGCCCCTCTGCACACTCACGTCCCCCCTCCGCATCCGCCTCGTTTCGCCCGAGTCCAGGACCAGGTCGATCTCGCCCTCGAGCACGACGCCGTAGTCGAGGCTGACGGTGCGGTGCATGGGGCTCAGGGACCCCGGCGGCATGTCGACGATGCGCAACACGCTGCCGCCCGGTACCACGATGCCCGGCGGGTTCGACAGGCGCTCTGCGTAGGCTGCCACGTCCACATTGCCCGTGAGGGGGACAGGGGTCTGTTCCGTCGTGTAGCCCAGGTAGAATTTGGCGCCGTTTTCGATGGTCTGTTGTGGGACTTCGGAGTCGAGGGTGGCGTTGAAGATTGCTTTGCCGTCTGGGGCGTGGTCTGTGATGAACCGGTGGGGACGGCGGAGGTCGCTGGGGGTATTTGGGGATGCCATGATGAATCCTGCTTGCTGGCCTTTTGGTTTGTCCTTCCCAGTACGCTCTTTTGCGAGGTAGATACCACAGGCTTTCACGGTGTCTTGTTGTAGAACTATGGTACTGCTTGGCTTCTTTTCAGGTGTGATGAATAAGTCGGGCCAAACTCAAACGGGGAAAGCAATGCGATGAAGAAATTTAGGTATGTAGTGGGAAGAGAAGCGGCAGGTCTTCTACTCCCCTCCAAATATCTTCCCAGCTTACCAATTGTCCCAGACGTTCTGATACATCCCGTCAATCACTCTTCCCCGCCGCTAAATGTGCTTGAAGCAGTTGCCGGATGGGCATCCGAGCTCGTACAGCTTGTCCAGCTTCCGCCATCCGGAGGCAGTGGACGGAAAGTGGAGGTGGGGCCGACACACAGGAGGAGGTGGAGGTGGGTAAGAAGGTGGGTCGTGCGGGGACGGGTACAACCTGCGGCGGGCGCTAAGAAACCGTATTATTGAGTACCTTAAGAATTTGGCGCAGAAAGGCCCCAGAAACTGGGGTAAGAGTTTATCTTTGGGCATGACCTGCTTGACGTACCAATTCGATGTGGGCTGCGGGATCGGACCAGACGGGTGACCGGACGGACCGGACGAGCTGAACGGGTCGGAGGAGAACTGACGAAACAACAAGAAACCCTTTCAGAGGCAAGCAGATTTGCATACGATATTGATACGTGGGACTGCAAAATTGTTTTCAATGGAAGAATTTTCATACTCGCAACACTGAATGAGTTTTCGCTCTTGAAATGCGATATTGGGTGTTCCACCAGGCGGTAACGCTGACTGGCACTAGAAAAGAAAAGGGAAATAATGCCTCCTTCGTGAGAACCCTTAGATCCAATGACATGAAAATATCTCCAAACTATTCCTAGACCTCTGGAAATGTGCGCCCTATTCTATCCTCCGGGCCGCAGACACGTCCGGCACGCCCGTCCCCTCCACGACCTTGGCGCCCACAACCTCGTAGATGGGCATCTCAGCCAAGAACCTGGTAACGTGATGCAGCGTCGGCAGCCTCTGCCAGTCGTATCCCTCCATCTTGACCGAGACATCGGACGACCTAGATACCGCGTGCACCGTGGCGGGCACGTCCCGCGCTTCCTCCTCGTGGGGCACCACGCACGCATACTCGGCGTCGGCTCTGCCCGGCTCCCCGACCGAGGGGATGTAGCGGTATGTCAGGATCCCGTAGTCCGCCTCGCCGCCGATGGTGCCGTTCTCCGTCTCGGGCACATCGCGGCGCAGATTCTTCAGGGAGATGTCGGCAAAGGTGGCGCCCCGCCACGAGGCGCGGACGCGCGCGGCGGTCGCGTGGTGCTCGAAGTCAATATCGCAGAAGAGTTTTGGCATGCCGAGCTCCTCGCGCCCGGAGACGATGGGGTCGGTCAGGGATTCAAAGAGGACCGACAGGTGGGTGCCGTTGATTGTGCTGCCGTCCCGCTTGACGTATTCGATACCGTGAATGTAGAGGCCCAGGTGGTTGTAGCCGCCGCCGCCGAGCCAGGACATGTTGTTGAGCTGGGTGACGGAGAGCGAGGCGGAGCAGACGGTGCCGGGCTCTTTGAAGCGGAACGAGTCTGTGGGAAGAATCGTTTCGAGAAAGGTTCGCGATGTGAGGAACTTTACGGACATTGTCTTGAAAGTGCGCTCGAGATCGGATGGTTGTCGTCGGCCGAAGAAGTCTTGTCGGGGCCCGGGGAAGGGCCCGAAGCCGATGGGCATGCGCCAGTACATGTCCTGTTTCTTGGACCAGAGGTACTTGTTGAAGATTTTAGTCGCGTGGTCGTGCTCGTCGTGGCCAAAGTTGTAGTTTGTGTATTTCATCACTGTCGACGTGTTAGTGCCTGCCGCTCAAGGGCGAGTACACGTTTACGGGTTCCACAAACTTTGGATGGCAGGTGGTTGTCCCGGTATCCTGTCTTTGCCGGCTTGACGAGAGAACTCCTGGATCGTGTACGCGCGCTCCATGCGGATCTTCTCGTACAGGCGCAAACGTTCCGGGACCTCATTGGGAGAAGTCCCTCTTGGAAGGACAACCGCCAACGCCGCGCCGTCTTCCATCGCCTGACCTGCGCCTTGTCCCTGGTCTACGCACTTGTTAGTATCTCAAAATGAGGTTTCAATATCAAGACTTACGAGGCGTGAAAGGATGGGCGGCGTCTCCCAGAAGGGCGAGCTTGCCATTCACCCACGTCGGCAAGGCCTCCATATCCAACAATTGCCAGACGTTGACTTCATCGGGATGAGCCTTGCTCATCAATTGCAGCAGGGCAGGATCAAAGTCTTTATAAACCTTGAGTAGTTGTTCGATTGAGGCCTTTTTATTCCACTCTAGCATTTTTGTCAGTCCTTTGCTGTATGGTGAGACGTGAGGATACATACCATCGCTTGCATTTGCTTGAGACTCGGTATCGGGATGGATGCAAACAAAATTGAGAAGCTGATTGTTGTTGCAAGGGTAAATCACGATACGTCTGTCCGTACCAAACCACATACCCAGAGAGTTCTCTTTGTCGACTAGAGGCGCCGTGACGGGATCCTCCAGAGCGGCGGCGCGGGGGATGAGGAAGCGGAATGCCGCCTTGCCTGAGCGGAACAGCTTATAGTCGGTGCCGGTCACGAACTTTCTGACCTTGGACTATTTGGAACGTCAGCACGATGACGCACTTGCACTTTTGCGACTCATTGACTCACGTAGATACCATCGGCACCGAGGATTACATCTGCTTGGACGGTAGTCCCATCTTCCAGCGACAACTCGCCCTTCTCGGGGTTCGCACCGACGACCTTGGATGCTACATGAAGCTTTGCCGGCGGACTGGCTCCGTTTTCTGCGGTAGCGACATTACGGATCTCGTTGTGAAGATAGGCGCGGTGTACGAGCTGCCACGGATGCTGCCATTGGCTCTGGGACTTTGTTATGTCGACGTCGAAGCCGCCCTGGTTGTGCAAGTCTCTCTCTTTGAAGTGATGCGAGGGGTTGGCGCCGAATGTCTCAGGGTAGATGCCCCATCGCCTCAAAAGACCGTTGGCGTTGGGGGCCAAGTGTACGGCAGCGCCGGTCTCGTTGGCGAGTTTGGACTGTTCGTAAAGCTACGTTGAAGTGAAGCGTGAGTAAGACGGGCAGCACAAGTATAATGAGGCTACTGGGGCTCATACGTCAACTTGGTGACCTTGCCGGCGCAATGCTACAGCTGTGCTTAAACCACCAATGCCGGCGCCCACGATGGCAATCTTGAGTGGTCGAGGATACTCGTGGACCAGAGGACTCGAGGAAACACCGTTGGGGCGCTGGACCTCTCCCTTGATCACCATGGTGCCAACCTTGACCTCGGTAAAGAAAAGAATTGGTTGTTGTGTCTTGGTTAGAGTGTGAAGCCAGACCTGCCCTGAACTGCCACGGTCATGAAGGGGAAATTGTTACGGTTGTCGGAAAGATGCGAGTAGTGCGAGGAAAAGGCCATCGCTTTGTGTTGTGGGAGGCAGAGAAGAGATATAACCTATTCCGTCAACAGGAGTAACAGAAATGACCCATCGAGTCATAGGGTAATGGCAGACTTACACCCCGTCATCTCAAACGCTCGCCGCCCTGGACTCGACGCTACGCCACCGCGTCGATTGTCGTCTCGGCCCCTCCCTCCCTTGTCTCTACAATGTAGTTCCCCCTCAGCCACCATAACCACGACCGCGACCCCGGACTTTTGCACGTTGCCGAGCTTTTACAGGGCGGGTCCCCCCGCGTTTTGTGCCGGCCGGGTGAAGACCGGAACAAGGCAAGGTGTCCGCCGTCGTTATCAAAGATTGTCATAAACATATCAGCCCGAGTTGAGAGCCGAGTAGTTGGTGTCTGCGGGGGGCCCTCCCCGGTGGTGGCTGGGGGGGGGGGGGGGAGAGAGAGAGGGGTGGTTGCCCCCCTTATTTAAAAAAAGTGATGAAAAAACGTGCGGGGGGGGTGGGGGGGGGGGGTGTGGGGGGTTTGTCTGTGGGGGGGGGGGGGGGGGGGGGGTTGCGGGGGGGGGGGGGGGGGGGGGGGGGGGGGGGCACACGACCAAAACTTCGGCCCAGGTGGGGGTGGGTCCGTTGGCTTTCTTGCTGCTGCTTCTGCTGCTGCTACTTCCAGTTTACCTTACATCCTGCACCGGCATGTCTGTCATCGCCGACGACGAGGTCAGGTACTTCCAAGTGACAACGGGCCAAAATCAGAGCATCCTTTCTTTCTAGTTGAAACATTTGCCTTATTCCGGGCCTTTTTGTACCAGCTCCAGTTCCAATCCCCATTCCAATATGTTCTTCACACCCAGTAGCTGGCTGCTCGTGACACGAATATGATAAACTATGAAACATGTACTCAACGTAGAATGGGTTGAACTCAATCTTGTCAACTACATCGGACTAACCATACCTTGCCCAGGCCTCACCTTGCTCTTCTTTGTCCCATCGGATCTTATTCCCGGTAGACAGAAGATACGCAAAAGCCTACTGCCTGATGTTGCGCGAACCCACACAGAGCCCTCGGGTTCTGCGCAAGGTGCTCCAGTACCCCGCCCAGCTTCGGCTTCCCTGATGAACGGCCGGCCCCAGTCCCGACCTACCCCGCCCCGACACTGGAATTCCGATACAAAGCTCCGGAAAACACAAACCCCGGGACTGAAGAAGCCCGCACCCATTGACACTCAACCCGTGCTCCTCGCCTCTCTATTGCCAACCGGACCATCGAAAGCGAAGGGAAAAGAGGCTGAAAGAATAAAGCCCTCGAATCATGTCTCCAATTCCCACCGCACTCATCACAGCAGGCAGCGCAGGCCTCGGCGCCGCAACCGCCAGGCTCTTCGCCAGAAATGGGTACAACGTCGTCGTAAACTACGCCAACAACAGCGAACGCGCAGAGGTCCTCGTCAAGGAGCTCGAGTCTCTCTCGCCTATAGACGGGGGCCAGCGGCGCTTCAAGGCCATCAAGGCGGACCTGTCCAACCGGGTCGAGACGACCGCTCTCGTAGAGCAGGCCGTCGAGGCGCTGGGGGCGGGCCGCCGCCTCGACGTTCTCTTTTCTAACGGCGGCTGGACGAGGCTGCGCAACATCCAGGACCTCGACGACAACATCGACGAGGATGATTGGGACCGCTGCTTCAACATGAACGTAAAGTCGCACCTGTTCCTCATGCACGCCGCGCGGCCGTACCTCGATGCGGCAGAGGGCGCCTTCATCACCACAGCGTCTCTGGCCGGCGTCAAAGTTAGCGGCAGCTCACTGGTATCTATTGCAACCCCATTTCAATCTCATCGCCCCGCCCACCCTCCCTCCTGCACTTCTACTCCTGCCCACATCGCGCTGGCGCAGCAAGCAAGCATGGCAAACCTCTAACAAGAAGTGCAAAACGACCAGGCTTACGCCGTGACGAAGGCCGCCCAGATCCACCTCGTAAAGGGCCTCGCGGTAGCAGCGGGCCCAAGAGTGAGAGTGAACAGCGTCTCTCCAGGCCTCATGTTGACGGTGGGTTACACAAAACACCCTTTCCCCATCCCCTTTCCCCTTGTCCTCTTCCCCCCGTCGGTATCATCCGACGATATCCTTACACGGCAAGACATATCCGAAAGAAAGACAACAATGATCAATCAGCTCACTGCATGTGTGTGTGCCTCGTATAGGACTGGGGACTGCAGTTCCCGGAAGAGAAGCAGCAGGCGATCCGGGACAGAACGCCGCTCAAGCGCCTCGCCACGGTCGAGGATGTTGCCGACCAGGTGCTGTGCTTCGCCAGGAGCAGCAGCGTCACCGGCGCGAACGCCGTCATTGATGGGGGCCTCAGTATTTGAGCGAAGTTTCCATAAAAGAGCCAGCAACGAGCGGCTATCAGCCACAAATAGAAATAGGGGGAACTTTTACTCATCATTGACTTAGTATTCACAAGCACTCCCAACCAACCCGACCACCACAACCCACAACACTCCCAAATATAAGCAATCAACAAAATAAAAATAAGGGGTGAGTTTTTATTATCTTTTCTTATGTTTTCCTATTTCCCCCCCCCCCCCCCCCCCAAGGACAGAAATACTTGTCTAGATTAGAGGTAAGCAGGTATTTCCAAAGACAAAATGATCAAAACCTGAATGATATGGCCTGTCCAAGGGGTCCAGGACCAGGGCTGTTGCGAGCTGCACAGAGTTGAGATTGATGAGATATTGTTAATTCGTCGACGTCTCGCCTCCATCGGCAAGGTGTCGGGAAGGGGGGCTGTGTTCCCTCGGGATGTGGGATGTGGGCTGGGCTGGGCCGGGCTGGGCTGGCATACTGGCTCAATGAATAGGGAGACGGATGGGGACGACCATAACCAAACGTCAAAAAGAAGTAAAGGAAACTTTAAAGCTGCCAAACTGCTGCTCTTTTTACTGTGCTTGCTTCCCTCGTAACATAAAACTCAATTTGTTACGAGTACCGAAACGCCAAACCTGCTTTGCTATACGTACCTTACGCGTGCTGCGTGGGAAAGTTGTTGGTGTGAATGGATGGTACAAGAAAAACTACGGCCTCGTCTCGTTTCGTTTCTCTCTCATTTTCTCCTCTTCTTTTCTTATTCCCCCACCTCCCTGTCTTCGCTCCAATGGATATACCGGATGATCGGCCACTTCCACGACTCGTGTCGTATCGCCTTGCCCCAGACGAATAACGGCACCCACATAACCAAGACGGCAAATGCGATTCCCGCCATGGCCCCAAACGCGTTGTCGTACCCTGCCTCCTCGACCCAAGTATTGGTGTAGAACGATAGAAGAAAGCCGAAGAGCGCTACATCAAGTAACAAGAACCCGTCAGCTTGCTCGCGGGCACACAAATGTTGGGACGAGGATGCAGTATTGGACGCCACTCACACTTGAAGCCCATGACCGCTAGGGTGATCTCGCCCGCGACGGGCCGGTAGGCATCAATCACGTACACGAGACAGATGTTAGTTCCTTGAGAGATGGAAAAGGTTACTGTAGATGGGATGATCAGGAACACCGTTGTCTCGACACAGAGCAAGGAGGAGGCAACCTACGAAGTCCAATACCGATGGTGGGACAGATCCAGTGCAGCTGGTTACCGATGCCGACGCCGTAGAGGATGAGGGCCAACGGCGTGGTGATCATACTGATGGCCATGCCAGGAAGTCGCATCTCCGGATCCCGCATCCCACCGTTTCGTCTGGTAAACCAATCTGCAACCATGTCGCCAAGATGGCCACCGGCAGGGATGCCAAGCAGAGCACCGAGGATGCCAGCAATGAAGCAGAGGCCAATCTGCCACGAGTCGAATCTATATGCGGCATAGAACGCGAGACCGGCATTCGACGACACAGCCACGAGGAAACCGACAGTCACAACCTGCACCAGCGCCGCCCAGAGGACCGGCGGCAAGAGGATCAGCCCCAAGGGCCGCACTGCGAGCTTCAACAAGCTCTCCTGTGTCAGTGTCTTGTTGAATATTTTCAGCGAAGACAGATATGATTGCTTTGAGCGTCTCGTCGAAGTTCCGAGCGGGCTAGCGGGCAGCTCGCCTTCCGACCTCGTCGATCCAGGTTTGCTCCAGTCTATCGAATCTAGGCGGTTCCCGGCGCTCGCGTCGTCTCTCTCGTACGCCGTCTCGGGGAAGGTAAAGAATGCCAGCAGGAGCACAACGCCGATCAAAGCGGCAAACCTCGTAGATGACTCTCCAGTCATGGTTGATGGTGATGAGACTGCCAGAAATCCGATTATTAGAGATTTCCGCCACGCTCGAGGACGCTTCTCATCACCTACCCTGAAACCAACACCCCAAATCCAACCCCCGCAGAAAGAAACGCGGTATAGAGCCTGCAATATTGACGTTAATGATCTGTCGATCCGCATCCCTTACCAGAGCATGCACTCACGCCATGATTGTTCCTCTTTCGTGCAAAAAGAATACGTCCGCTATGGAGATGGGAGCAATCGTCTCTGCAGCTCCGGCGCCAAATCCTATCAGGATCCGGCCGGACAAGAAGCCACCATAAGAGCGGTCAAAGATGAGCCATATTGTGCATGCAAAGTAGATGGAGTAGCTCGCGATGTAGACTGAACGTCGGCCAAACTTGTTCGCGAGCGGCACCCAGAAAAAGTTGCCCACCCCTTGGAGCAGGGCCGTCGTCGTGAAGAAGTAAGCAGTCCTGGCGATTGCGAGATTGAGGACATTAGTATCAGTGGCGGCCGCGGGGAAGAACTCCAATGCTGTATCCAGCAACGCAATCGAGGGTCCTGCAATGGAGTCCGTTAGACGGTCGCCCGTGACTCTGGAGGCGACGGATTCGACTTACCCGCTGCCAGAAAGTTGCACATCATCATGGCGACGCAAATCAACCCCACCATGTAGTACTTGTACCATTGCGGCCTAAGCGATTCAGCTGAAAATCCGTGACCTTTGACGATCTGGGTCGCCAGTGCCTACCAATTTAAGGGGTCGTTTGGATCTGCTGATGGCGTCGGGATCAATATGATCTCGTTTGTCTCTGGATGTCTTAAACGGACATTTCCCAACGTCCTCGCCCGCGTCGTTTCCTCCGGGACATGTCTTGTGTTGATATCCATTCCTGGAGTATGATGCGAGCCTGTGTTCTGGCGTTCTGACGTTCTGACGACGTGGCCCGTCTACCCTCTGCTCGGAATCTCTGGATTGTCTTAAAGCTTCTTCTGGAGAAATCACGACGCTCCTTTGCAACCCGGATGAACAGTGCTGTCTGGGAATCTGCCCCAGGAAGTCGTGGAGTAGTGAAGGACGGCTACCCCCCCCCGCTTGAAAAGGAACGACCCCGATCGATGAAACGTTCGAGTCCAGGCGTATCTGCCGCGTCCATTGTTCAACATGGTTGCATCGTGCGGGCGTGATTCTGAGTACAGATTCCTTGTCATCGAAGAAATTCTAATTGGAAGTCAAGCACGGATATCCGTAGAGGGGCGTGATTTACCGCTACTACGTAGCACTTTGCAGGCAGAGACAGAGGGAGACGGCAGATGGTTTAAGCTTTACTGTCTCGGTGGCCCGTTGTTGATTGAATTATGTGGGGAAACATTGGCCTTCTTTAACAAAGTCAAACACGTTGATTCGTCGGGTATGGCAGTAAGAAGAAGACATGACCAGGAGAGAGTCGCCACAAGCGAGGATAAAGAACAATAGCAGGGAAAAGCAGGTCGAGAATGAGTGAGGGGTTACCGATGCAAGGCCTGGGCCTGACTCGCAGCTCGCAGTTCGAGAGAACGACAGCAGCTAAGCTACCTGGTGATACCTTGGAGAAGCCAACGCATGTAGTCGCAGCGATGGTGCGTGATGGCCGCCAGGAACACTGGACGGCACATCCTGTTCACGGACGGGGATATGCCACGGGCCGAAGCAGGAGCTTGTCAGGCCCCAACCCTGCTCATTGACGCCGAGTGGCGGAGTACCAAAAGAGGGCAGACTTGGCAACGCAGAGGAATGGGAACAGACAAGGATTTAGCCGCAGCGGCCACGGTTTTATCCGCGAGGACCGCGACTAAGGGGTTTTCGATTTTCAGGGGCCAAGTTCCACCCATAAGCCTTTTACGACCGAAACATGACCAGAGGAAGAGACCAATTGGTGGGTTCTAGTAGGAACGCTAGTGATGGAGCCAACGAGGGAGTGAAAAAAGAGATAGATGACAGATGCGACAACCTCCGAGATGAGATGTACGCAAGTGTCCGTCTTTGCATCCTTGGCTCACATGGAGAGACGGAGGAAAAGCAAGCAGGGAAATCGTCGAGACATCTTGTTCTGCGCGCAAGCTTGCCTATGAAAAAAAGGCGGTGATAGCAATGATGCTGATGATCTTCACTTGAGGTCATGGATCCCGTTGCGTCCAGCCGAGTTCCGCCCCGCCGCCGCCACCATCGCACACGTAACTTGTCATGTATCTTCTGTCCTTTAACAGGTCCAAGCCTTGCTCGAAAATCCTGACAGAGAGAAGTTTGTGCCACATGGACTAAATACAGGTGACAAAGTGCCGTTTTCGGCCATCAGCTCCGGGTCACGATCCACGTCCTGCTAGTTTTACGTGGTAGGAAAGTGTGGGTTGAGTTGATGGACAATTTTATAGATGCGTTTTCTGGCTGTTAGAGCAAGGAGTGTTTCGACTGCCGCTTCTCCCATTTGACTTACAACAAACAGAGTGAGGGCATCGGCATCCTCGGGTGACGGTAACCATGTTTCCATCTCTCCCCTGCCGTTCATTGGCGCCGGCGTCTCGAAACAAAGTGAACTCGTCATGGCCCTATAACTGACGGAGCAACGTGAGTAAGGACGCTTTTTCTTTTGTTCAGCTTGCCCATATGCCCCGTCAGGTAAGGCAGAATTCAAGCTTCATGACACGCACGGCTCCATAGTCGTTCAACATAATAGGGTTGCCGGGATATGTTTGACAAGGCTAAAACGAGGGAGGGGTAGGCTTTCGTCATCCGGCGACTGCTAGGGCAGCAAACACACGGCGGGCTGTCATCTGAAGTTGAATGTTCCTGGAGTCGTGCGCGCTAATGAGTGGATAAGTTGATGGTAGTAGTCGAGACCAAGTGCAGAGGAAGCGTGGTCAAATTCCGCCGGCAGTGTTGGTGCCAGTGGAGGGAGGACATGACGTGGAATCAGAGACGGGATGCAGCAATCAGATGCAGGGTGAGGAGTATCTGTACGGTACCTTACCTTAGGTACGGAGCCTCTCCGCCGACAAGAGTGCGTACCTGGGTCGCGCTAGTGAAGTTTCTACGTATCTTAGCCACCAGGATGAGGAAGTGTAAGGTACGGATATGGTATGGCACTCACTTAACCTTACTAAGGTTCAGCTAGTGCGGAAAAGTGCCGCAGCGCTAAACGCCTTCAGGGGCCTTACCTGATAGTGCCGCGACCCAATATGATTCCGAGTGACGTGCCTTGGGGCGAGGAATTTCGTGGTGTGTAATGGGCCTAATGGCCATGGTGAAGGCCCTGAAGGGTTCCATTATCGAAATTACGGGGGGGAATCTATCAATAGAGGATTTGTGAGCCCCACACTTTGGGCGGGTCTCTATCGGGAGGACCACGGCACCAAGCCTCTTCGGGACAACCGGTAGGCTCAGGGATGGCACGGGTATTAGAGCGTACGTAACGCTTTTGTCCATTCCCGTCCCGTCTGTTTCTCAATCTGCAGACCTGCAGACCTGCCCCCCTTGTTCATCAGACATACAGACAGAGATACAGACAGAGATACAGACAGAGATACAGACAGAGATACAGACAGAGATACAGACAGAGATACAGACAGAGATACAGACAGAGATACAGACAGTCAATCAGTCCATTGTGCATAGGGATACTGCGTGGTCCAATCAACGTCCCTGGGCCCTTTTCTGACAACTCCCAGATACGTTCTTTTTTGAAGGGCGCTGCTGCTGCTTTCGTCAACCGCCAGAATCCCACCTGCGCAACATTTCTGTTCCTTCCACTTGGCACTGCGGTCTTGACCAGGGCACCATCCTGGGCTTCTCTCTAATTAGACTCCAGAGTATCCGTATCTGCTGTGGTCTTCTTACATGGGGAAGTGCTGGAGACGACGCTACGGGGATCCCTCGGCCGCCGGCCGAGTCCCCCGGGGGATGGCTACTTTGTGCGCTATAGTTTCCGCGTCTACGGATACTTACCGCAGTTCGCTCTTGCGCCAGCTCCTGCGCCTGGCAAGTCATCATCCATCTCATCACGCTGCACCGATGGCCGAGCTGCATCTGCCGGGCTTCTCCGTCCACGCCGTCCACGGCGAACGGAGAGGAGGTTTCCGCCGCTCAACTCCTCACTCCACTCGTCAATTTGCTTTTCCCGCCTAAGACGCGCTCTCATGGAGACTCGGGAGTTCATCCAGTGCGGCGGTGAATCCGGTCAATCCCGTGACTCCCGTCAAGTCAGTAGTCACTGGGACAAGACCGCCGTGGACTGCCTGGCCAAGCCGGCTAGGCATTTTGTCACGTCCGTCGCGAGTCAAGCAGACGGATCAATTGACTTTGGTAACTGTGTTTGAGCCGACCCGATCGGCAGCGTCAATCGATGCCTCCCCCCTACCAAGATCTTGGACACCGATTGCCTTCGAAGCACAGGGACGGACAGCCGGGGCGCTCCGAAGAAAAGCCGCCTACGAGAAGAGATGGTTACAGAGGCCAGAAACTGGAGATGCCGTGCGCTCTGCCCGTCTTGGGCCAAATCACATCGGGACTTTGGTGAAGGGGGGTTATAGCCAGCATTGGCAATATGCCCATCACGGTTTCGAGCGACTGCTAGGATGTCCAATTGCTTCCATATGAATAGCTCCATCAGCTCACCTGGGTACATTATCCACTTGACGGGCTGGCTTTGTCGGCTCGGGATCTTTCTCTGGAAGAAACCGCCTACATACCTAGTACGCGTGCGCGTACAGGATAAGACAGTTTGGCCCACAATTTCACCAACAAACCCTCTTGTGAAGCATCGGCTGGCATCGTCTGATGATTATGTCCGTTATTTTCAGCCTCGGTCTGCTTCATCGTAGGGCCGGTGTGTGTATATGCGTTTGTCCTGAATGCTCGAGGCTATCCCCCTAACCTGCTGCGATGCCATCTGCCGGCCGATATGGTCGTCGATGCTAGAGCAATCTAGGAGAGCTTCTTCGGATCTTTCAAGGCATGGTCACAACACACACACACACACGCACGCACGAACACACGACGATAGTCGAAGATCGAGTCGAGGCCAGGCCGGACTCATGTTTTGTAGCACTTATTAGACGTCGTCGTCGCAGTGCTCGGCCGTCGATGGACCCTTGCGCGTCGCCTCGGCCGGGATGGGTCTCATTCTCCAGTCGCCCTGCATAACTCCAGACCTGGTCGTTCCACCAAATGTAACTAACGCCCGAGTTTGGGGTTTCGAAGCTCTGGCAGCTCGAGCCTTTCCCCTTTGAGGTCCAGCGCCGGCCAGAGGATGACGAGGCCACCCCCGTTCGCTGTCCTTGGTCTTGAGGGCGGCCCTCGCATTCGACCTATTTGGCCGTCGAGCCAATATACTCATCACCAGCGGCGGACGTGCTATACGATGTGGCGTTGAAATAATACCACGAATAGTGCCTTGAATGAACTGACGCGGCAGCTTAGCACCAGTCCTTGAGTCCACCCCAATTTGGCCTTCTTTTATTTCGTCCCGCTTCACAACCGCAGCTGCGCCTGCACCCTAGGTACTGCATAGCGCCGCCCCCCAAGTCCCCAGCATCCACGGCGGCTCCCACGTCTGGTTGCTCCATGCGCCTCACACAGCAACTGGGCTTATACCTCACCTCGACGGACGACTGCGTATCTTCTCTTTTGTAGCGGAGATCCGCCCACTGCGGTCCCGCGTCTACTGTCCACCGTCCACCGTCCACCAGGCTATTCTTGTCTCTGCGCAACCTTCCCTTGTCTACATTGCCTTGCATCGGGGTACATCTACCGCTATCAATACGCCTGCCACGACCCTCTTGCAAGTCAACGCCTATCTACCTGCCTCTACCTTATCTGGCCTTACTTTTACTCTACCTACTTTGACTTTCGGCTTGGCTACGGTCAACTACGTTACCTTACAACCACTTCTACCATTACTACTATTACTACTATTATTACTACTACCACTACGGCTTCCCCCCGAGCTCAACTCAAGTCAGATCAAGCCTCTCGGCAATAGACAACCCAAATTCAAGCTAAAGCCCTCAACGTCCCAAGAAAAGACGAGACAAGTTCTTGTCCCGCAATTTTTGTGGTCTTGGCTGCAGCTGCACTCTTTCACTCCAACTCTTTGCTTGCACCCCACCAAAAGCTCAAGTCCGCTGCCCTTGTTGCTTTGGCTCATATTTCCTTTTTATCTCCCTCTCCCGACAACCTCCCACATCAGATCTACCCTTCCTCAGGCCAGGTTTGCAAAACTTTTTTTGCTTCACCACATTCTTTTCCCCCCCTTACCTACTGCTTGCCGACACAGCCGCCGCGCTGCCGTTAGCAGCCAACCATCTCCCTCCGACCGCTCCGTCCGGCACCGTTGGCCTTCTTACGGCCGATTGCCGGACCCGCCCCGACGTCACTAACACAGCATGATCATGGACGGTGGTCACCACAATATGATGCCAACCCGGGGCGTTGGTTGCGATGATCAGCGGGCTTCCGCTCCCAACACCAACCTTCTCGCCTCCGGCCCTTCTCCGGCTGCCACAATAGTTGTCTCGGCACCCTCGTACAACAACCCCAATGGTCCCTCACAGCCCGATTCGCCATCACCTGTTACCCAAGCTCAATCTCCCCATCCCATATCAACCCCAAGTACCCAAAGCCACGCCGCCGCCGCCAGTCTGTACCAGTGTGCTCACTGCCAACGGCGTTACTCTCGACCTGAACACCTGGCGCGTCACATCCAGACGCATACTCTTGGGAAGCGATTCGCATGTCAGATATGCGGCAAAGCCTTTGCGCGCCAAGATCTACTCAAGCGACATGTCACCAATCACGAGAATGACAACGACCCCAACAAGAAGAGACGTCGCACTGATACCTCGCCCGGTGCCGGCCGTGTCTCTCACGCCTGCAGGCCTTGCGCCACGGCTCGCGTCAAGTGCGAGGAGCAAAAGCCATGCACGCGTTGTCGAAATCGCAACCTTAACTGCGAGTACTCATCCACCGAAGCCGGCTCAGCTGCGGCCATGCATCTGCTTCACTTATCTGGAAACCAGCGCCAGACGGCATCAACGCCCGGATCTCTCGCCACCTCTCCTTCCCAATCTGCCTATGATAGCAGCCCGTCAGCGGCATATCAACAGCACCCTCAACATGCCATGCTACCACCCAGAGACGACAACGGTCAGTTGGGGCCTGCTCATACCATCAAGTCGGAATCCGGCCGCATACCTGCGACAGAAAATGCCATTGAACAAGTTCACCGTGCCGGCATGCCTGAGAATTACGAAATTGGCCAACAGCAAGGTGTCGACATGACGTTGCCTTTCTCTGACTTTCTCCAAAATGTCATCTACACAGAAGGAATGGATGCGTCACGGATGGCGGAGGCACAAGGTCTAGCCGTGCTGGACTTTTGCGACAATTCGAACCTCGAACTGAACGAAGTGGACTTCGGCCTATTGGATCACTGGAACATGGACGCCACGGGGAACAGTTCTAACCAAAGCTTCACGCCTCGGACTGACGACTCCATCGACTTGGTTCAAATGCGACAAACGCTTGTCAAAGTCTGGACAGAGTCACCGTGGCAATGGGCACCCAACAAGCTCGACTCAGGCTATGTGGAGCACTCAAATTTCTCCATACCATCCGACGACACGAGCAGCGCTGTGTTCAACGAGAGCAGGAAGAAGCACGCGAGGATCGTCAGAGAAAGACTGGACCAGTCAGGCCGGGACCAAATTCTGGCGATTGTATTGTCAACCTGCAAGAACGACAACATCATGAGCCGAGTCGCTTCTTCTTTCCCGTCCCTCGAAGTCATGGACAGCCTTATCCACATCTATCTCGCGCAACACTTCTGCCAGACATCACAATGGATTCACCACGGCTCGTTTTCCATGAATACCCAGTGGCCAGAGTGGTTAGCTGTGGCAGCTTCAGCTGGGGCTACCCTAACTCCGGTGCAAACCTTGCGCAAGTTTGGGTTTGCTCTCCAAGAGGCGGTCCGAGTTACCATCCCGGCAAGGTTCGAGGACGCCAACACTTCGATCAAGAATCTAGGTCTTGTGCAGACTCTGATCTTGGGTCAAGACATTGGTCTGTGGAGCGGCAACCGACGCAAGATGGAGATCGCCGAATGTCACCTCTTGATTCCAATTACGGTAAATGGCTATTTTCAGCTGGGCTGTCAGGGATCTGGTCGCTAATGCTCTTGGCAGATGATGAGATACCGCGGCAAATTCCAGCGAGCATCGTACCCCATGGTAGAGGTCAATATGTCGGACGAAGGCGAAGTTTTGGAGAAGAAATGGAGGGCCTGGTGCGGGCGTGAGTCGTGGAAGAGGTAGGCTGATAGACCCAAGGTCCGGGATATCCTTGTGCTAACGCATTTAGACTACTTTTCCACTGCTTCGTGCGAGACGCTCAGACCTCCATGACAACACTGACCAACCCCTCCATGTCGTACTCGGAACTCACCCTGCCCCTTCCAGAAGCAAAAGAGCTGTGGTTTGCGAAGACAGCGACCGAATGGAAGATGCACTATCTCGAACGAGCAAACGGCCAGAGCAAACGGCCACCTTCGATCGGCGATTTCTTCCGAGACGTCAGCCTACTGGCGACGAATCGCCAGCGACTGGATTTGCAGTTTGCAATTTCGATATACCTGCATGGCTACTGGGCACTCATCCTCGAGTATCTCCAGCTGTGTTCCGTCTTGCGCACCCGGACTTGGCTGAACAACTCTGGAGGGAAGTCTGAGGAGGTGCTGCGCTCTAGACATGCGGAGCTATGCAAAGACCTGCAGGGCTTTTTGCTGGTCACATCCGACTGGCACGAAATGCTATCGACGCAGGAGAGTTTGGTGTTGCATCTCCTCATGATGAATCTGCACCTCTCTCTCAACGATTTGCAGCTCTTCTCTGGCAAGGAGGGCGAGGACCAGGCGCGTCGAGTGTTTAGTGACTTGCGCGAGTGGTCGCAGAGCGCCGAGGCGCGCCAGTCGCTCTGGCACGCAGGGCAGATTCTGCGCCAAGCCAAGATGTTCCCCCAGGGGCATCTAAAAGACTTTTACGCTATAGCTGTTCATCATGCGGCTCTTGCGTGTTGGACCTATGGGGTGGTTGCCAAAACGGGGGGAAAGACGCCAGTGCAGGGTTACGAGCAGGAGAAAGTATTCCTGGACGGGACCGAGTCGAACTTTGTGCATCGATTCATTGGCTTCAACCAAGGACGGCCGGTTATATTGGGCCCTATGAGTGTGGCCGGCGCCACCGAGGCGTCTCTCGACGATCCCAAGGCGTGCATGGAAGTTGCCCAGGAAGTGCTCAGGGCTAACTTCCGAGAGTCGGCAGATTTTGACCCACCCATTGTCGAAAACCTATGCCTACTTATCAAGCAGCTAGGTCATGCTGCTTGGGCGGTAGGCATGTCATGACGGTTTTGTTACTTATTTCGAGCATATTTGGCATTTACTTCACGAAGGGCGTATAGAGTAAATGGCGGATGGTTGTATACCCATGTATCAAAAAGTGCTATGCCTGCTTGCGGCTTCTTCGAAGAGTGGTCTGCGCTTACCCCGGGCCAACTCCTGGAGTCCCGTCAATCTAAACGGCCCATCATACCACAATTCTAGCCTTGAGCTAGCTGAATTCCAGATCGTCTCTTCCCATCCTCGGTGTACCCGGTCGTTGATCCGTACGGATACAGGAACAATCAGCTCTCCGCTCGGAGCTCATATTTGGACGACAAACAACTAAGTGCGTAGAACGGATGGAAGTTATCGGTCCTTCCGACAAGATGGCCTTGAAACCCTGTCGGACTAACCCCACAATATCACGTCCAGCATGGTTCACGGCTGTATTCGCAGACGAAATCCGTAATGCCATATTTAACATTGAAAGCCAGCAAATTCAACTCAATCCCAACCCACACCTTGAGCCACGAGTCCTCGAGCATCAAAGACTCAGACACCTCCGTTGAGGGGCTAATCACGGTATTGCGGCATCGCGGCAGAAGATCGGGGCATCGGGGCGATCCATCATCGGAAATACTGACTCAGAGATGGGCGCTTAGCATGTTGCACCTCTTCCTTCCCGCCTTATACGGCTCTCTTAAAGAATGTGCTATGATACCTCGCGGCATCCGTGCAGTAAGCGGCACGGGAGCTGTTCCGCAGCGGCCCCGGGAGGGGTTGCCTTTGTTCTCTACCAACCTTATCCGTACTTATTTTTAGGTATCTGAACCTAGATCCTGGCCCTGTCCGACTCATAAGCCGCGAGTCATAAGATACCGGGATGGTAGGTACAATGTAAGTTCCTATAATGTCCGCATATGCTTCTTGATAAAACGGCAAGTTTTCGCGCAGAGTAGACATGGGAGAGAGGGGCCGCCAACCCCATCCCATCGGCTGTCGAGTGGCCTTTTTCTTTCAATTGAGTTTTTTCCCTGGCTCGCCGATAAGAGTTGCAAAACAACAGACGAGGTTTTTATCCGAGCCTTGCAGGCACTACCATAGGAGAATGCGAAACTGAATCGGGGATATGCATCCCCGTGCTGGCTGGCCTGCCTATTTTGAAAGGGGGGGATTTTCTACCGAAGTGGATAGGAAACGGGGATCCTAGAGACGCTTCAACTCTCCCTAGGTTCAGTGTCGTCTTTTTTCCATGGCTCGATACCCGACCCGTCCCTAATGTCAAGAGGGGGGGATACCGCGTACATATACACACTCAGTATCCGTACTCTGTACGATCTAGAAGCTCACCCCACCCCCTGACCGACAGCAGGGACGAGCAGGGGCAGATGGGGCTTTCTTATCGGTTATAGAACGTGTATGGGATGTAATCTATTAGTGCTTGTAGGTGGTTACGCTCAGAAAAACTCCCGTTTTATCCTTCTTGCGATGTAACCAAGCCATGAAGCTTTTTCTTCTTGAAAAGTTCAGATAGCTCGCAAATAAATTACATAATTAGAAAGGGGGACAACATGCAAACGATGTATTGCCTGCAGATTCCTCAATATCAGAGACTTGGGGCACACATGCTTTCAGATGACTGCTAAGTCCCCGAAATGCCAATGTCGGTGCGGGGTGTTTTGGAGTCCTTCTTGGCATCTTTCTTTGTAGTTGTGGTTGCATTGCCAAGGGGATGACCCGTTGAAGAGACAGCGTGGGAGCATCTTAATGGTGAAGAAAATTTACCGTAGTCAATGGGAGGCTTAAAATGCTTGGCCTGCAGCCGAATCGGGCTTCACACGTTACATGTACGAATAATTCTATCACCCAACAGTCGGATTCGGTTTCCTCAACGTCCTTGAGATGACAGCTTCTCCCGATTCGATACATATGAGCCGTATCTCCTTGTTTGCTTGCTAAGATTGCTTGCTTAGAGGATTTGACACGCCCCTAACAGTACATGTAGTATACAATAATTGAAGGAATTTAGACTTAGTATCGGACAAGGGCTTTTTTGCAGATTGGAAAGACAGACTGGTGAAAGTATGAAGAAAGGGTAGGCGGAGCAAGATCACGAGCAACTTTTTTTTAATCAGGGCTGGAATGAATGGAATTGTAAAAATGCAGAGTAACCTCGTCATCGCAGATACACCATGGTTTCTGAGTTTTGCCGCTCATTTCCCCGCTGGATGTTCCATGAGGTCGGTTACTTTACCTAGGGCACCTCAGATGTCCCAAGCCGAATCGACTTTAGACTGCCGACAACGTTTTTTTTCTGTTTTTTTTCTTGGCATTCGGCCAATTAGCAGCAACTTGGACACAATGATGAGTGAGAGTCTCCAAGACTCCACAGATCGAGTTTCTTCCAGGCGTGAGCTCGGGGGTTGGGGGGTTTACTTACGTTATTGTACATCAAAAGCCAATCCGGGCGGCTTCTTGCATGTCCCGAACAGATCCCGTGCCGACCGTTACCTGCCAGCCGGGACCCTGTCTCCACTTTTGACAGGACCACGTGGGGCCAATGATAGGGGTCCGGCCGCCGCAGGCCTCGTGGTCAGCGGACCCTCCCGGGGCCGATCTAGGTAATTTGTTGATTCGCGAAGAAAAAAAATGACGCCGATCTTTCCACCAACGCGCGACTTCCACCGTACACCCGGGACACCGGACACCCACGACAAGTCTCGGCTCAGCTTCACCAACGTCATCTTCGCTTTCTCGAGCGAGTTCCACAAGCGAATCTTTCTGTGACAGCTTTTATTACTTCTACATTCGATACTATTTTGTGAATCAGGACTCAGAGAAACTAAGGGGGAAAGACCTCTTGAAAGCTCTCTCGATAAAGATCTGCACACAGTTCCGCGTGTACCAGTTCCCCACCTGTTGCAATCCGTGGCATCCAGTATAGAGATCTCAAGTCTTTGGGGCATCGCTGCCACACCACCCACCGCACGATGGAATCCGTATTTACCTCCTCCATCGAGCCCAAGACAGCGGCGATTGTAGCCACAACCGTCGTCGCGACGCTGTCCTTCCTGTCTCTTGCGCGGCTTGGCCTCTACCCAAATTGGGGCACCGCGATCCCTAACCCTCTTAAGACCAAGATCTCCGCACTCACAAGCGATGAGGTCAAGAAGCTTGCCTACCGTCCGGACCACTTCCCCGGGGCTCGAGACGTGGATACACCAGTAAGGACCCCTTGACACAGACTCATTAGCCCACCACCTCCTGCCCCATTTTCACATTGCGATGATGCACCTCTAGAACTGAGTGAAAGACTAACGTCTCTCTCAGTATGGCACAATCCGCGTCTACGAATGGGGTTCAACCACCGGCCCCAAGGTACTCCTCATCCACGGCATCAGCACATCCTGCATGACCCTCGGCCCCATCGCGCACGCCCTCGCCGCCCGCGGTTGCCGCGTCATGCTCTTCGACCTCTTCGGCCGTGGCTTCTCCGATGGCGTCGGCGACCTCCCCCACGACACCCGCCTGTACACCACCCAGGTCCTGCTCGCCCTCGCCTCCTCCCCGCTGGCCTGGTCCGGCACCGACGCGGTCCGCGTCGTGGGCTACTCCCTGGGCGGCGCCGTCGCCGCCTCCTTCGCTGCCGCGTTCCCGCATATGGTCGAGAGCCTCGTCCTGCTCGCCCCCGCGGGCCTCATCCGTGCCGAGAACTTTGGCGTCCTCGCGCAGGTCACATTTCGCTCCGGTCTCGTGCCCGAGCGCATCCTCGCCGCCGTCACGAGGAAGAGGCTGCAGAAGCCGCTGGCTAGCAAGCGCTCCAATGCCGTCGAGGACGACGAGGACCCGGTCGAGAAGGTCATTGACGTCGCGGCGGCCGAGGTGTCTGGCCCGCGCGGTAGCGGGGAGGAGGACCAGAGTGTCGAGCGCAAGGTGCGCGAGTACGTCCCCTGGATGTGTGCGCACCACGAGGGGTTTGTAAAGGCCTTTATGTCTTGCGTGCGGTGGGCGCCGCTCACGGGACAGCACGGGACGTGGCGAGTTCTGGGCCAGAGGAAGAAGGGAAGTACTGCGGTTTTTATCGGGAAGGCGGACGAGATTATTGATATTGATCATTATGCCAAGGATGGCTTACCGTTGTTGGGCGGCGAGGAGAATGTGACGTGGAAGGTCCTCCCTGGGGGCCACGACTTCGTGATGACCAAGACGGAGGACATTGTGCGCGAGTTGGATGCTTTCTGGGGTCTGAAGGTGTAGTTGTGAATTGTCAAGGAGGGATGGGGGCATGACGGCAAGGGAACATGGACGTAGATGGATGCAGACAGGCCATGATATGCATTATTGATAGACTCTTAAGAAAGATACCACCTGCTTCGGGTACGGCTATAATCTCCTTGACTTTCGGTCACAGTTCCCTTCACTCCTCGCCTTCGAATAAGGACCCCATCTCTAATGCCGATCCAGAGACGCGACCAACCCTCTTGAAGTACCAGATGAGACTGTTCGTAGTAAAAGCACATACATCTTTGACCTCCAACTTTCGACATGGGTCAAAGCCGCGTATGAGAGTACATGGATACCTTATGAAACATATACAGCATCATAGGTAATGTTTGTGTTGCATATGGGTGCCTCCAATTGACTGTTGGCGTGGAAAGGCGCCAACGTTGCCCTCATAGATAAGTTAGCTTGAATGAACATCCAATACGACGCTTCCCTCTTCAAGAACGACCATATTCTTTTCATAAGTATCCCACTCTATCTTTTCGACCATAATATAGAGATTCTACCTGAACTTATTGGCGCGGACGTAAGCTCTGTGTCATTCCGGCTTTTTGTTTTTAGGAATAAGCTGCGTATTTCTGCTAGGCGCTCAACACCAAAGGGAAACGTACGGACCAAGAAAAGCAGATCTTTGCTACTACAGCCAACATTCATTCATTTCTTCTGGAATAAAACTCACATTCCCAGTTCGACTGCGTCAATAAACAACTCAATCAACTAGGAATTACTCTGGAAAAAGGAAGGGTGTTCATTTTAAAAGCAATCAATCTTTTCGGCCTAGATCAATGGAAGGGAAATAGGACAAAAAGGTTCGGTAGGAGATTCGAGCCCATAGGGATCGAACATTCGATCCCTACAAAAAACCACTGCTTTGCTCATGCCTGTTTTATCACTCAGGTGCCGTGGCCTCGGGAGTGCACTCCCGAGGATTACTCATTCTCTCAATGCTGTGACCTAAGTATGACCTGTACTGCCACCCGGTGCCTCATGGTTCGCATGTAATTCAACAAAATTTGCGCATTAAAGAACCATACCACCTGGATAGGCAGGCAGTAGCAGACGTTGTAGACACCATGACTTCTCCTTCTTGTAGTTCGTTTCCTGGCTGATTCGCAGCTTGGTCACGGGGATCAAACCAAAAAATCGAGACAGCGACTGGGATCCCTTTCGTACGATCGCATATATGTACCGCAGAATAGAGCTTCGATATAAAGAACACTGGCGATTTAGAGAACATCGGGCCCTTTAGCCTTGGAGATAGACTTAGGGTAGGCTTTGGGTATACGACTGGCACATCATTCAATACTATGGACTTGTGTTACTGGAACTTCCACTTTGAAGAGACACTCTGAGTCCCGCACTTTGTTAAAGTGCTTATGGTCTCAATGTCGAATTAGATCCGAGTTCAGAAAGATTAGCTCTACAGTACAAGCCTTGCACTGCCTTATGCAAGCCCGCCCGTGCACTAGAAGCGGACCGCAGTGTTGGACATAGGCTCATCTTTCCCAGTAAATTCGTCCTTGAAAGATAAAAAGACTTATCTGTAGCAGCTACCAACTTGTCAATTTACAATCTCCCACAGGTCGTGCTGATGAAGATTGTGGACGGTGATATTGTGAAAGTGAAGCTGCGCGCAAATTAGCTAAGCTGGGAAACCCCAGCCACCGTGGCGATCCCTGTTCGCCTGGAATGGGTGAATGGGTCGTTCCCCGCGCCACATCTCAGAACTGGCGCCAATCGCGCGATAAGACGGGGAAAAGGTCTAGGCCGCGATAAGCATCCATCCGTGGACCTCCCTACTAGGATGGCTCCAAGAGGTGCATGTGCTCATGCTCGTGTGCCTCGACGTGCCCCTCCAAATAATCTTGTTCTATCCATCACCCAAGAGGTTCCTGCATCTTCTGCATATTGCTCGCCTCGCCGACGACAGGAGCTGAGGCGCAAATGCACCCGACCGCCACTGGCTAACTCTGTCCATGTAACATTCGACCACACCATTTCGGATATTGACTCTTGTTTCGTCATGCTGACTTATCACCATCCAACAGCCTGACTGTCGTTCGTCCACGACTCGTTCGCGATATCGACTGATTGAGGCAGAACTTTTAACGTCGAGCTATAGTCGAGGCAAGAGAACCACCATTGCAACCGTACATACCGATAGAGTCGCTGGAGACGATGCAAACGATCTAAGATGGCAAGCCCAGATGGTGGAGCTGCTCCAGCTTCCCTCGACGATCAACACCGCCTGCTTGAAGATGCAGGAGAATCGATATCGGGTAGCTCCCATATCGGGAGTGATGCTTCAGATGACTCTTCCGAACGTGGAGAATGCCGTTGGAGGACTTCCCGATACCACGATATGGAATGCTCTCGCTTCTTCGACTGCCCAACTCATGTAGTTGAGAGGCATCTCTCTGACAACGAGGCCAACGACAGTGAGGCTGAGGAGGAGGAAGCCACAGTGCAGCTCCGGACCGGCGACGATAGGACCGAAAGTTCTCCAGACACGAGGCTACATACCGTCGACTCTGCTGTGTCTGACGATGCTCCAGAGCCGGTCCCAGCACCAAGCTTTGCGCCCGGGCCCGAGGAGACAAATACTGGGCGACCGGCAGAGCCAGTAGATTCAGCACAGGCAACCTCTGCACGGGATACTGAAGGGCCTGACGAGTCTCAGGATCCCGAGGAAGCCGCGCCGGCACCACCAACCCCATTGAGCTCCCGACTTTCAGAGACTTCTCAACCTCTCCCACCGACTGCAACGCCTGCAACGCCGACCGGAGAGTTTGTCCCTCCGGAAAGATCATCGAACTTGGTCACATCGCAAGCGGCAAACGCATCGTCACACGACTTGCTTCTACGTCCAGCTCTGTTATCCAGTCGCTCTCACGAATCGCCGCCGCCGCCGCCGCCACCCAGACGCACGACTTCTTCGGTTGCTTCGCGCGGTCAACGGGTGCCCGAAGAGAGAAGCGGTCCTCCAGAGTTTGTCGTGCCACGGTGGCAGCCAGACGCAGAGGTGGTTTTGTGCCCGATATGCAACGTACAGTTTAGCATTTTTGTTAGGAAACATCACTGCAGGTATGTAGACACAGTTTCAAGGATTATGTGGCGTGGTTGCTAACAAAATGTAGGAAATGTGGAAGAGTCGTTTGTAACGCTTGCTCGCCTCACAGAATCACGATTCCTTACCAGTTCATTGTTCAACCGCCAGGACAACCACGACTGGCGGTCCAGAGATACCCGTCTTCCCTCATTAGTGGTGAGGGAGGATATGCAGATTTCAGCAGCCTCGGCGGAGGAGAGCGTGTTCGTCTATGCAACCCATGCGTCCCGGACCCCAACACCACACCGCCCCAGCAGCCACTTGGCTCGCCCTCACAGTTGTCTCCTCGAGGATCGCACTATAGATCGCAAAGTAACATTAGCACAATGTCCAGCAACGCGCCCCCTCCCACGCGCTTCTCGGGCTACTTCACGTCGAGCCCCTCCCCGGAGACCTATGCAAGGTCTAGAAGCATTACGGTAAGCGCGGCACTATCTAATCCCCGGCCCACGTCCCCATTAATACACATGCTAATCTATGCAGCACTCCGGTTCCGGCGGGCCCTCGAGCTCTCGCGGGCATTACCAGTCCACCCAAAATCGGATTTTGGCAGGGACACCGCCGACGTATTATCCGTCCTCGTCATCCGGCTATCCGGGCTCATCCCGCTACCGGTCTATGCTAGATGTCGGACCATCTTCGTCGTCGTCGGCGGCGGCTGCGTACAACCGTGCGCTGCCGCCGCCGCCGCAAATACCCGAGGAGGATGAGTGTCCGGTTTGCCATCGCGAGCTGCCCTCACGTACTCTTCCCAACTTCGAGCAGCTGAGAGAGACGCATATCAACACCTGCATCACTTCGCACAGTACCTACGGTGGTACACCGACGGGAGAAACCCCTCTAGTCGGGACGCCGCCTCCCCTAGCGGTTCGTCGGACTGGTATGTTCCCCTATGTTGCCACAGAAAAGGACTGTGTCGACTCGGCCGAGTGCACCATCTGCCTTGAGGAGTTCGAGGTGGGCGTTCCCATGGCGCGTCTAGAGTGTCTCTGCCGTTTCCACCGATCTTGCATCTCGGCTTGGTTCATCAACCATCCTGGACGGTGCCCCGTCCACCAGCATGATAGTTTTGGCTATTGATACCTCGTGTCGTCGGTTCGTTGGTTCTCCTCTCGCATGCTCTGAATTTTCGGCGTCTCGGTTTGCATGGGGGCCATTCAGTTTAATCAAGTCTTCCATTTTAACGATGCTTTCTTTCTTTTGTTTTTACGACCAGCCTCTCAACTCACCATTGCTCACCGCGACACGCTCCGAATGATTGGTGTGAGTTGATGCTGGGTAGCGGTTGTCATCAGCGGATGTGGGTATTTAGAATGATCGGGTTAATGTTTCTTTTGATTTTGTGGACTCGATGGCTCTCACAGTGCCTCTGTTTTTTTTCTCTCACCCATATACATGTCAGCCAGCCAGTGCCAGGGTATAATACTTTCGATAGTAAATACCTCTGAAGCGAATGGAGGGAGGAAGGGGAGGCGGCATGTCGTTGAATAGGGTCACTCACTCGCTCCTCTCGATGGAGATACCATCCACTCATATTAGATAGATGTTGGGTTTTATTCTAACAATGGAACCGATGCCGCCTGTGGCAATTTGAGCCCGCCTACAAACAAATCCTTGCTCTCCTCCGTGCCTCAGCCATCGGCCAAGTAAATACGGCTATCTGTATCTTCGTCTTCCATTGAAAACAGTGCCGACTACGGCCGTTTCACTTTGAGAGAGGAATTGTGGTTTTTCGTGGGGAGTGGGGATTGGGGATAGTGAAAGAGACACTGCACGTTTATATGTTGTAAGACAATTTCCTGTGGCACCCACTCGTGCCACCACACTGCAATACCTACTTAGACAAATAGGAAGGAGGCGGACGGTATGTCTCGGAGAAGTATGTTTGTATCCGCAACTAGGGACTTGTCAAACTCGTCTCAACGTGTAGACATTTTACTAGCTCGAGTCAACCCACGTTTTGAGCAAGGTGATCATCGTCCCGGTCCCTTCCTTCCTCCCTTCCCGCCCGGGAAGACTGTTTCTCCTTAAGGCCCTTAAGGGCCAGCCAAGACATGTAGATCCACCTGATATTTTACCTCACGCGCATGGATTCTGGAGGACCAACTGTTAGGGAAGCGGCATTCACTTTCTCAGTTGCTGCCGGTACTCAAACACCCGGATAGGTGTCTCGCACAGTCCCGCGGCTGGCCAAGCCGCGGGAACATCCCACCTCTAACTGGTACCCAGGACGAGGGGGAACGAAAAAGGGGGGAGGATGGATCTAGAACATGCCCATCACGCAGGTTCCGCCCAGGCCAGGGCAGCCCGATCGCAAAGGATCCCTGCTGCGAGTCCCCGGGGACCGGGGTTCCACTGGCAGATGCTCCACACGCTCCACTCTCGCCGACTGGCCCGACCTTGCCGAGAAGAAGGAGGAGGAGGAGAAGGAGGGGAAATGGACTAGATCAAAGTAAACGAGAGCGGTTATCGAACTCCTCAATTTTATTCAGAAATGGCTACTGCTGCAGAAGCCGAGGAAGAAGAAAAGGCTTGCAGGACGAAGTCAGAGAGAGAAGATTGTCCTGCCTATTTTGGGTTTGAGGGCCGGCCAGAGCCAACCAGGTCATCAATCATTACATATCACCGACCTGCATTCGCCCACCGGAAATCGATATTGAACTTATTTCTTTTCTCCGTGCTGTGCAAATTTTCTGCTCGGATTCTCGTTTGATTAAATTGGCAGACTGCTGCCCGGTATCTGGTATTCACGGTCAAATGTCCCCAGTAGGAAAACAAGAATTCACCTGTTTATTTAATCTGTCGCATCAGGGGTGGACGTTGTTGACCTGTTTACCTTTTTACGGGGCTTTATACATAATATGCGCGCAATAGCAGACAGCGCAGACAGTGCAGAGAGACAGACGAGTCAAAGAAGCCGAAAATGACTCTGCGTTGCTGGTATTGCATGGTGAAACGGAATGATTAGATGAACTGACCTACATTACCAAAAGTCTATGTTAATGTTTCATGAAACTCTGGCCCGTCCACAGCTTATGACCCCACCTCCCTCATTAATCCATCGGATTATTGTCAAGATGCGGGAAGGAAAAGAAAAGCAAGGGCCGGGTAGGCAGTTTGGGGTAGAGGGAAGAGGTCGGATATGCTTGAAGTTGCTCGAGCATGCCCACCGTCACCAACCCCTCTGATCGACCAAATTCCTCATAGCCGAGACTTTCATCGGATGGAACTCTTCTGGCATTCGTTCCATTTTGACAGCATTCACAGTGTTTTATCGTGCGCAACAGGGCCGCCGGTTGGCCATGCCATGCCCTTGACGTAAGTTCCCCCCCCCCCCGCCAGATATCCTGGTTTCAACCCCCGGTCGATTTTAGATGACGATGGAGCCACGCTCTCGCCACGGAGCAGCAGTGCAGCAGGCATGCCTGTCAACGGCACCAGAGCGCCGGGAAAAGGCTCCTCTTTTTGCGTTCTGGACTGCATGTTTGGTCCTGGGCCGATTGAGGAAACGAGGATGACCCCCAAGAGGCAAGTTGGCAAGGCAGGATAGGCAGCGGCACAGTAAGAGTCCAAGAGAGGACTTTCGCGCGCGTTGTTTTTCGTTGGTGGCGCATGTCCTTCTCCTGTCCCTCTGCAGGATCGTAGTGCAGGATGGAGTAAGATTAATCAAAACACAACGGCATTATGGTTGCCTGCCCTCCTCTTCCCTCAAAAAGGTTCTCAAATCCTTTCGGGTGCGTCTAGACCTTTTTCCCGACTCTTTCTCTCTATCCACGCTGGTCTGGAACTCTTGCTATACCCTTTGGAGGTCCGTCATTCCTTCACTTGTTGATATTGCCGACTGCTGTTCTGTCATTATCCAAAAAGAAACTGAGCTTGCCTCTGTCCGAATCTCGAATCTACATTCACCAGTAATTCCTCTTTGGCTAGGAATCCACCTCAACATATCGTTGTCACGTCCACCGTCTTCGACACAATGAAGCAATCCATTCTCTTGTTGGCCGCCTCGGCCGCTCACATGGCCTTCGCCAAGCCCGTCAAGCACTGCCCGGCCAAACCCCGCAGCACGACCGTTGTCACCTTCTATGCCACCCCGACCTACGGAGGCCCGACCATGGCCCCGGTCCAGACGCCGCCGGTCGTGCAGCCGACTCCCGTCGAACCCCCGGTCCAGAACCCCGTCGAGACACCTGTTCACACGCCAACGGTCATCTCATCAATCCCGTCGGCCTCGGCTACCGTGGTGGAGCAGGCCGCCCCATCGTCGAGCAGCAGCAGCGCCAGCACCCCGCCCGCATCCTCGAAGCCGATCGGCGGCAGTGGGACCAAGCAGGGCAGGTCGACCTTCTACGGCGGTAACCTCTCGGGCGGAACGTGCTCCTTCACAAACTACACCATCCCTTCCGGCCTTTACGGCACTGCCTTCTCCGGCCAGGTTTGGGATTCGGCCGCTCACTGCGGTGCTTGCATCAAGGTCACTGGACCCAACGGCAATAGCATCACGGCCATGATCGTAGACGAGTGCCCCGAATGCGACGAGGGTCACCTCGACCTTTTCCAGAACGCCTTCACCCAGCTCGGAACCGTTTCCGAAGGCGTCATTTCAACCTCATACGAATTTGTTCAGTGCGGCATCACCTCGCCCATCAGGCTTCACAACAAGACGGGCACTTCTGCCAACTGGTTCTCCATGCAAGTGGTGAACCCCAACGAGCCCGTGGCGAAGCTCGAGGTCAGCACGGATGGCGGAAGGACCTGGCAGGCGACCAACCGTCAACCATACAACTTCTTCGAGAAACCGAGTGGTTTCAAAACCGATACTGTCGACGTTCGGGTAACGAGCGAGTCGGGAAAGACCATCATCGTCAACAGCGTCAGCGTCGCCGAGAATCTCGCAACAGATGCGTCATCCAACTTCTAAGCGGTGAGCGCAGGGAGTCTTATGAGCTCGGGCATTCGAAGTATGGCTGTCCATGTGAGGACGAGCGCGGTTCGGAGATTTTCGCTCCTCGGCTGGGTGTGGGTGTCTGTGGGGTGTCTGTGACTCTGGGTTATCGTCTGTGTACGGGTCCACGGTGGCACCGTGTGCTTTGCATGCTGCAGGGACAGAATGCACCGATTGCGATTCGACTTGGTCGACGGCTCCTCGCTCTAGGGGCGAAGTCTTCATTTCTCTTTTCTCTTCTACAACGCTCGTATCGAGCTATTCTTTCCATTCATGCGTCGACGACTTGGGGTTAGATAGCATGGATTGGGATCGAAAAAAGTTCCGGGTCGGCCCAGAACTTCCGCTTAGTAGACTGGTTTTTGGAGCAAGCTCAAAGTACCAAAATTGGTTCGCGTATCATTTACGTGGGCTGTGTAGCAATAGTTCTCTTCCAATGATCTCAACCATGCCGACGACTAACGGCATCTTTCTTCATTGCAGGGTCGGAAACTCAATGCGTGCAAGTGATGGGGTCTGCGTCGTGTCTGGTAGAAGCCCTGGCTCGTGGGTGCATGATTTGTTTCGCGAATGTGCGAATGGGCCATGATTTGCTATTAGCGTCCGACCTCAGGCAATGGCTTCGAGGGGTTAGTCCTGGTTCAGCGATGCCGGTGGTTTTTATTACCAGTATCTGTGGAGATCGACAGGAACGGAGCCTGTCTTGAAGATAGCTGAGACTTATCAACGATGCTAGCACAGCACACTAAGGTAGCTCAGGCAATGTGTTTGCCTTAGCATTTGCTGTTCTAGCTGTCGCTGTGTCGGCAATCGTGAAGTTTGGAGTTCACAAATCCGGAAATGAAGGATACCTCAAGGTGAAAACGCGTTCTTTAGAGGTGAGGTTAGCGGCTGGTACCTGCTAAGACGGGGGTGATAAGTGTCTCAGTCTCAGATTTCCTAGGCAGGAACATGTGGCGAGGAATGGACCGATGCTGGGCTTGTTGCAACAAGCTCGGTGTCGCTCAACGGTGAGGCTGTATGCCGTGGCTAGCGTGGTTAGCTTGTGGGCTTCATCGCGAAGGCTTGTTGTGCCTGTGCAGCTCGCATTTCGCCGTTTCCCAATTCTGTCTATGTTTTGCTTGTGAGTATCGCTGGGAAATGAATGGTACTACGGCCTGTTTCGCATCGTTGTTTCCGCAAGAGACACTGACAATGGACGGGTGAAATGAACGTTCGTCAGATTGTAGGTAGCAATTTCGGGTTGGCGCCACAACCAGGACAGAGCACAAACCATAAAGTTTAGGTGGGATTGTGGCCTGTCAGTCTTGAGCCTGTCCTAGGTTCGCAATGGTCCGATCGATGAAGGATTGGCGGCAAGGATCGGGTAGCTGGGACGGATGTGATTCGATCATTGTTTGGCAGCTCGCCCGTTGGTCAGGGTGCCCAGGTTAGAACGTTGGCGGCCGTCTGGTGTGCCAGGTCCTCGGCCCCCGTCCAGTCGCAAACTACCGGCACCCTGGCGACTGAGCGCAGAGAGTGTCGAGACTGGGTGGAAGAGGTCATCGTGAGGAACTTTGGGTCTTGAGATTGAATCAAGGTCGGTCGTGGAGCTCAGGATCCGGATGGGTGAAGTGACACCACTTCAACAGCATCGAATTGCTACACAATGTATCCGTACTGGTAATCCATCGACTGGCGACTACGATCTGCTTCTGCCGGTGCGGGTCAGGGAGCGTGGAGAGTCTGATCGGACAGGCTTGCTGAATCCCATGTCACAGAGGTGTTGTAGATGAGACGACAAGTAGCGGATAACGCAACACCTTTTAGACGCCTCAGTTTAGCAGTACATGACCCAGCAGAGAAATGGGAACAAGAGGAGTGAGCACGGACCAATTGTGTCGCATCTTGGAGCTACAATGTAAGAGAGAGACAGACAAGTATTCCGTGTCCGCACGCTGTAAGGTAATCTGTGGGTGGACGGGGAATGAGCTTCGGTCTCGGCGACCTTGACCAAGCTGGATGTTCGGCTCTTCCCCAAGCCTACCCTGCCCAGCGCTATGCAGCTATTAACCCCTCCCGCTTCCTCTGGTGCTTCCATTCCAAGTGCAACCTTTCTGGGAAGCCACCTAACCTGGCAGTTTCCCAGCTCGCCAGGTCCCAACCAAGCTGAGAACCCCTGTCTCAAAGCTCCAGCAGCCAATCCCGCTGATCTGGCTCGACAGGGGGTAGCAGCCCGGTGGTGCTGTACGTACATTGTAGGCGGCTCCCCCGCCCGACTTCAGCGACCAGTCACGGCACAATGCAGCGTTCCCTCCAGCTGAAATCTGCTGAGGTAATGGCGAGTATTACGTCGTTATCCGCAGCCGAGGACATGGGCTGCATCGCCTCCATTTACGGTGCGCCCTCTCTCCTCCACCACGGAAAGCTGGCTGAAAGTTCGCAGAGTACCTGGAAGAGGCATCGTAAGGTAGCCTCCCAATGTCTTTTCTGCACCAGGAGTTAAAAAAGAAAGATGAAAAAATTCGAGGGAGGTGTGGCGAAATCTTGATCTTAACCAAGGTACCAAACAAGCACTCGAGGGACCTTTATGATTTAGCAAAGCACCTGTGCCCGACGGTTAAACCTCCACCCCCTGCCCTGCTCATCTCGATTTTCTGTGTGCCAGTTGAAGCTGCAGTCGTAATCTTGCAATATCCCAGTCGCACTTGCACTTGCACTTGCATTTGTTTCTTGCATTAGGTTCCAGGTTGGCAAAGTTGTACATGGCACTTGTACATTTTGCACCACTCCTCGCGCCCACCCACCGGCCTGCTGTCCTGTCCCTAAAGGCACCAAGTGCTTCGTACGGATACCAAATTCCTGCCAAGGCGCAGCCGCTAGCGAACCTGACGTATCTGTGCCAAATTCCCAATCCAACCTTCACCTTTCTCCATCACTGCCACCTTACCCTCCTTCCACCTTCGCTTCGTGGCTTCCCGCCTTCTGTCTTTCTTCTACCGATCTCGTCCACTTCGTAACCTCCACATTTTCCTCACTAGTATCCCAACTACTGGTCGACCAGCCACAGTCCGATCACTCTCCATTCACTTCCTCCTTTTTTCCCTGTCGCCGATCTACTTCCCTCTCTCTCGTCTCTTTTTAGTCCGAGACCCTCGCGTCCCTCGCGTCCCGTCTCCAATTCTGTCACTTGTTCACTTCCTTCCCCTCGAACTCCAATTCACCGAGGCCCCCAGTTCACCTCGTCCATTTCCAGAGCTACCATTGCATGTGTCCAAACGGCATCGCGAGCTGAGCGCCTTGCTAATTGACTTGGACGTCTCAAATTAAGCTGCTCTGCGCGGCGCCCAAGAGCTCGACAAGATGGCTTCCGCACTCGAGAAGAACGAGCTCAAGGTCCAGGGTGTCGTAGAGGCCGCCCAGGACCCCGAGTCGAACGTTTCCGCGGACGATGCTCAGAAGAAGATAGTCGAAGAGTCCAAAAAAGCTGGCATCACCGCCTTCACCTTCGACCCGGATGCGAGCCCTGAAGAGAAGCGCCGCCAAGCCGCAGCTGTGAGTTTGCGCGACCTAATTCCCCACTTCGCCATCGAACTGTACTGACACATCTCTTGCCAGGCCATTCCTCCAGGCTTTCACTCGCAGCGAACCAAGGGCATCTCAGTCGTAACCGATGTAGCTGATTCAAGCGCTCCCGTCACCGATCTCCCACCCCCGACCAAGGAAGGCGTTATCGAGTTGGCCAAGGACAAGGATGGAAACACCATCAAGACCGGCGAGGATCCTCACAGCCAGGAAGAAGAACCATACACAAGAACTGGCTGGGCTCCCAGGTTCGGCTGGCCCTCGGACGATCTCCATGATGCGGCAAGTCTCCTAGATCATTCGACATGGCTCGAGAGTAATATCCCAGATAAATTCTATGGGGACTGGTACCACAATGCAGGCATCATTGCCTTTGCCTGCATCTCCTCATGGCTCGTTGCCGTCTTGGGCGGAGGTCTTGGCTGGGTCTTCATTCTCATGGCCGTCTGCTCAACCTACTACCGGACTTCTATTCGCCGAGTCAGGCGCAATTTTCGCGATGACATCAACAGAGAGCTTTCCTTGAAGAAGCTGGAGACTGAAACCGAATCGCTCGAGTGGATCAACTCGTTCATGCTCAAGTTCTGGCCTATTTACCAACCCGTTTTGGCCCAGACCATCATCAACTCTGTTGATCAGGTCCTCAGTGGTGCTACTCCCGCCTTCCTCGACAGTTTAAAGCTGAAGACGTTCACTCTCGGCTCGAAGCCTCCGCGGATGGAGCACGTTAAGACTTACCCCAAAGCCGGAGATGACACCGTCATCATGGACTGGAAGTTCAGCTTCACCCCCAATGACACGGCGGACATGACCTCTAAGCAAATCAAGAACAAGATCAACCCAAAGGTTGTTCTCGAGATTCGAGTCGGAAAGGCCATGATCAGCAAGGGACTGGACGTGATTGTTGAGGACATGTCCTTTTCGGGCATTATGCAACTCAAGATCAAGCTGCAGATTCCCTTCCCTCACATCGAAAAGGTGGAAATGTGCTTCCTAGAAAAGCCCACGATTGATTATGTCTGCAAACCTCTGGGTGGTGAGACTTTCGGTTTTGACATTAACTTCATTCCCGGACTCGAGTCTTTCATCCTAGAGCAGATCCACGGCAACCTGGCTCCTATGATGTACTCTCCCAACGTGTTCCCCATTGAAGTCGCCAAGATGCTGGCCGGCACCCCGGTCGACCAGGCTATCGGCGTGGTTGCTGTTACTCTCCACGGCGCTCAGGGCCTGAAGAACCCGGACAACTTTTCTGGTGCACCCGATCCATATGCCGCGTTGACTTTGAACCGCCGCCAACAGCTCGCCCGCACAAAGCATATCAAGGATACTGGAAACCCGCGCTGGAACGAGACTCACTACATTATTATCACCTCTTTTCACGACTCTTTGGACATTCAAGTCTTCGACTACAATGACTTCAGAAAACACAAAGAGTTGGGTGTGGCATCCTTTGCCCTCGACCAAGTTGAGGAACTGGCTGTTCACGAGAATGAAGTTTTGGAAGTCATTGCAGATGGCAAGGCTCGAGGTCAGCTTTCCTGCGATATAAGATTCTTCCCAGTCATGGAGCCCAAGAAGCTGGAAGACGGCAGCTTGGAGCCGCCGCCCGAATCCAACACAGGTATTCTTAGATTCACAGTGGAGCAGGCCAAGGACTTGGATGGCACCAAGAGTCTTGTCGGTCTTCTCAACCCTTATGCCACTCTGCATCTCAACGGCCGAGACGTCCACTCTACGAAGAAGCTGAAGAGGACCAACAACCCTATTTGGGACAATGGCTCAAAGGAAATGCTGATTACTGACAAGAAGAACGCCAAACTTGGAGTTACGATCAAAGACGAGCGTGATATCACTGGCGACCAGGTCATCGGCAAGTACCAGATCAAGCTTGAGGATATGTTGGAGTGCATGGGAAAGAGCCAGGAGTGGTTCCATCTCTCTGGCGTTGCGACCGGTCGCGTGAAGATGATGGCCCAATGGAAACCAGTTGCTCTTTCTGGCGTAGTTGGTGGAACGGGAGGCTACGTAACTCCGGTTGGTGTTATGCGTTTCCACTTCAAGAACGCAAAGGACCTTCGCAACTTCGAGACTCTCGGCAAATCGGACCCCTACGTGCGCGTGCTTCTCTCGGGTATTGAGAAGGCTCGTACAGTCACCCACAAGAACACCCTTGATCCCGACTTTGATGAGGTTCTCTACGTCCCAGTCCACTCGGCTCGCGAGCGGCTGACGCTCGAAGTCATGGACGCTGAGAAGATGGGCAAGGACCGCAGTCTTGGTCTAGTTGAAATATTCGCCGGCGACTACATTTCGCAGGCTGAGAACGGCGAGTACAATGTGCACGATCAGAAGAAAACGTTCCAAGGAGGCTTGCAGCTCCACGGCAAGGGCATCGCAAAGGGTATCCTGACCTACACGGTGTCCTTCTTCCCTTGTCTAAACGTTGCCGACCCTGAAGACGAAGAGGAGGAAGCTGAGGCGGCGGCAAAGGTGACAGAGGAAGCCCCGCGATCAGCCGAAGCTGGCAAATTCATCAGCTCCCTCGAGAAGAAGGCTGAGGAGAAGAAGGACGGAGCCGAGTTGGAAATCAGCCCGCCAAAGACACCAGTCACCCCGGTCTCACCAACCATACCCAGGAAATCCAAAGATGAGAGCGGCCCGCCTAAGATCCGGCTATCCCCTCAGGAGCTTCTGAAATACGAGTCTGGTCTTTTGATCTTTAAGCTCATGGAAGCGGAGATGCCCGAGCATAACACGCACTTGGAAGTCTGGGTTGATGACATGGCTTTCCCCTCGTATACCTCATCTGCGGCCAAGCACAAGAAGCATGCATTTGATGAAATTGGCGATTGTTTTATCCGAGAGCTCGATTTCTCTCGCCTTACACTCAAGGTCCGCGAGAAGGGCGACAAGGTCGAAGGCAGCGACAAGGACAAGGACCACACCATCGCCAAGTTGCAGGGAAACACATTGGACACGCTGAAGCAGTGCCTGGTGAGTTTCCTCATCCTCTGGAAATATGACAAATTACTGACTAGCCCTAGAACAACCCTACGACTCTCAAGCTGAAAGACAAGGAAAACCGGCCCAGCAGCGTCAAGGTCAGCCTCAAGTACATTCCCGTCAAGATGCAACTGGATCCCAGCGAAAGTATCAACAACATGGGTACCCTCCGAGTCGATGTTCTGGACGCTCAAGACCTTCCGTCAGCCGACTCGAACGGCAAGAGTGACCCCTACTGCAAATTCGAGCTCAATGGCGAGGACGTGTACAAGACGAAGGTTCAGAAGAAGACGCTGCATCCTGCCTGGAACGAGTTTTTCGAAGTTCCCGTTCCATCCAGAACGGCTGCCAAGTTCAAGGTCACTGTGTGGGACTATGACTTTGCCGACAAGCCGGATTTCCTTGGAGCTGCCGACATCAACCTCGAGCAGTTGGATCCCTTTAGACCTAGCGAGAGTCGACTGATCCTGGATGGGAAATCGGGCACAGTGAGATTGAGAATGCTCTTCCGGCCCTCTTATGTCACTCGAACTCGCCAAGGCACCTCTACCTTTTCTGGAACGTTCGCAGCACCTGGAAGAATCGTCACTGGCATTGCTGGGGCGCCCATCAAAGTCGGCAGCACTGTTGGTCACGGCGTGGGCAAAGGTGCCTCGTTCCTCAAGCGCGGTTTGTTTTCCAGAAAAGAGGATGACACAGATGGCCCGTCGTCTAGTTTCAGCGACATCCCAACCATTGTCGAGAACGGAGACAGCCCTCCTGGCCCGACGCCTGGTCTTGGCCTCAAGCGAGCAACAGGATTCTCCACATCGGATGGGAGCGAATCCCCTGATACGCGACCGGGCACGTCCAACGGTTCGACACTGGGTCACACGCGTACTAAGAGTAATGGGGCCGCCTCTGTTCATAGCTTGAACCCAGGTTCTCCTGGCTCAGGAAGCGCCTCTTTCACAGTTGTATCTGCCACGGGATTCCCACCGTCAACCGACCTGTACATTACCATCAACCAATTGACGCCCAAGCCCAAGGCAATCGGCAAGACCAAGCACCATAAGGACGCCACTGGTTTCTTCCGATTTAACGAGACTTTCAAGTGCACATGCACTCCCGATACCCAATTCAAGATCGAGGCGAAGGGCGAGCACACCCTCAGGAGCGATGATGACCTGGGCGAAGCCCTTTACTTCGTCGATGATTCCGGAACGGGTGCCGAGAAGGAGATCAAGGTCGGAAGCGGCACGGTCATCATGAAGAGTACCTTCGTCGCGTCAGCCAGCACCTTGGAGCCTGACAGCCCCAAGTCTATCGTTCGCCGCAGCTTTATGAGCAAGCGTGAGAGTCGCAGCAGGGAGGGAACTCCGAGCTGATTGATTTCGATTTCAGTTCATTCGGTTTCATTATACGTCCTATTCCTTTGATAACAAAAAGCTTTTTGCCCTCTTTCAGATACCTTGGATGTTGCCCATCAGGCTGGCGAATACTATCCACTAATGAGCCTTTTCATGTTCTCTTTGATTTTTTTTCCCTTTCCATTTTGAGGGCGTGTTCGGAGGTCTCAGGGAGATGGTCGGGTAGGGCGCGGAGGGCGGCAGAGAGCGCATCGCAACTAGTTGGCTTCAGCCCGCTGCAACCCCATCATAGCTTCATATACCTAGTTAGGATGCAATTCAAGCTATTCAATGTGACTGAGATAGCTGCTTACGCCTCTACGCTACATCAAATTACAAATACCTCACCTAACCTTAACTACCGCGTGTCAATTCAGGCTTGACCGCTTGTTGGATCCCCCAAGCGAGCTGTTTCTCGCCTCAGCGAACCTGGAAACTTTGGGTGGTGAGGTGACAACAGCGGGACGGCGAAAAGAGACACCGTAGCCGAGAAATTTTCAGTGGATCCCGAGTGCATTGTGGCTGGCGAGCGCGCATCTTTGGTCCATCAGTTGCTTGCGCGTACCGTTGTAAGCTCGATAAAAACCCACAGACGTTTGTTTCCTTTCCCGGGCAACCATTGGACGTCAACCACCCTCTGAGCAAGCTCTACAAACCTCGCCCGAGTCCTTCAAATCACAAGCTTTACACGGCTTTGCAACAACCCAGACGCTCCTGGGCCGGAAGCCCTTCTCCTGCCCAAGATGATGCACCCTTCGCGACAAGCCTACGTCGAGGAGGCGATGGACGAGGACAGAGGCATTGCGCTGGAGGATATCCCCGTCGACTATGACTATGAGATTCCCTCCGCTTTCGCCGGCGCCGCGCCCGAGAAGACGTCCGCTGTCTTGGCGCAGATGGAGAGGAAGAAGCTGGCGGCGAGCATCGCAGTGCCCACAGACGACAACCGAGTGCGCACAAAGCTTAGGGAGATGGGTGAGCCAGTCACACTATTCGGCGAAGGCAAGCCCGAACGCAGAGATCGCCTCCGTAACCTCCTGGTCATCCAACAGGAGATGGCGGGCATCGAGAACGGCGACATTACCATGGAGGACGCCGAGGACGAGGACGAGGAGGAGCAGGACGAGGAATTCTACACGCCCGGCGGCCAGGCTCTACTGCAGGCACGTATCGACATCGCAAAGTACTCTTTGCCGAGGGCGCGACGGCGAGTGCAGTTTCAGAAAGCCGAGTCTACGATTCCCTTGCGCACGCACGTCAAGTTCCGGAAACAGATCAAGGAGAAGCTGGAGGGCTTCGAGCTTCAGGGCAGTCAGACGGCCGGCGACAGACATGTCAGCATGACGAGGTTATCTCCAAATGGAGAAGTCGTTGCCGTGGGGAACTGGGGTGGAGGGCTCAAACTCATCGAGATTCCGAGCATGGAGGCGAGGATGAACCTACGAGGACACACACAAAAGATCAGCGGTATCTCATGGTATCCAGGGTCTACGCTGCCTGGAGCCAACGTGTCTCCCGACACGGTAAACCTTGCGTCTGGCGGAGCTGAGGGTTTGGTTCACTTGTGGTCTCTGAACAAAGATACTCCCCTTTCGACTCTGACGGGTCACGGCGGCAGGGTGTCCCGCGTCGAGTTTCATCCCTCCGGCCGTTACGTGGCGTCAGCTTCAGACGACACGACGTGGAGGCTCTGGGATGTAGAAACGACTGCGGAGCTATTGCTACAGGAGGGCCATTCCAGGGGTGTTTACGCGGTCAGCTTCAATGCCGACGGCTCCCTCCTGGCCAGTGCTGGCCTGGACAGCATTGGCCGCATCTGGGATCTGCGGTCTGGGAGGACAGTCATGATCCTCGATGAGCACATCCAGCCGATATACGCGCTTGACTGGGGCTCCGACGGCCACAGGGTGCTGTCGGGATCGGCAGACGGCTGGGTAAAGTGCTGGGACGTACGCAAAGTGCAGAGGACGGCGAATCTCGGCGCGCACGCAAAGGCCGTTTCGGACGTGCGGTGGTTCCGGGGCCTGGACGACCCCATCGACGGCAATCCTCCGGGCGCCGACGACAAGGGCGCGCAGCAACCAAAGAAGGCCGGCACGTTCTTCGTCTCTGGCGGGTTCGACGCCAAGATCAAGATCTTCTCGGCCGACAACTGGGGCCTGGTGCAGACGCTCAGCGGGCACTCCGGGCCGGTCGCCAGTGTCGACGTGAGCAGGGACGGGAAGTGGATCGTCAGCGGAGGCCACGATCGGACGGTCAAGCTCTGGGGCCGTAATGATGGCGAGGGAGTTTAGGCAATTGTTGATTCGAGACGAGGGACCGACTCCTGTAGAAGAATAAGATACCCCAAGTTCAGTCACACGCGGAGCTTGACTTCGTTGCCTGTTCTCGACAAGATTCGGACATATTAGAGCCATTTCTGCTTAAGACAACGATCCAAGGCGTTGCTTCTAGTCCATGAATGATGTGCTTCGTTCAAGCGAGGATGGCCTTATAAGCGAGCCTTTGGCAGAACGCCCAGCGCAGGCGCCTCGCGAACCCGACCCAGCACCTCATCCATTACAGAACTCAACCGCTTCATAGCAGTCTCCCCAAGCTGGTGATGCAACACAACCCTCTTCCCATCCAGCTTGATCCCGTGCCGCCTCCCAGCCTCATTCCACTCGCCGGCCCCGACACCGCAACCCCGGAGATCCAACCAGACCATGTTCGTCTCGACTGGCTTTAGCAGCGCGCCCCCTCTCGCCGTCCACATCCCCCCAACCTCGGCCGCCATCCGCCGACTACTCTCCAGCACACCCCGAGAGTCTCGGTCCCCGGCGCCAAAGTTCTCAATCACAGCCTGCCGCGCCGCCGCGGCGAGAACGCCAGCCTGCCTCATTCCACCGCCGATGCTCTTCCGGATCCGCCGGAGCCGCTTGATCAGCTCCGAGGATCCCAGGACCATGGCACCCATTGGCGCGCCGAGGTTCTTGCTGAAGTCTAGCGTGAGCACGTCACAGCACCGGCCATAATCGCCCAGGGTGCCTCCCGCGTCACCGCCCGCCGAGACAGCCTCCCAAAGCCGCGCGCCGTCCATATGCACTGCGATCCCTCGCGCGCAAGTCCACTCCCTGATCCTCCGCAACTCCTCCAGGGGCACCACGACCCCGGAGCAGGTATTCTCGATGCTGACGACTCGGGTGGGACACTTATGCACGTCATCGGTCAATACTGCGTGCTTCTCCACGTCCTCTACAGTCAGGTACAGCCCGTTGCGCGGACGGATCCCCTGGACCATGGCGCCGGAAAGGTGCGCTAGGCCGCCGGCCTCCCAGTGGAGGACGTGGGCGGAGGCGTCGGCGAGGACGGCGTGCGGGGGCTGGTGGAGGAGGGCGCGGAGGGCGAGTTGGTTTGCCATTGTGCCCGAGAGGACGAAGGCGGCGCACTCGTGGCCACATGTTTTTGCCGTCTCGAGCTCAAAGGATGAGGTTGTTGCGTCTTCGGCGTAGACGTCGTCGTTGAGGGTTGCTTGGGCTATTGCGAGGAGCATGTTGCGGGATGGGGTCGTGATGACATCGCCTGCCGTGTTTTGGCTTTCTCGTTAGACACGGCATTCGGTATGGGAGACTGACGCCAAGGACAGTCGTTGGATAGACGGCGTAGGGAGGGAAGAGATGGAAGGCTTGGCTTACTTACTCCTGAAGTCGAACGCGGCTCCGGTTTCTTGGGGTGAGCCCCATAGGGAAGGGGTATTCTCATTGTCGGGTATCATATTCCGTTCGCCAGCTTAGCTGTCAGAGCTGTGTACAATTGCTACTTGTGATAGATCACGGCCGACTTCAGAGCCTTGCATTAATATTACGAATTTGTAGTAAGCGGTCGTAGACCACGAACAGGCTGTCTGTCCTACACAGTGGTGTTTTGATGGTTGCATGCAAATGCGTTGGGAAGCGTTGTCCGGATTCCAGGGTGACTATATTAATAATTACACCATCACGTCTGTAATCCAGTCGCCAGGGCATGGTATTTCAATCACAAGGCCCCAGGTCCTGATTCATGCTGCTTCAAATCATGACTGGAGCCAGAAAAGGGCCCTAGTCTGAACTCATCGTGGCGTTTCTGTCAGGATTCGCCTAGAGGTTGCTCTACAAACGCGCGCGCGAGGGGGGGTAGTAGTGTGTGTACATGAGAAATGCCATGCAGTCAGCTCAGGGCCCATTTCAGTCACGGCGCCTCGCCCAGTCGAATCAAGGACAGAATAACAGATCCTCGAGGGGGGCCGGAGACAGTCTTGGATGATCTGATGACAAGCCAGTCAGCTGGAAAAGCTCGGTTCGAGAAAGTATGCTCGACATACATGTCTCGGACTCGGGCCCAGCTCGCATCAGCCCAAACAGATCGTGGGAATTTCATGTCTTGATATCTGTCAGCGATTGGCCCCTTGACGCGAGCCAACCCAGCCTCCCAAGTGCTTACGGCAGATGTAACCCGTCTAGGATCTCACATGCAGCAAATAGTCGCTGTGATCCTCCTTGGAGTTGGAGAAACGCTTCAGAGATTGTGAAAGCTGCTACGAATCAAACGCTTTGGAAGTCTGGGGCCGAGTTTTCCAGGATCTCGCCTATTCTGAGCCAATCCTGTTGACATTTCAGGATTCTTTTGATTTCTTGTGCCTGAGTAGAACATGAGAGAAGGAAGGGCTGGTCTTGGCTCAATGGTGGCCTTTTCGCTGAGAGACGATGTTGTCGTCGATCAGCGTTGTGGGATATAAGCCGGTAGCCGGAAGCACCCTGCAGACCAAAAAGGGGGATGGACGATGGGAGGGTATTGAGGTATATGCTATACCTCATTATCAATGCCCTTTCCCATCTTCTCCTTCACCCAACTGCTAAAATCATGCTCCTCTTTCATCCCTGAAGACAAGATCACTATTTCCCTCTCTTTCCTTGCCCCGCGCTGGCGGCCCCAATCATGGTACTCGAAAAATACGACTCTCAGGAGTCCGAAGTCAAGAGATCTCCATCCGATGGCATTGTCAAGGAGACGGATGAGACCAACGTCCTAGCAGAGTATGGAGTCGAGAGACGTGCAGACGGCCTGGTCAAGTGGCAGCGAGACTGTATTACACACCCGAGGAACTGGTCAACCAGACGAAAGGCGTTTGATACTACAATTATCATTTTCTTCGAGCTGTACACGTGAGCTTATGTGTCCCTGATCTTTGCACAGTCTGAGTAGCTGATGGTCTCCATGAGTACAATCATAAGCACAACTGGCGTATGTAATTACACCACCTTTTATTACCTACAGCCCCACCGAACCCTACCGAGGTAATTTGCATCGTGATAGAAACCGAACCGCGGGGAGGTTCCTGGACCGTTGCAACACCAAGATTCCTCAGCAACATCTTCAGCATCATCAGATGTAAATCAAAGACAGAACACTTTGCTGACAAGGATCTTTCCCCCGTATAGGCCGTGGCGGCAACGGAGGCTACCCCCGACTATGGGCTCAGTCATCAGATATCCTTGGTCGGCTTCACGCTGATGTAAGCTCTCTCTCGCTCCTTTCTTTGTACGAGTAGTTCTCACGACATGGGAATAGGTACCAACTCGGCCAAGCAATAGGCGGCTTCCTCATTCCCCCCTTTTCCGAGCTCTTCGGGCGCCGTCTCCCTTACCTCATCTCCTGTGCCGTCTTCTGCCTCTCTAGCCTCTTCACCGGCGCCGTACACGCCCCGGCAGCGGTTTACATGGGCCGTTTCACGGCGGGCCTCGCCTCAGCCGTGCCGTCTGTGGTCATCGCTGGTAGCGTGGAGGACATGTTCAACACGAAGCGCCGGGTCTGGATCATCGTCCTCTGGAACGCGGGCACGACGGTGGGTTTGTGCTTCGGCCCGATCTACGCCGCGTTCATCTCGGAAGCGTTCGGTTGGCGGTGGATTTTCCATAGCGCGGCTGTCGTGACTGCGGTGCTTTTCCTGGCCATGTTTGGGATCAGGGAGAGCCGGCCTAGCATCCTGCTGGGGCGCATTGTCAAGAGAATCCAGAGGGAAACGATAATACAGGAACTGGCATGGCATAACCCGGACGAGGCGCGCGACTGGCGGGCCCTGGTCCGGATTAGCGTCTTCCGACCGGGCAAGATCTTGTTCACGGAGCCGCTGGTCATCATGGTGGCGCTGATCTCGGCGTCGTCATGGGGCATGATCTACCTCTTCACCGAGTCACTAACCGTGGTCTACGTCTCGCTCGGGTTCACAAAGACGCAGGCGTCGCTGCCGTTCCTGGCCATCGGCGTCGGCGTCATCTTCACGTTCCTCCCTCGCCTGTGGGATATGAAGGTCGTCAGAGACCGCCAGCGGAAGCAGGTCTCCATTCAACCGTAAGAGAACTCACATATTCCCCGTTATTGATCAAGGATGCTCATGACTGACAGCCCCTACCAGAGAGGATAAAATCATCGGCTTTGCGTTGGCCGCCCCGGCACTCGCTATCGGGCTGGCGTGGTTCGCGTGGACGGTCCCGCCGCTGGTCCAGAGCGTCCATTGGGTGGTCCCCACGGCGTCCCTCGTGCTCGTGGGCTTCGCGGTCAACGAGACGGCGTATACCCTGAGCGGCTACCTCGCGGACTCTTACCTGCTCTACTCGGCGTCGGCGTTCTCGGGACTCGCGCTCGTGCGGGCCGTCGCGTCGGGGCTGATGCCGCTCGTCGCGCACGAGATGTACGCCGGGCTGACCGCCAATTATGCGGGCACAATCCTGGCGGGGCTGGCGGCCATGTTCTGCGTAACGCCGTGGGTGTTTTTCCGATTCAGCAAGAGGTTGAGGCAGAGAAGCCCCTTTGCACGGTTTAGTCTTGAGACGCATTACTTGACCAACGTGGAGGAGAACTAGTAGATTGTGTGGGCTGGGTGTTTAAAAGCAACATGGGGTTAAAAGAAGTATAGTGTAGGCGCGCACACTTGAGATGTGTCGTTTGATCTATGCTAAAATCACAATTTGGGCTTAGTCAATCAAACGTGACGTGACCATCGAGGAGGGAAGATCGTCGTCGCCCGAGTTTCGGCAGGGTTGGCTGTGGAGGATGGGGTACCTTATTCGGTGGGAACCAGTGGAGAAGTCGTTCGTGATTGCTGCGACGAACACGTGTTTGCGGTGTTTTGGTCGATTCCACAATGACTTTAATAGTACGGCCCACGAACCCTATGTTTCCTGGCAGCACAAACACAAGTCGCAATGCGTGGTCGTCCAACGATCAAGTGACTACTTTATATTCTTCCTTTCAAGTCCGGAATACCTTGAAGTCGGCCAACCATCGGCCAACCATTGTCAACTCAAAGTGAGACAGAATGCTGGGGCCAGTGTAGGATGTATTCTGCATAACCCGTTAAAGCCACAAGATCAGGATTCTCCATCTCCCCCGAGACATGCCTCAGAGTTATTTCCTTCCCTGGTCGATTTCTGACGTGGGCTCTTTGTTCCAGACGGGGCACTTCATGCCAGTCGACATGCCGGACCTGCGTTACACGCCTTGTTAATATTGGATGCGTCCCCTTTTCCCTTTCAAGTTTATCCTCCCTTGGAAAAGACTCTGTCTGGGCTCTTGGGTTGCGCAAAGACCAGCTCGCGGGTTGAGAGTGAGACAGGGCTGGCGCATAAAAATAGCAAATTTGAGGAATATTAGCGAAGCGGCGGCGTTACTATGTACGTATTTGACGAGGAAGCGAAAGAGACCGGTGTCAGACCACTTTGTGAGGTACCGTGAATACCTAGGCCCTTCACAATCGTGACATTTGACGGACGTCATAATCACCAATCCCTCGTCCCGGATTTGCTTCCCTCTTCAAGTCCCGTGGTCTGGGGAACAGTCAAGTCGGGGTTGGGAAGGATCACCTTGCTGCCGCCGTCGATAGGCGGACAGAAGCCAGCGCATTCTTGACAACGACAGCACGTGGAAATGGAAGAATCTGAAAAGGACACTGCTGCATCCGTAATTCCCAGATTGTTTGTTGGGGGAATTCCGACTGGGAAAAACCAACCTGGAAGAAATCGCCAGGTCTGCACCGGATGGTACCTTCCCGTTCCACTGATACCACCGACCAAATTCGGTAATAGCAGAGTGCCACGCTGATCCCCGTTGCTAGCCGGCGACAATACCAAATGGGAAGGCCTGGAAAGGGACGCCAGACATGTGTTGCAAGCCTTGCGTGCCTGGGGCTTGCACCGAACAAAGTGGCAGGCACGGCAGGCAAAGGAAATTCCCGCAGCCGATGTAACAAATTGGAAACACCGCGGCAGTCCACTGTCAAGGGAAAGGGGACAGGTCACTGAAGGAGAGAGCAACAAATGGAGGAAGGAGAAAAAAATCAGAAGCCCAGACAATTTGGGCTGAGTAGGAACAAGGCAAGCAATGCCCGCAGGTTAAGCCCCATAGCCCCTGCGCCTGCCCAATGAAAGGACCCGGAAAGGTCCCAGCGCGGGTGCCCGAATTTTTGGCTTCCGCTTGCCAACCGGCCCAACCCCACCAGAGGACCCACAATCCCCTCCCTCCCCTCCCAAAGCGCGGTGATTTGAGTGGGAAGGAAGTGGGAAGTGGGAAGGTGGGAGAAAAGAGTGTCCGCTGCCCACATTCATGTGAATGAAAAGTCACTCGCCGGCTGACATGGCCTGGCCTTCTGGTTGGTCCGCTCATCTGGGCCCGCCACTGTCTTACCACGGTGCCCCCCTTCCCCTGTAGCCTGTGGGTGGCCTGTCCGACCGAAGTAGGAACGGCTTGGGCGGGCTGAATTTTCTTGAATTTGTTAAACCTTGGAGCCGGGCTGTTTCCATCCTTTCTCCTTTCCCTTTCTTCAACAACACCATTTTGGTGAATGCAACCACTCCTCCCTCTGCAATGCCTTGTTGACTGACCGACTGCTCAAGAAACCCGACCCGACACCAATGCCTAGTAAAAAAGACTCTTACGACATCGCCTGCTCATTCTTCCGCCGCCAGATGCGCCGAAATCCGAGCCACCAAAATCTTGAGAGACATTACGAGTCTGACCCGCGCGACGACCCTGAGCGGCGACGAGGCACGATTTCCGTGCTTCCCTCCTATCCATAACCCTCTTACCAAAGTGACGGTCACTACTGGTAAAGGGCGCGACCGGGACACCGACGCGCGCCCCTCGTTCACGAGCAATCTATATTTCTACACGGAGCGGCCACCTTAAATCGCCCCCATAAACCTCCACCACCTCCCGAACCATGATTGCCAAGGCGACGCCCGCACTGAATACGGTGCGCGGCTTCCAAAACACCCCCGTCACCTCCGGCGACGAGGACTCTGACTACGGCGTCTGCGCTACCCCGCCTCTCTCCGCGAAGCGCTCTGGCCGTGCCGTCCTCATCGACGATGTTGTCAGCGCGAACTGTAGCCCCAATATGCGCGGGGCCTCCTCTCCTGCTGTCTCCGGCATCGCCAAGCTGCGCTTGCAGATGGAGCCTCTCAGCCTAGATGCCTCTTCCCGAACGAGCACCTTGACCCTCAACGGCTCCAACGGTCATGGCGGTCTTTCGAAAGGGCTCGGCATCAGCAGCGCTGTCATGAGCCGTTGCGGGAGCCAGGACGGGAGCCAAAGCGAGGCTGGCAGCGAGCGCTCCGAGACCGGGTCTACGAGCTATGAGGTCAACCTGGAGCATGACTACGTCGACGAGAGCGTCAGAGAGCGGAACGGCCACATTGTACCTATCGAGGGCAGCAAGGACGTCCAGCGTAAGATGACGGCCGACGACTTTGAGCCCCTCCGATGCCTAGGAAAAGGAACCTACGGCACTGTGCTTCTCGTCAAACAGCGTAATACCGGTCGGCTTTACGCCCAGAAGCAGTTCAAGAAGGCTTCCCTCACAGTGCACAAGAAGCTCATCGAACAGACCAAGACAGAGCGTCAGATCCTCGAATCGGTCAACCGACACCCCTTTGTCGTCAAGCTTTACTACGCCTTCCAGGACCATGAGAAGCTGTACTTGATCCTTGAATACGGCCAGGGTGGAGAGCTTTTCACGCACCTGAGCACCGAAAAGATGTTTGCTGAGCCCGTCGCCGCCTTTTACATGGCAGAGATGCTTCTGGCCATCTCGCACTTGCACAGCACCCTAGGTGTCGTATATCGTGACTTGAAGCCGGAGAACTGCTTGCTAGATGCAGAGGGCCATCTGTTGCTCACCGACTTTGGTCTGTCCAAAGTTGCAGTCGACACATCAGAGGACCACTGCAACTCCATGCTCGGAACTGTCGAGTACATGGCCCCCGAGGTCATCCAGGGACAGAAGTACGGGAAAGCGGTCGACTGGTGGTCTTTCGGCGCGCTGGGCTACGATTTGATGACTGGCAACCCGCCTTTCCGCGGGGGCAATCATGCCAAGATTCAACAAAACATTGTCAAGCAGAAGCTTGTCATGCCGTACTTCCTGAGCCCTGACGCTAAGGACCTCCTGACGCGCTTGCTCAAGAAGGATCCCAAGAAGCGCCTGGGAGCCAACATGCCCAAGGACCTTCATACGATGAAGGGCCACCGCTTTTTCAGAAAGATTGACTGGAAGAAGCTGGAGGCTAGAGAGGTCGAGCCGCCCATCCAGCCCATGATCACGGACCCCGAGCTCGCCGAGAACTTTGCGCCCGAGTTCACCGACTTGTCCCTGAGCCCCATCGTCACGGCCAAAGACCCCTGGAGCGCCATGTCGGCCAAGGAGGATGACCCTTTTGGCGGCTTCAGCTTTGTTGCGTCGAGCAGCATGCTGGAGAGCCACGCGTTTCGATTCACCACTGAAGTCTAGACGGTAATAGTATATCGGCAGAGTTAGACGAAATAGTACATAGAGATAAGGGTTGGCGCGATGTAGAGAAGTCCAGGAGTGCAAGGCGAACGGTGTGGGAAAAGTCTAGGAGCCTCATTGTAAACTGAGGCAGCCACGGAACGCGCGTCGTACGGGAGTCATTGAAGCGAAGCCAGATGTTTATTTAGCATTGGGCATTGAGACTTCCAAATTCTTACTGGTGCGGTCTGGTCTTTGGGCAACGGAACAAGAAGCATCGAGATTGGGGTTTGTGTTTTGTTTTCTGGCGAAATGCCAGTTCGTAGTTTTAATGTTCCTTCTTCGGCACTCGTCGCTCGAAGCATCACGATGAAAATACACGAGCTTTTCCTTGTTGACTTTTCCTCCCCCAGCTTCCAAGTTCAGGGACAGGCGCATATTGCGCCAAGCTTTGCTGCTTTTCAATCGAGTGGTCGGGGCTTCATCTATGTGAGTTGGCTCTCACTCTCAAGTCGCCTACAATCAACCGCGTGCGAGCGCTTGCTCAGCAAGTCCGCGAGATCCATGGGCTTTCCTTCGTCTCTCTCAGACTGTCTTCTAGGCCGGAACTTTGGATTCTTGGCGGCAATCTGCACGTCGAAAAGCCATGACTAGCTCCCAATATCGCAAGCGACCGGGGCGGGGGTTGAGCAAAGAAAAAGTCTGTTCATCCATCCATGAATGAAGAACAAAACCTAAGAAACGTGATTACGCAGTCTCACTGGATGATATCTATCTTGCTCTCAAGCTTGAAACTTAGCCTGTAATGAAGCCTAGTGTGTTGCTGTTTTAACCAGTAAGGTATGGGATAGGCTTTGCGACGTTCACTGCCCCGATTTCGTAGTCTCTATAATCGAATTGCTTTGCCTTCTAAACCCTGTGGTCCTCCTTGGTGCACAAGAGGTTTTGGCATGCGACAGTCCTTTCATCCTTCAGGATCGATTTGCGCAGATGGCAAGAAACAAGTCAATATGCCGAATGCTCCGGCATACAGTCCAGTGCTCCGGGAGGGGGAGGGGTGCGTACAGCGTCTTGCCAGGACTCTGAATTGCTGGCTGC